ATAGTTATTTATTGATCATCATAATTATAAAAATAACAACAATCAAAAGGCCATTGACCTAGGTCCTTCAGCCAAGGTTAATTAAAATATAAATGTAATGTATTTGCATGTGTTAGAAACCGAAATTGATATTAGATAGAGTGCAAAAAAAAAAAAAAGTACATCGTATTGTGTATGTAAAGAATAAATTAGATATATATATGTATATGTGTTCATTCGTCAGCTAGAGCTTGCATTTCCTCAACCAGGGATCTTGTAGGATGTTTAATTCGGGTGGGAGCTCTCTCTAGGTCTCTTGGAATCAGTACTGGTGCCAGAAACTGGTAAGCGGCTTCTCTCTGGGCAAAGTTGGTGGATAGTTTTATTAATCTCGCAGAAATTGGGCTGATTTTAAATTTTTCATAAAGGAGGGTGTTGGGAGGGTTGTGGAGTGGATTTCCTGGGTGCCTCATTTTGGTAATTTTTCTCATTGCAGAAGTCTCAGCCACATTCAGGATTTTTAAGGTAGATTTTCGGGAATTTAAAAACAGGGAGGGAGCATATTCAAGGATGGGACGGCAGATGGATTTATAAATTATTGCTGCCGTTTTGAGATTAATGCCATTATTCTTGTAGGTAAGACATCTAAACTGGCTGGCTCTGGAGATACATTTCTTTTTGGAAGAGTTGGCATGTTCCTTCAGGTTTATTTTGTTGTCAATCAGTACTCCAAGGTATTTAACTGATTGAACTGGCTCAAGTATTTGGTTATTGATAGTAAGTTGAAGATTGTTAAGGTTGTTTCGATGAAAAATAATAAATTTGGATTTGTTAGCATTAATGCAGAGTCTCCAATCCTTAAGCCATTTATTAATGGTAAGGAAAAGCGTTTTTAACCTTTCAAGGGCAAGCTGTGGTGATTTTTGATGCACAAAGAGTGCCGTGTCATCTGCATATTGTAAAATGTAGTTTGCTTCACTTGGTGAAAAAATTTGGTTGTGTTCATGCTGCATGTCATAACAATAAATGTTATATAGCAGTGGCGACAGCGGAGAGCCTTGGGGAACTCCCTGTTCCGCAATGAGTGTAGGAGATTTTTGCCCATTAATGCAAACATAGAGTGGTCTGTTTTCAAGATAGCTATTGATAAGGTAGATGAGGGAATTAGGAATTCCGATCTTCTTAAGTTTGTAAATAAGTCCTTTATGCCAAACCGAGTCAAATGCTCTTTTGATGTCCAAGAACAAAGCCGCAGAAGAAAGATTATTTAGCCTCGCAGTTTGTATATTGGATATGACCGCGGTAAGAGGATGTGCAGTGGATCTGGAGCTTCTGAAGCCAAATTGATAATTGGGGATCTTGTCAGCGACTTGGGTATTGATTTTGTGTAGTATAATTTTTTCCAGGAGTTTTCCCAAACACGGTAGGATCCGTAATATCCAAATAATTTTTAAATAAACAAATCATGCGCAATTTTGTTATGATTCATATGTCACGTGACGTGTTGACTTCTGTCAAAATATTTTGCTTTTTGTTTGTAATGGTGGAGTTGTGTTTTTCTTCTAATCTGCGGTTTCAAAAAATGATTTATTTTAGAAAGATGGTCACTTTAACATATGTATACCCAGTTTTTAAGTTTGACACACATTGCAAACAAAGGGATTATTTATAATTTATTATCTATGATTATTATTCATTATCTATGATTACTTCGTTGCAAAACCGGAGATTTATTCGATTGCCATTTTCATAAAATAAATACAAAATACAAAATGTTATACCATTGAGTTACTCAAGACCCTGTCTTAGGTTATACCTTAACCGGTCTTCAATCTTAGAATTTGAATTTAAATTAATGATTTCTGTACCAACTTTAATAGATATGGTATAGATGGCTCCACAATAATTTAAAAACATATACTTATGTATATGTTTAAAAATATACGTGTACGACTGGTCATATAATGTCTATAAAGTAAAACATTTTTACTAAAAATGTATTAAAAAAACATCAAGCGGAGCGTACAAAAATGGGACCAAAAGGTCCTTAAGGGTTAAATAAAATATTTACAGACTCTGTAATACAGAGTATACCTGTGTAAAATGAAAAAGTATATAGGGTTGTTGGTACCTACACTGAGAAAAAAATGGGACAAATAAGCTGTGTAGCTAATACTTTTATTAATAGTGAATATATTGTTTATTACCTCTAAATAGTCGAATAATAACGATAAATATACTTTAGTAAAACTTTATGTGTCGGGAATAAAAATATATTTAGGATAAATAAACTGCAGGGTACATGTACCCTTGTCCCATATTTAAATATTTTTTTATTTGATAGCAATAAACTTTTTTCTCAGTGTATTGTCCCAAGGAAAACCAACCTTAAGGTTTAAAGTTTTCATTTTAACCCTGAATTTCGGGACTACAATGTAAACTTTAAAACTATATATGACCCAACCCAACACATGTGTTTTAAAGTTGAAGGGGAGTCTCTTAGACTCCATGTCCATCCCATCAGGATGTTTCTAGGATAACTTGGGATGAACCTCATACATTCTGGGAACATCCTTAGGTCGTTTTTAGTATGTTATATTTTATATTCCTAAATGACTTTTAGAAAGGTTTGAAATAAATCGAAAATTTTCAAAATAAGTTTTATTTTGAAAGGACACAGTTTATGGAGACAAACAGGCACCAATACCATTACTACTTAAAGCTTGCAGCAAGTTATTTCTTAACGAATACAATACTGTAACTGTAATAATGTTTAAATACTTAAAACATATTTAATTTAAAGTAAAAAACTGAAATACTGTAAATACTCAGTAAATATAAAATAATATAAATAAATAATATAAAAGGAAACAAATAAGCACCCCAAAGACCTTTAAGGAACCAAATACCCCAGCTACATAAAATTCTAAAAGTATTATGAAAAAAACATACACATACATACATAATAATATTATATACCTATAGCTAAAATTAAACATTTAATTCAATTTTTTTTATTTCTCCTCTTAACCTTCTTTCTTTTGCTTTTCTTAACCAATCTCCAATTCGTTGCTCAGCCTCTTTGTAATTAATTGAATGCTCATATTTCTGTGCACATTCTGAAATAAAAATTATATTGTTAAGAAAAAGTTTCCAGGTAACTACCAACATAGAAACACGACCCACTCAGCTGCGGGTTCAATGCTTCTATAGTTTGATAAAAAAAATTGGAAATATTCTTTTATTTTAAGTGGGGTAAAAAAATATAAAAAAAATCTGCAAAATCAAAAGGGGTTGGGTTTAAAAGTCTATTTTTATTTACCGACTATCGGTTTGCCTAATGATAAGTTTCCAAACATAGTTTTTCCTTTTTTCCCTAAGAAGGAGAACTGTTCAGCTAGACTATCTGTAATTATGGGTGCGAGACATCGTCTTATAAATTCATAGATTCCAAGTTGTGAAAAAACTGAACCTATAAATCAGAATAAGAAACTATACTCACTAATGTAACTATATGAAAATTCTAGGATAATAGATAAAAAAGAAATTACCAATGCTGAATAATTTTCAGAATCTGAAAGGAAGTTTTCAAAAACTTCCTTACGATATTCTGCTCCACATTTTCCCACTTTGGAATTAATTTCTAACAACAGTGTCTGTATATAATATATATTATATAACAGTTGTGGATTGCAACAACAACTAGTACCTGTTTTGAATGTTTCTCCTAAAATGCATTCATTAGGTACACTAACAGTTTTAAGAACAGCTCAGAAAACTTACCTATATTGTTCTTTATTAATTCTAGGGTGCTTTTCGAAGTTGATGGAATAGGGCTCTTATTAGAAAAATTACTGCCTGCTTGGAAATCTGTAACAGTGAAATTTAATTAGTATTGACATAAAAGTAATAAACAGAACAACATTAATTAAATACATTATAAATATTATTATACCACCTTCCAAATTACTGCACTTTTCTTCAACAAGCTAAGAGGATATCTAAGTTGGTGGAGGAGGTAATTTTTTGGATTTTTGCCTAGAGGCTCCTCGTTTTCCTAGTCAGAATATTATAATAATCCAGCGAGTCTGAGAGACTCCATGTCACTGTTAAAGTAAAACTTTTTCATGTCACCAGTTATACATACATACCTATAGGTATATATAGGTACATTAACATTTATATCAATCTTTATAAAGGTATACCTTCTAAACAATTTCCTTGGTAAAATTGTCATAAAACTTGTTATAACTCCTTTCATAATATATAATCCAATCTATACATGGCAAAGCAAAAAACTAAAGCATACCTACTCCATACAAAAATAACTCTCCATGAGTCCTGGATAACACCAAGATACACTTAAATGTAACTCACAATAGGTATGTGTATATCTTGCAATTTATTCCAATAATTATTATTGTATATTTGTATTTTCCGATATTCTAAAAAAGGGGATTTTATATTTATCTGTATTTTTGTTTGATGCTGCTTTGGCAATGGAATCCACCCTTTCATTCAAAATAATCCCTGAAGGACCTTTTCCACCACAATTTTTAATTTTGCATATCTGTTTCAGAAGTACCTACTTTACTTTGACCGAAATCTTGTTTGAACGAAAGTAGGTGAATCTCATTTAAGAAAATAAGATTTTTTATGAAAAATGTGAACGAAGCCTTACGCCTTTGACGTTTCAAAAACAACGTTGCCACACATTTTAGACCCATCGCGCTTTTAAATTTTAGACCCATCGAGTTTAGATCTCTCGTGTTTGGGTGTCACGAAGCGTACCCCATATTTCAAGCATGCGCTTTTTAAATAAACAATAAATTAACGAATTTTATATGTATATATATATATATATACATATAAACCGTAAAAACCTCACCCCAATTGACCAGTAATTTTATATTTATTGAAGTCCTAAGATATACAACAAATTATTAATTTATTTTGCATTTTTGTAAGTATTGCGTTATAAAATTTATGTTGGTCAAACAACTTTGAGTTGGCAGCACTGTTTAAATGTCAACTGTGTCAAAAGAAGTGTGGCTTGTTGACAGAAATTGTTCAACAGTTAATTAATATTGAAATTCCAGTTTAATATCAATGGAATATGTTTAAAAATGGTGGTGGTTTAAAATCTGGGTGGTAAAAATGTTTTACCATTTCCACTTCAAGAATAATTAATTATTTTTTATACTATTAAAGAAACAGTGAGGTTGAAAGTTGAACGTGCGTGTTGATATCAAACAAACCAAAATGGATAAATTGTTGTATATATTTTCGTTAATAAGATTTTTTGTATAATGCCAATATTTACCATAAACAATGACCAAAACATAAGGCGAGTTTACCCGAAAATGTCCGAGGATTTCTCTCAGCAAAATAATGCAAAATTAACGAATTCAGTTGACGCTATCGAATATTTTGACGAAATAAACGCGCACAAACACACTGAAGAAGAAATTGACGACACAAACATCCCGTATGATCACATGTACGCGTCCAATAACGAAAACATAGAATCCAATTCCTCCAACTGTCACAATACCGACGAAAGTGAGGTTAAGTTTTTGAAAGAGTGGTTAATTTTACATCTCGATCTTATACAACAGCAAAACGATGAGATCCTAGACAAGGAGAAAACCATTCTCATACTCAAAAAAGAAAATGAAATGGTAAGTAACTATTTAAATATCTAGATTTGAATGTTTAAAGAATTTCAATTTAAGCTTGATATAAGAATGTCAAGCCAGAATTCTGCCCTGGTAAGCCAAACTCTGTACAATATTGAGTTTTAAGGGACAAAAGATCATTTCCATTGTTAAAAACAATCAAAATTATCTTTTGTCCTTAATACTTAATATTGCGGATACAGGGGGTTTGGCTTAGCACGGCAGAATTATTCTTTAGAATAGCAACTAATTACAAAATATTATTATAACTAGTTGATATTCTTCAGAATATAGGCTCTTAAATGAGGTTACAAATATTAATTGTACCTTATCTTCATATTTTAGCTTAAAGAGCGGATTAACTGTATGGAAAATGGTCAACCCTTCAAGTCAAACAATGATTTTAACAATAAATCCGAAGGAAAATACATAGAGGAAAACTTCTCTGAAGCTATGACCCAGGACTCTGCTCCATACACAGAAGATTCAAAGCAAAACGTTGATTTACTTCAACTTCACACAATTTGTGATATTCCCCATGAAAATTCTGTTGAATTGGAACCATTAAAATTTGAGGATAAACTAAGTGACACAGAATCTTTAACTAAAGAAAACGAGTTGAGTATTGTTCAGAAAGAAGACATTGTTGGTGAGAGTGAAAAAGTGGATAATAGTGAACAAGTAGAGGTTGAGTGCGAAAACTTTACCTTCGAGAACTGCAGTGATTTTGATCCTATGAGAAACTTAAAAATGAGCATTCGAAGGAAACGGGTTTACAGTAACTCTTCCGCGTTTTCCAATAACGATTCCTTGAATGACGACAAAAGGTTGTTCAGGAAATTAAAAAAAAAACGCAGACGTAAGATTTTGAGGTATTTTTATTAAAAAATTTTATAATTTAATTAATTGCAGGTTTTACAAAAGATACCCAAGTGATTTCCACACCACAGCCATATATTACTCAGGCAGGAGAAACTATACCAAATGTAGCACAAATTAATGATATGCCAGATAATTCTGCTAATTTAGAGGTAAGAAACCATCCTGACACATACATATACATATATATAAGAATATGTGTTTGTCTGAAAGAAAATACCATATAAACAAAAATGTCCAAAAATAATTTTCATCAAACATTTATCAATCCAAAATTTTCAGAAAAATCAAATTTGCAAATTAATCATAGACAATAAAAATGATGTATCACATTTTCTGGGGGTTTGAAATCAAGCAAATCACCCAAAAATAAAATTATGTAAGAAATAAAAAAAAATCCTCCTTGTAACCCCACCCCTGTGTTTGTTTGCCTATTTTTTTTGTTTATTTTTTTTTCTTTTTTTATTTTTTTTTCCAAAAATTTCCCCCCATATACATATATATTTATATATAAACCCTGACATACAATTTGTTTAAGGATGGGGTTACAAAGAGTTAACATAAGTTTTATTTTAGTAGAAAATTGGCGTTGTTTCCTTTTTGCGCGGTCATTAACAACAAATCATAGTTTGTGATTTAAGGGTGCAAAATATATACATATATACAACACCAAAAAGATATTAAAATATATTGATAAGTTATCAGCCTCTTACCCAAGCATCCCGAGTTTGATTCCCAATTAAGGAAAGTTTATTAATTAATTATCTAATCTGTTGTAATAGCATTAACTTCATTATTTAAATACTTTTACATAATATTAACTTGTAAGAAACAAAAAAAAATATTTTATAATTTTGCGGTCATTCTTTGTTAGGTCTGTAGCAAAAGTTGTATACTTTATTTAGTTTTTAAAACATCAATCAGCTATTTTAATTGAAGAAGTTGATGGATGAAGGTGTTAACCAACATTTGCGTTTATTTAAGTCCATAAAATAATTCAATCAAAGTAGCATTTGATTTGATTTGAACAACAAAATAAAGTAAAGATTTAAAAAAGTAATGATGCTTCTGAGGATTCTCGGTTGTCAAACGGATCAAATTAAATTTCTTTTAATATAAAATAAAATGTGGTGGTGTGGTTGGCTGTAAAAGGCGCGTGGATATATAATCCCGCCTCTAAAAGGAATGCTTTCCCAATGACATTTGCAAATGTCTTTAAATATTGTTGATATTTTTTTAATTTTAAACCTAAGTATCTTGTCTGTGTTACTGCTAAACTGTTTAATCTTTATGTTTGTTTTTATAAGTAATTTACTCTGTTGCCATTTTGTGATATTTTATTTTTATTTTATTGTATTACTCTAAATTTTTTATTCACATGTAATTTGACTAGTCATGTAATTTTGATGACAATAAACTATTTCTATTTCTAACGCTAACCATAGTTTTTTGTTGGCCGCAAGAATTAAAAACGACGCCAAAATTAACCATTGCCCTTGGGAATACATTACACTGACATACACTTACATTAAAAAAATGATACGTATTTTAAAATAACAAAACATAATAATTTAGTAAAAACTGATTTTAAATTTTCAAACCATACGTCAAAACACATTTTAGACTATTCTACAGGGTGAGTTTTAAGTTGACGCGTTCCTTTTAACAGTGTGTAGAAATCAGCTAGACAAATAAATATTTTCAGTACCTAACTTTTTTATCAAAACTCAAAAATAAAAAAGTTATAGCCCATCAAAGTTTAATTAAATTTTAAGCCGGTCCTGGCTATTGTTAACGAAAAACATAACCATAAAAATATCAAAATAAACAATGCAAAATGTCATATTTGACAACAAACATAACCATTTAAATTAAATTGACATTTTGCAATAAAAAATGTCATTATTTACTTAAGTTGCAGCATTTGCATTTTGACGACACTCTCCATAAATTAGTAACATTTCCACTAATTTATTATTGCTATAATTATGAACCATTTTTAACAATAATTGAGGCACAAAAAAACTGACATTTTTCATTGCTAAATGTCATTTTGATTTAAATGGTTATGTTTGTTGTCATAGCTATGACATTTTGCATTGTTTATTTTGTTATTTTTATTTTTATGGTTATGTTTTTTGTTAACAATAGCCAGTACCGGCTCAAAATTTAATTAAACTTGGAAGGCCTATAACTCTCTTATTTTTGAGTTTTGATAAAAAAGTTACTTAAAATATTTATTTGTTTATCTGATTTCTACACGCTGTTAAATGGAACGTGACAACTTAAAACTCACCCTGTATAATTAGATTTTCAAAACCATATTTTAGAATGTTTCTATAAGCAATGTTTGAGAATGGCGATTATTCCCAAAAGCCGACATCTCGGACTAATGATCGAAAAATTGTTGCAGGTCCCTAGATGGCGAATAAAGCACTACGTGAGCTGCTACACGATGGAGGGCACGGAAAACATGGACGACGAAGTGTACAACAAGCGTCACATGCGGCTGGAGAACGACGAGAGACGGAGAAAACGTTGGGACGTGCAGCGTATCAGGGAGCAAAGGGTCGTCGAAAAACTCAAGCTGAGACAGGAGAGGGTGGGTTCGGGTTCGAGGATGGAGGAACCGAACGAAATTTTCCACTCGCTCTGGCCGCAAACGGAGGACGTTAAGTTCTTGGAGGTGTCGGACGAGCTGCCCGTCTCCGCTTTCGGCTCTCCCATACCGAAAATTCATTCCGGGTAAGTTGAAAATTACAAGGCTCCCAATTCCTAAAATTTGCCTTAATTCTTAAAATTGCCATCTATCTCCTAAAACTCCTAAAAACTTTATATAAATAGGCCAACCTGACTCCGTTTAATTAAGGTAGTGCTAAAAAAAATATTTTTTAAAAAGTAATTTAAAAAGTATATGTATATTTTATGTTCTAGTTTAATATATAAATTTAAGTTGTGTGATTCACAACATACATTTTTTTTAAACAACAAAATATACCTAAAAACAATATCCATGTAGTGGTTCCTAGACTTCTACAAAATTGTCATTTTTAGCTATATTTCGTTTGTTTTCGACAAAAATATACCGTGTTATACAGACTGTATAGAATTAAGTAAGTAAGGCTGGAGCACGGCGTTCTCTATACCAGGCGGAAGTGTGGTAGTGGGAGGCGTGACGTCAGGAGGCCGACTGCGATAGCAAATTAAGTAATAATGTTATAATCGCGGTAATACAAGACAGTTTAATATAAATTATCTATTGCTTTACTATTGATATCGCTCGATTTAACGTTGATTTAAATATTGCATTAGATTGCTGCTTTTATAAACTATAAATAAATAAAAAATACCAAGAAAATGTTGCGTTCCTAAGAGGCAACAGGAAAATAAATATATTATCGCGGTAATGCAAGACTGTTTCATATGAATTATCGATAGTCAGAGCCGGCCAGAAGTTTTATGCCTCTCTGGGCAAAAAAAAACACTTACTGTCCATTTTTTATTCAGCAGAAAAAAATTCCCTTGTCCTGTCCCCAACAGTCAACTGTTAAAATTATGTCTACTTATTGCTATATTGCTTATGTTTCTTTTATTTAATGTATAGCCTAATTAAAGAAGAATATATTAAATAATTTTGATGCCAAAATACTATATAATAAATTACCTACAATATTTTTTATAAAAAAAAAGCTGCAAGAAAACAAGATGTTAATGCGCCCTGAAAACTAAAAACTTTGATGTAGCTTAACATTGTGTTTTTTATTTTAATAACAGTTAAATATGTTTTAAATAAATTACTATTTTAAGAGCATACACAATATTCATTTACTTTAAATAACCAACATTTTTATGGTTATATTACTTAAACCCAAAAATATTATACTTTTAATTTAAATCAAATATAATTTTACTTGTGTTTATTTTTAAATAAAATCTATTATGTTTTTTGAAAACTTGTTTTTTAAATTAATATATTAATTTTTTTTAAGTAAACCTTAATATATAAAAGAATATAATTTCTAAATTTAAATACCTACAAGAAAATTTAATTGAAATTATTATTCTTAATAGTTTATTAATTAAATTAAACTTAACAAAATTATTATTTAATATTCCATATTATAAAAATTAGACTAAACTTCTTTTAAATATTCAAATCCAAAACAATCGTTATTTTAAAATTACAGAAAATTATTTTTTGTGTACAGTTTTCTTTGTTTTAAATAAATTTCTATTTTAATAGCAGTTCTCTGTTTGTTTTCAATAAATTACTTATATTAGTACATATTGTTCTGTTGATTTTGAAAGAATGCATTGTCCACTGCTTTAGTAAAAAATACTCCCTAACCCGTAACTGATACTACGCTATTTTAGTACCGTTCATACGATTATCCGGTTTTTTTTAATGATAGCTAAAATAGTAAACAATCTAAAGAATGTTTTCCTGTATTATGCAAACTTCATATTTTTTTATTATGAGATTTTTGAGTATAAAGATCCACATTACAATTTTATTTAAGTAAGTAAACACCAAAAAACGATTCTAAACATTAATGGGTAAAAAACAAATATATTTTGAAAAACTTGTTCAGTAACTGAAAAAATTTTTTCTACAAAATAAGTAACCAGATATAAGTTTTAATTAAAAAAACATATATTTCAAAGGGAGATGGCCGGTATTGAAACTAACATAAAACTTTAATGAATTATTTTTCTTGGAAATAGTCGTTTTTGTTAGGATATTATTTTGCACTAATATACTACGTAATATTTCGATTTTATTGGTGTAAATAACTCATTTTTAAAAAAATTTGGAGATTTTGGAGCCGCTTTTGAAACTATAAATTATTCTTGATATAAACTAAACTGTTAACATTTTTTTTCTTAACATCATTTGACTTTGGACTAGTTTTTTAGCCAAATATATATCGACGCGTTTTTTTAAGTAAAATTAAATGTCTGGTAAAATTTCTACTTGTGTAGGTATATATACCTCAGAATATATATAAAAGTAATTATTTTACCTCACTTTTAATTTTATTAAAAAAAACCCTATAAAAGAAGTGATATTTATATTTTTGTTAAAAATAATTATTTACTTTTTCTTATTTTTTAAGTACAGCGTAGTTATTTTATTTAATTACAGAAATTCATTTGCATACTTTATTTCTCCTAAAATTCTTCAAAAAACCCCTAAATTCCCAAATAAAATTTGTAATTTGGCGCGAAATAAATAAATAACTTTTTGTTTCAGTGATGACACGCAATCATGGACATTATCCGCGACCGAGTTCAACAATGTGGAATCTTCAAAGTAAGTTTACTCTAGTCTACTAGTACAAATTCAAATTCTTGTCCTCAACATTTAAAATCAATTCTCATAGTAAGTAAGTCCCGTCAAAAAGTTATGAAAGTAGAACAGTTTTTGAGATATAGTCAATTTTCCATAATAAAAAAGTGTTTTTATTTATTTGTTTTTGATGCAAACGACCGAAAAAATAAATCACAAAATATATTTGTATGGGTATTTCTTAAAAACCTGCATTTAGCTTACTTTAAAGCTATTTGGCCAGCTCATTATGTTTAAAAAGTTTTCAATATAATCAATGGTCTCAATCAATAACTCATTCCTTAAATCAAATTTTTTTCCAGTTTGTTTTTCATATAATTACAGATAATAAATACCATAATACATTTTTTATTGTTTAAACTATAGTTCCATTCCCAATATATTTCATTAAATATTTCAACCATACATCATGGAAATCATTCGTAAATCAATCAATCTATTGTAGATTTTGTATAATTGGCACTGACCAGCGTATTTTTGTGCTGCAAGTTTTATAATGTCCTTTATATTTTAGAAGTTTCACTGTTGTCGGCTGTACACTGTTTTTACTGTGATGTAAAGTAGTAGGGACCCTTTTAAAGGGTCTATAATTTAAAGAAATCGGGTTTTTAATTGCGGTAAAGTGAGGTTGGAAATTTCTGACAGATGTTATGTATTTTATATATACGAGGTGCGACTATAATGTTTTTTAAAAGTGAAAGTGAAGTAAAAATTTGCTGACCTTGTACTATGCTCCACACATGGAGGTTAATTTTCTTAGTTTCAAGCTAACTTCGTCCTATTTTCTGAAAATGCATTTTTTGTGTATCAAGGTCTTAATTTAGACCACACAAAATACACATATTGTATTATTTTCAGAAAATAGGACGGAATAAGCTTGACTGGCAGAAAATTAACCTTAATTATTTCTCTCAGTCACGTGGTGGGACTTTGAAGCACAATTGAACTGATTTTGTTATTTTTAAACAACAACCAGTTTCTTTTTACATTAACGTCTATATTTGCGGTTAATATTTTGATAGATTTTTTTACCCCAAAAACATCTTAGAGCAAGTGGTTTTCATATTGAACATTTCAAAATGTCAAAGGGGTTATAAGAATGTAAAACTATAAAAACAAGGTTTAAAATTTTTTAAGGGAAAATATGCAAAGTTGACTATATCTCAAAAACTGTTGACGGCATTTTCGGATTCAGCGCGAAATTTTACACAGGAATTGACTGTTAAATGCCCGAGATGCGAATAGCTCTTGACTAGCGTTATAAATGTCTAAAAATTAAAACATTCTTGTGCAAATGTAAACCTATTTTCAGTGATTTTAGCCTTCCCTGGTTAACCAACCCATCGCTAGCTACGAAACCAGCGAATAACAAACGATCTGCAGTCAAAAGAAAATGCTCAAAGAGATAAATTTCGCTGTATTGTAACAACCCTTGAAAACGTACCTGCTAGAGGTCTATTTACTTCATAATGTACATAATTTTCTTAAATTTTACCACTTTAGTATTTGATCTCTAAAAATTATAATTTTTTAAATTTTTCTTCAAATTTAAATTTATTTTCACAGAAGTAGTTTTTTAAGTTCATGACAAGTAGTATTTATTTTTCCTAAGATAACCCTTGGATCAATTAAATTTTGTGTAGTTTATTTAAGTATTAGGTTTTGTCTATACTAGAGTATAAGTCTAAAATGTCTCCTAATACAATCTTAAATTGGACTGTACAGAGTGTGAATTCATACAACTGTGGAATATATTGTATATATAATGTTTAATTTCTTTGTACCAAAGAATTTTGGATTTTTACGTTGTCATCACTCTGTACAAAAATCTTATAGTTTTATATGTGATAAAAAAGTTATAAACAATATGATATTATTTGTGTTAAGTAGATAGATATTTATTGATCGGAAAATAAGTATTTTTGTAATATACATCATGTATAAGTATGATAAATATATCACCCCTGTAATTTTATGTAGGTATGTATACATATGGCCTTAGGTAAAAAACTAAAATTTAATGTGTAGCTGAACCAAACTAGATTTACTATTACTAGTCATTTTAGGTTTTTAGTTTTTAAAGTGCCTTTAACATCATACACAGCAAAAAATTTACCCCTGTATTAATGCTTAATAATACCATTTTTCTTTATTTTATTCAAGAAAAGAAGAAAAAATCTCCCCTTAATTATTTTCCGGGAACGTTTCGTTTCAGAGATATAGTTTTGCATTTTTTTAAAAATATCTGATTTTTTCTTATTCCGATTTTTTCAAATGCTTTTTATTTTTTTCCTTACTGATTTTCGCACCTCGAAAAATTTCTCTTCTTACTTTTAAAGCAAGTAGGAAAAATATAAAATATACCTAACCTTTTTATTAAGAATTTTTTAGATATAAAAAAAATTCAAATATTTTTAAAAATTTCAACACGGTATCCTAATTTTTTCGCAATATTAAAGAATCGCCTTATATATTTTCTTTTATGAAAGCTAAACTTTTGTTTATTGATGAGTGCCTAATGTAACAAACAATTTTTTTAAAGCTAACTAGCATTCCATGCTGTCCCATTTTCGTGTATATTAAAAATTAATGTACATTCCATGAATAGATTAAAATATTGTCCATTGGTTATCTTATATCCCAGTGTATTTTTTTTACTTAAAATAGCCATTTTAAATTTGTTATTTTTTTGTGTTTAAGAAGAATTTAATTAAAATTAAATTTAAAATGGTTTATGAGATAGACTGATATTTTAAATAGTTGGAGGATTTTTTAGTTTTTATGACTTTTGGCTTTATTCAAATTTTATCAATATTTTTGTATAGTAGTAATTATTTGATTTCCCTGTCAAGAAAAATTATTAAAGTAACAAACTCTATGTAGAATTGTGTTAAGAGAGTTAGAAATAAATGGAAATTATTTAAAAAATGTTTTAGTTTTTTTATTTTGAAATTGGGTGCATGCACATTTTTACAAAATGGTCTAAAACAAAGTTTGGACGTTATTTTAGTCGACATTTATATTTGGAGTTTGGGGTTTAATAGTATATTGTGCGACACTGATAACTATTCATGGTTTTAATTAAAAAAATAACTTTTGTTGATGCAAACCCCTAAAGGTTCTATAGTTAGGTAAATTGCCGCAGCCATCTATTAACAAAATGTAAAGCTAAACATTCCAGGAATCTCAAAATTTTTTCCCAATGCAGAATAATTATTGATCCGGCTTAGTCTGCACAGAGGGCGCGTAACTTGAAAAGCGTTTTTCATAACGCACCGCGCAAATTTAGTGTATTTGTTATATGTATGTGTTCCAAAGCACTCTGACAATCGGTTCTCTACATGGCAATAATTTAAAATACAATGCACCATGTGTAAGTGTAACTAATTTTAAAGAGAAACATGTTCAACAAATATTTCGTTAATTACATTTTTTGGAGTTAGAGTTTAGTTAGAAGAAAAATAAATAATATGGAAAACAAGGTGAGATTTAACTCAATTAAGAAACATATTTGCATATTTATTCATTAACTATTTTTATTTAACTATACCTAACAAATTAGTTTTGTGGAGACCAATGAATTATGCAACAATGTATTTTTAAAAACTTTAATATTTTATCAAAAATACTAATTAGTGTACTTAAGTGTTTTTTTAATAAAATATAATTTAATTTATCGCGTGCAGTATACTTATTAGTTGGTTGCCAATGCATTTTATGTTTCTTGTTTTAATCTATATTTATATACCTACCTACACTTGGGAAATCAGGTCGCGTAAATATAATACGACTGCATAGTATGAACCCTTGTCCAAAATGGGCTTTTAAAAATCGTGTTAAACGCGTAAATAATTCATGTTAATTTTGTCATTTAATGCCTACAAGGAAACAATTGATTTTGTATAAAGCTTTTAAGCTGTTTAAACAACAGTTTCCATAATCAATTAAAGTACCTACAGTAAACACAAAGTGTAAAATTTGATCAACCATGTCATGCAGTGGGGTTTTTAAAAATAAAATCACAAAAAATTGTATTATAAACTTTTTTCCCAGGGTGTGCATTTGATGGCTTAAGCAATTGTACTTACTAAAATACATAAATTACATGAAAAAGTTTGAATTTAAATTAAGGAGTTTCAATCTGCTTAAAAACATTTTTTTCTTAAAAGCATTGGAAAGAAAAGTTTTAAAAAATCTTGAATTAATTTTAGGTTGTTAAATAATGGAGTGGGCCTACAGTGGCGTAAATAAGACAGTTTCTAGAAATGCCGGTACCGAATGCGAACAATATTTAAATCCTTTCTGGCGATATGCGGAAACAATCGTCGTATTGCTTTTGGCTGTTGCCTTATTTAATTGGAGCTATTACAAAGTACGCTGTCCGTGGCCTACATTGTAAAACCTAATGTAAACTAATTTGTTTCTTAATTTAGGTAACATTGCCTGAAGTAAAAATAGTGAGAAATGAAGGAACGGGAAAGAGGAACCTTTTAATACTCATGTCCCTTATATGGGGCATGGAAATTGGCTATAAACTTTCATCCAGAACTGTGATATACTTGTTAAATCCTTGCCATGTTACTACAGCTATACAGGTAAGTAGGTAAGTAGTAGACAGAATTAATTTTGGATACCCAGAAAATTAGGTTTTTTGTATTAACGATGACGAAAACAGTATAATAATTCCGAATAATGGGAAAAATTATATAGTTTGAGTCGTTCTGTATAATATTAAAATTAACTATTTTTATGTATAAAGGGTTCCATATCAAATTGTCCTAAAGAGCCTAATAAGCGTATAAAGCCTGATTTATAGATTGCTTTCCTTCCTTCCTCCCGTAGAAGATGAACAATACAATCCCGTACGGAAATCTACCCAGATAGCAAAATGAATTCACTATTAATTCACTACGAATTCACGCGTGAAAATTAAATTCACGCGTGAATTCATATAACGCGACAGATGAGTCCTCAATTGATGCTCAATTTGCCATCACGCGTGAACTTTTTATTTTTTGCGCATGCGCTTTTAGAATATGGATTTCATTTTTCAAAATAATTTAATCTGTCGAAATATTTATTTTAACATCTTAAAATACACAAAAACTTGGTTTAAAAGGCCATAATTGAGAAGCAATCAGACTAAACCAGATAAATCCATTTCGACTTTTTGAATGGTTCCTATTTCTTTTGTTCAGATAAATCCATTGGAAATATCTATTTCAAGCTAAACTTGTTATCATAATATGATATGATCATAAAATTAATATTATATAATAATTATTATATTATATACTAATATTAATATTAGTATATAATATATATTATTTTAATAAGTTTATCTTGAAATTCATTTTTCCAATTGATTTATCCGACTAAAAGAAATATGAATCATTCAAGAAGTCAAAATGGATTTATCTGGTTTTGGTTGATTGCTCCTCAATTATAGGTTATACATTACAATTATAACCTTAAGGTTAACTAATTAATTAATTAATTTATAATATACATATATTAATTATTAATGTACCTATAACATATAATTGTGACCTTTTAAACCAATATATATTATGTAATTATATATATTACTATAATATATAAAATTATAATAATATATATCAGTGGCGGATTGGGGATTTTGGGTATACCAATATCTCACTTATTAGACGTAGGACCCACTCCAAATTTATAATAGTTTATAATGACATTAAATAGACAAGTTCGGCGCAAACAGAATTTAAATTAAAGTTTGCGAAAAAAAGTTAGTTTTTTGTGTCGCCTTACCTGGCTTCTGGCCCCCCCATTTGGGATAATTCTAATTAAAGTGGTGCAATTTATACTCCACTATAATTTATCGACAAATTTAAAATTTTATTTAAAAAATATAAATATTACAGATTTTATACGATTTTAAATTTTTATTATTTATTTTATTATAATAAAAAAATATAACTAAAATAATAATTCCAAAATTCGAATTAGAATATTAATATTCTATAATATTCTATGTATATTTAAACCTGCAGTTTTTAATCATGCAATCCATGTATTTTAAAATAAAATCGATTAAATCACACGAGACTATAATATGAATTCATAATCTACTCACGTGTGAATTACGAGTTCAAGACTTCACGTGTGAAATCATATAGCACACATTATTCACTCACGCGTGATTTCGTATTCACGTTTGCTATCTGGGTATAAACGGCATTACGGTTTTCGTATTGTTAATTTTTTACGGGAGAAAGAAAGGAAGACAATCTATAAATTAGGCTTAAGCATTGATAAAGGATTCTTCACTCAACGGTATAAGTATTTACATCTGGCAACATTGCTCTATATCTGAGATCGGACTATAAAAATGACGTCATAACCGCTGGAATATTTAAATTTAAATAAATTTCGGAGTGAATTTGACAATAATTATGTTATTTTTAATGTAAAGTTTGTGTTTTTTAATTATAACGGACTTTTTTGCAAACCCCTAATTACTTTTTATTTTTTGTTTCTTTAAAAATGTTTCAGATTTATTTATTGGCTGCACCACCCAGTAAGACGGTAACTGCTGTTTTTCGATTTCAGTTGAATCTTTTGAATGGGCCCTTGCTAGCGTATTTATTTCCAGAAACTGATACCAGAATTGTAAGTTTTTGAGTCCTTAATAAATTTTTTACTTTTTTGTAATTATCCCCTTTTTTGTTTTGAGATGATGTTAGAAAATGGAATTTATTGGATTCAGCATGGATTGATGTTTATAGTGCCTTATTATCTTTTACGGCTAGGAGGCACTTACAATATAGAACCACTGAGTGATATTTCATGGAATGCCCTCAGTTACAGTATAAATTTAATTTACCATTTTGCTGTTTTACAAGCTATAGCAATAGTAAGTATTATTTTATGTATCAAAAGCAATAAAATAAAATTATTTGTTTTAGCCAACTGAAGTAAATTTAAATCACATGTTGTGCCCAGCAATACTGGACCCTTTTCAGGGCCAACTTTACAGAGTTTGCGCAGTAATTCATCAAGCTTTCTTATGCCCCGTACTATGCAAACTTTACTGTTGCCTATCAGAATTTTTCATAACCGAATTTTCACTTACCAAAGTCAAAACATCACCAAACTGTAAAACTTTACCATATAGGAATGCCATTACTGAAACAAAAGGTCATCAACATAGTGACTAATTTTAATTAACCAAATACAATATAAGTTTTAAAACTGCTACAGGACCTGTAGTTATACCTGGTATAACATAAAATATCTCCCTATAGAATGTATAAACAATATAATTTTTAGTACGAATTCTTTAATATTTATTTATTGTTGCGCAATATTAACATTAATAAAGCAACAAATGTTACTACCTTTGTTAATTTTTATTTCCCATCGTAAATTCATGGAAAAATAAAATTCAAAAGAGAAATTCATACATGCAACCAAAAAATACTTACGGGCTATTCAGTGAAAACATGGTTGCAACTTGCAAACACACAAAATGTTCATATACCTACTTACCAGCATAGATAAAAGACTTACCAGTGTGGTAAGTGTATGGAAAATGTTGGTAGGTTGCACCATCTATTAATGTGAGACAAAACAAATTGGCTTTTGGCTTGTCTATTTTTATAGAGGAGCCTCCTGTATTAGTTATATCTTTAAGGGGAGCCTCCTAATCATAGAAATATTATTTCTATGCTCCTAAGCATATCGTGAGTATGCAACTAACATAACAATTAACGGTTAACAGTAAGTGTTACATACGTAGAATTGTAATATTAAACGTTACTTAACTAATTTAATTTGAAATTTCCATTGGGGTGGAATTCCTCATAAAAATTACAAATTAAATTAGTTTGTCCCTACTGGGATAGATGGCGCAGGCCACCAAAATTTCGAATGTATGCAACCACCAATCCAGAATCAAAAAGTTTGACAGAAGGTGTCAGCTGTCAGTGGTGAAAATGTGAAAGGTTGTTGTTCTCACAAAAAACTAGTTATTTCGTTGAGTATGTGACCGTTAAGAAAACATTTTCGTGAAAAACAACCGAATTTTCAATATAGCTAGGTGTAAAATTGTCCTCGATAAAATAATAGTTTTTTAACCTCAAAATACAAAGATGAGCAGACCCAAGAGAAATCCGGGACCCGTCCCGAATCGCTGGTTGCATTGCCCAAGAAAATCGGAAATTCCGATTATTGGCAAGTTTGTGGCACTTAAAACTCCACTAAGCAGTAATTTTGATGAACAAGTACCAATTGAATGCAGGTTCCCTCCTAAAATGTTGTTTGATTCATGCAAATCAAAAAAGGTAAGCATCTTTTTGTTTTGGAGGCATTTAATTTCTAAATGTTATCATAATTAATGATTCTATGAATACATGGTGTTCTTATTTATAGATAAAATTAGGACTTTGGGTAGACCTTACGAACACAAGTAGATTCTATGATAAGGAAGAAGTAGAAAATTTCGGCTGCAAATACGTTAAATTACAGTGTAGAGGGCATGGTGAAACACCATCGGTGGAACAAACAAACACTTTTATACAAATAGTTCATAATTTTATATCGAAATTTCCACTGGAATGTATTGCTGTTCACTGTACTCATGGGTTTAATAGAACAGGCTTTTTAGTTGTTTCATATTTAGTGGAAAAAATGGACTGCAGCTTGGAAATTGCTTTGGAGATGTTTGCCAAAGCTAGGTATGTTAGTTATTACAATTTACCCATAACGCTATCTCTTGTAATATTTGTTGATTTGCATATCATTTTACCTTATGCACATAGTCAGTTCATAAGTGGGGGTTATATCAAATTTTTCTAAATCATTTGCTTACATAAATTTCATAATATTCATATTATGTAAAAGCCACTAAAAATCTTGTAAACACAATGAAAAAATAAAATGCCAAAACAATTGGTATACAACAGAAAACAAACAAAATGGTTAATTATAAAAACCGACAAAATACAACGTTGCCAAATTCTTGCTGTTATAAACATGCCATTATATAATCTAAAATATCATCATTTTGTGTGTTTATTATTGTTAAATGATTTTTTTATACAATTTATTAAAAAGTATTTATTGGGTATACTTCGCAAATATGAAAAAAAATATGGTATTTTATTTAAACCGGTAATGACGCTATGCATGCACCTCAATGCAATCTTACACTTCCCCTACTTTAACCCCACAAAAAGGAAACAGTCTCAGTTAAAAGTATTTTGTACATGTGTGGAAGTTCCAAAACGCTATTATTTATTTTGATAAATAAATTTAAATGCCGCGATTTCTCCAATCGCTATTATTAAATAAATCACACTTACGTATTTTTTAATGTTTAAAGGCCGACGGGTATTTATAAGGCAGACTATATTGAAGAATTGTACAGACGGTATGATGACGTTGATGAAATGCCTCCACCACCAATCATGCCTAATTGGTGCACAGAAAGTGATGATGGGGTTGATAACCCAGACCCAAGACACACACCCTCAACATCATCAAAGTATTTCGTTAATTATTTAAGTTGGAACAATTTTATTTTCTTAATGTTTTCAGCCAAAATAACAGAAGGGGCAGAGGCAATGCGCAATTTATGGAGGGGATTTTGGGTGTATCTCATTTTGTGGAGCAACCGAAAGCGTTTCAGCTGCAGAAAAAGGTGCATGTCATGTGCGAATGGCGTTCCAAAGGCTTCCCTGGTAGTCAGCCAGTTTCTATGGACTTGAATAATATTGTGTTGCTTCATCAGAAACCCTACCGAGTTTCGTGGAAAGCTGACGGTATGCGATACATGATGCTGATTGACGGGGAAGACGAAGTTTATTTCTTCGATCGGGATCATAATATTTTCAAGGTTGATGGTCTCAGATTTGTGCATAGGAAGGATCTGCAAAGGCATTTGAAAAATACTTTGTTGGATGGTGTAAGTTTGTTCTATTATTATTTATTTTAAGACAGCTTTGGAAGATATTGTTGAAGAAGAGTTAAAAGACTAAAAATTTTAGAAATTTTGAAAATTTTAGGTACTCTAAAGTTTTTTAAAATTTTCATTTAAAATGTCTGATCTTTTAAAATCCTAAAAATTCGTATTTTTACATTTATATGGCTGTGCAAATTTTGTCCACAATTTTTTGATTTTGAAGTACTGTGGGAATTTGTCTTACCATTTTTTAAATTCATCCTTCTGTGAGTTCTACCTACAGATGTAATTTCTACTGGTGTTATGTCAATGGGCATGATGTCAAAAATAACTTTTATTATAGAGATTAGTCACTAAAAACAACATCAAAAAAGATTTTTGATGTTATTTTTTTCATTAAATAAATTCTCTGAAAAGAACTACAAGGTTAAATTCTTGAGTGAGACACTTGGTTTTTAGTCTATGGTTAAATTAGAGAAAAGTAAAGTGATTTCCTCCTGTAAAATTTAAAACAGCGGTTCTCAAAACATAAAAAAACCTACAAACCTTTTAAAACAAAAAATCGTTATAACTTCGTTATTCCTGGGAATTTTGAAAAAAGTAAGTTTTATATGTAAACATACACATTATTATACATTTTCATCCAATTTATTTGCTACTATATTTTGAGTTACCATCACCATCTTTTGTTTTTATAATGTCCACCATAACTTATGTAGTTTCATACATCATTGGATTCGTTAAAAAACAAAAGATGGTGGTGGTAATTCAGAATCTAGTATGCCAAAATAATTGAGAACCACTGATTTTTTTTCAATTTTTAAATGCCATGTTAATAGACTTGTAATTACGCAAACCGACCTTGTAGATCTTAAAATAAAAAAGATACAAAAAAAAATTCCGAACATAACCAAATTTTTTGACATTATAATCTTTTTACTTGTTGTAAAAGCATTAACAATATAGTTTAGTAGATATTAAGTTGATAAAACTTAATAAAATATTAATTCTAACAATTTAAATACTCTTATATTATACCTAAGACTGAACTAAAAACAGATTGTGATGGTGAATTCATTCGTAATTCTTGAAACATCTGTTATAACATCGTGACGTCACGCGCTCTCTTCAAGGTCATCGAAGCGTTTTGAATCTTGCGTGTTTCAAAACACCGTATCGTTCTTAAAAATTGTTTGAGAAACGTGGAACATTTTTTTATGACAAACTCGTATGCGTAGATTCCAACCCCATTCTCTCTCATGTCAGTCGGTTGGTTTTTCCATGTTAAATTGAAGCCGGTGTTCAAAAAACAGTTGTAGGTAAACTGATTTAGGAATTTTTAGGCAGTTGCAAGGCTTTCATGTTTAAAACAAAATATTTTAAACTACCAAAAAGTTTTGAGATATTTTAATCAGAAACCTTTTATGTATGGTATCTTTTTTTATTTGAAGACAAGGCGGTTAAATTAGACAAAAGTTGCGCAATAACAATAAAATCAGAGGTTCTCAAATAATTAAAAAAATCTAAAACCTTTATAACTTCGTTATTCCTGAGAAATAAAAAAAATAAGTTTTACATGAAAACATACGCACTTATCTACATTTTAATCTAATTTGTGATTTTAAGATATAACCAACATATTTTGTTTTTTCTGTGACCACCTTAATGAAATTTTACATGGTGGGATAAAAAAAATCAAAAAATCCAACGATGTATCAAACTACGTAAGTTATGGCGGACAAAAACAAAAGATGGCGATGGTATAACCAACATAGAAGCGAAGATATTGGATGAAAATATAGATTAATGTAGTTTACATATAAAACTTACTTTGTTTCAAAACTCACAGGAATAACAAATTTAAAACAATTTTTAGATTCAAAAGGTTTTTAGTTTTTTTTTAATATTTTGAGAACCGCCGGCTTTTTTTTCAATTTATAAATTTTAGACTTTTAATTACGCAACTTTTCTCCTATTGAATCGACATTTTATCTCTTTAAATAAAAAAAACAATACACTTAAAAGGATACTTGGTGCACCCTGTATAGCCTATGGACAGTGGGGGCCTCAAAATTCCGGTTTGAATTGAACTTGAAACTTTTTATAATATATATAATATAATAATATAATAAAAAATCACAGGAAGGACCCTGCCGAATCTCGTTAATGTAATAAATTTACAACGAAAGTCGCCATTTTAGGAGTGCGACTATAATTCATTTTTTCTAACAGATGACAGTTTTTTGTTTGTTTATTTACCTGTTTAAGCGTTTTTGGTTTGTTTAAAAGCGTTTTTTTGTTGTTTAATAATTATGCGTTTTTGTTGTTTAATAATTAAAATTAAACCTTGCAAAGAATTAAACGGTTTAGCTGGCGGAAACGATAGTACGCCATTTGTGGCCACCAATTGGTTAGTCCCCTGTGCGGTCACCTATTTTCTATCATTTACTCCTTCCTGAGGTTTTTTATTCAAAGTAGTAAACCGAAGGTCGCCTTTAATTTGCTTTTCACGCAAAAACAAACAAAACAAATTTGGTAACACTCAGTGCTGAATTAACCAATAGGCTAACCTAGGCCATGGCCTAGGGCGCCGCGAAGCCAATAGGCGCCCAGGCAGAAGGCTCAATTTTTTTAAAGTAGGTTGAATATTAAAATTAATCAATTAAAATAAATAATTATAATTATCAAACGTGTAATACCCTTTTTTAGCAGAAGTCAATAAAATAAATTTTGAAAATATTATTCAGTCCTTTTCCGATATTGAATGCAGGGAAATTGTAAATCGTCGTTGAAAATGAAAAAGCGTGTCACTTGGACGCCTTTCTGCAAAATAAAAATAACCAAAAAAATAAAAAATCGGGTTATATGGGTTAATTATCTCGATTTTTTTATTTTTGTGTGTTGGTTTCCTTGTGCAGAAAGGCGTCAAAGTGACCTTTTGCAGTATCAACGACGAAATGGTAAAATTCTGTTTAGGTTATTTAAAAATTGTAAAAATTAAGTTAGTTCTTCATTGTTTTGTTTTTCTACATAAAATAAATTATTTTTTTATTTATTTTATTGCAATTTTTTTATATATACTATATGCTATGTATACTATGTATACATTTAACGCAATAAATTCTTTGACATTTAGGCAAAACGTTTCACTATTTTGGTTTAATAGTAATTAATTGAGCAAATAACAATTTAGATTGCTTCAATTTTAATGCATTCAATGACAGCGCTGTTCTTGGTACTATGTTAGATTTTTTATGTGTACCATAAGTAGTAATATGGGCTGTAATTATAGGCGCCATTATTATTGGCCTAGGGCGACAAATTGTCTTAATCCGGCCCTGGTAACACTCACAGGTAACACTACGCATGTGTGGAATAGGCGTTACGTGTCCACTCCCTTCCTTGTCTAAAATTTTGAGTTTTAGGAAATTTTTAGAAAATTTTAGGACAGTTTTTGTAACTTAAAACTGTTTTGATATAATCTAGACAACTGTTGTAAAATGTTTTGATAAAAACCGTAGGAAATGGTGATTGACAAAGTGGACGGGCAGGACATCCCGCGCTACTTGGCATACGACATCGTGAAGTTCGAGGGACAAGAGGTGGGCAAGATGCCGTTCCACCCGATCCGGCAGCATTGCTTGGAGAACGAAATAATAAAGCCGCGATACAGCGCGATGGAGAAGGGGCTGCTGAACAAGGCGCTGGAGCCGTTCAGCGTGCGAAAGAAGGAGTTTTGGCCCATCACTCAAGCGTACAGCTTGCTGGGCGAAAAGTTCGCAAAGACGCTGTCGCACGAGCCCGACGGCCTGATATTTCAGCCGTCGAAGGAGCCCTACGTGGCGGGGCGATGCGACGACGTTCTGAAGTGGAAGCCCCTCGACATGAACTCGGTGGACTTCCGGCTGAAAATCGTCAAGGAAGAGGGCGAGGGCATCGTTTCGAGGAAAGTCGGTCATTTGTACGTGGGGCAGATGGACAGACCGTACGCCTGCATGAAGTACACTAAAGCAATAAAAGACTTGGATAGTAAAATTATAGAATGTAAATTTGAGGATAATCAGTGGAAGTTTATGAGAGAAAGAACTGACAAATCTTTTCCAAACAGTTATAACACTGCTAAAGGTAAGCCGTTTTGGAATTGCAATGTTTTTTTTAATGCGTTACCTTTTTAATTGTAGCTGTTTGCGGGAGTATACGTTTTCCAATAACAAAAGAAAGGTTGTTAGAATATATAGAAACGCACAAGTTCGAAGACGACAGTGAAATGATGCCACCCCCTAAAAGAATAAAAAGATGATTTTAACATTTTTAATAACTAAATGTAAAATCCTTAAGATGATACAACTAATTTATTTATAAAATTAATTATTACAATGTAACATTATTTTTATAATGCATGATGAAAATAAAAGATTTTCAAACGTTTTTATGGGCATTTTTTTATATTTTACCCCTTTTATAGTACAAATTGTTTTTTTTTAAGTGAGAAAAATTAACTATTTTAAATCAAGGGGTAGGTACATTGAAAAAATTCTGAACTGGCTGGACTTCAAAAGGTTTTGAAACGTTTTATCTTGTTGGGTTATTGTGCGCCAATGATTCGAAATCGAATTTTGGAGAAAATACATTTTTGTCATTGCTTGCAAAGAGAACGGCTCTACATTTTTTCGCCAAATTTTGCGAAAAGTTGCTGGCCCGCCGAGATCGGTTTCCTACTGAAAAATTTTGAGCTGCTATTTAAAAAATTCCTGCGATATACATACATATACTGAAATCAAATTTTCCCAATTTTTTTTTTATTCAAAATTCTTCTTTTTACTTTTTTTCGGTGTTGCCAAATTTTCCAGAAGCTGGGAAATTTAGGCGACGTTGCAAAATTTCCAAAAAATCCCTGGACCTGGGATTTTAAAAATATCCAGGGCACATTAAGAAAGTCGTTTTTTTTTGTAAAATTTAAAAAATTACTGATTTTTTTCCCGGCGTTGTAATTTTGCAATATTTAATTTAAAAATGTAGAAGAAATTCAATTTTTTCTTTAAATTGTTTTTCAAAATTTACACATTTTTTTAATTTTTGTTTTGAGGTCACTAAAAATTTTGAAATAAAGGGCTTAGGAAAAATTATGGTTTCCAAAACATTTTCCTAAAGCCCTTTGGGTAAAGTTTTTGTCAAATTTGGATTCAGAGACCTGTATTTACTATAAAACGAGTGGTTATAGTAAATCAAGGGGCCTTAAGACAATGTTTGTTTCCAGATACTCAAGTGACCACTTGTTTTATAGTAGATTGAGGTCACTGAACAAGTTTTGCAAAAATTTACAAAAGAAAATTAGTGCTAGTGCTAGTTGGCTAACGTGGAGGTTTTTGCGCCACAAAAAATATTAACAAACCAACATTTCTGTATTTAGTTCCTAAGAGTTAACAAAAACTACTATTTTATTATTAACACTTTAAATTTTTATTGATGTTTTTATATTTATCATTTTTTCAAAAACATTCTCACTACTCCTGAAACCATCGTCAACAAATTTCTAGCGATCGACGACGTTACACGATTTAAAACTTTGAGCCACTAGTAACAGCTGTAACTCTAAAACAAATGATACCTAGGTATATCATTCGTTTCCGAGTTACAAAAAATGTAAAGCTTGAGATTTTTAACATTTGTTAACAGGCAAAACTTTCTTTACTTTTTATATTTAAACATATTTTTAAGATTAACAACTTTTATATTTAGCAAATATTAATAATTTCAAGCTCTACATTTTTTGTGTCCAACCAATAGGAAACGGGATAATAAAACACGGGCAATTTGCATTAAAAAAGCCTTTTGCATTGTTTTATTGCTTTACTTATATACATATAAATAACATTAACATTTATGACTAACATAGTCCATACCATACCTACATATCTTAAATTTATTATAATCAATAATACTAATAATCTATAATACTTCATACATAATTGTTTACTTAGATGGATTTCATTGTGGAATTATATTGCCACAAGTTGTTATCGTTCACGACTTTGGCCTCCTTCTCCAACTTCTTCAAGTGATGACTCACGTTATTTTCCGCAGCTTTAATCAATTTTTCATTGATATCAGTGTAAATCATTTTCACCAAATCATTTTCCCCAAAAGAAGACTTCCTATTGTTGCTGAGCACATCCAAAATCTGCTGCTCCCTCTGCATCCTATGCTTGATGTAGAACTGCAACTTCTCCACAGGGTTTTGAATAACATTCCCGTGACCAGGATAAACAACGTCAGGATTTAAATTCGAAATGTCCTGCAGGGACACCATGTAATCGTGCAAATCCTCGAAAACTGCCGTCCCCTCGCCCAGAACGCAGTCACCACTGAAAACCGCGTTTTCTTCCAGCAAATGGAAAACAACGTGGTCTGTGGTGTGACCGGGGGTGTGGTGCACCTTCAAAGTGGCGCCCTCTACCGAAAATTCCTGACCGTCTTTCAGTTCCTCGATATTTACGTTTGAGGGTTCGTCCTCGCTTCTTGGGAATTTCCATATCTGGGAGTGTTCTGAAAGGAAAACGGTTTTCTGAAACTATTTTCTTTGTTTTAAAGGTCAAATCTTTAGGTTAAAGATTAAATTTTGTACAGTGTGACCCATTTAAAAGGAAAAGACCCCTGAAACTTTTTTATTTGTTACTCGATTTTAATGAACAACGGCTCAAAAGAGAATAAAAAACTCTATCTAAGCAACTTGACAGATGCCTACTATATACTATATAGCTATAACATTTTTTCTATGTCAAAATTCGGTAAAACTTATTAGGGTCGTTTTTTCTAAAAAAAAAAATAAGTACGCCACTGAATGCGGCTTGCTTTAAAATGGGTACAAACCAAATTTCATTAAAAACGAACAATCAATAACTATTTTAGACAAGTTTTTTTTAAATATTTGTAACGAAAAATAAAACACATTTATTAGTTTTAGGAGAAAAATAAGTACGCCACTGAAAGCGGGATACTTCAGAATGGGTAAAAACTTATAATTATAATTTCATCAAAAATTAACTATTAATAACTATTTCAGACAAGTTTATTTTACCACGTTATAAACATAAATTGATACAAAACAAAAAACTAAGATGGCCATGCTGAAAATTTATAAAATAGTTATTAATAGTTAATTTTTGATGAAATTAAGTTTGTACCCATTCTGAAGTTTGCCGCGTTCAGTGGCGTACTTATTTTTCTCCTAAACCTAATAAATGCGTTTTATTTTTCGTTCTAAATATTTAAAAAAAAACTTGTCTAAAATAGTCATTAATTGTGCGTTTTTAATGAAATTTGGTTTGACCCTAATAATTTTTTCCGAATTTTGACATAGAAAAAATGTTATAGTAGGCATCTTTCAAGTGACTTCGAAAATATTTTTGTACAGCTTAGATAGAGTTTTTTATTCTCTATCTTTTGAGCCTTTGTTCATTAAAATCGAGTAACAAATAAAAAAGTTACATCTTAAATGGGTCATCGTTTTTGAAAAATCAGGAGTAGCTTTTTCTAAATATAAAAAATAGATAGCAAAGATAAAATGTTGAAGAAAGTCTATCAATAAAACAAAAAATACAAAAGACACCAAACAAAATAAATTTGTCATTTTGAATTCTAAAAATCTCTCTTGACAAATGAAGTAGCTCTGGCAACGTTGCAAAAATTACATTTTTGGTAAAAATAACTTACTGGTCCATTCTTCCAGCTCCAACACATCATTAAGGCCCCCAATATGATCGTGGTGCCAATGAGAAATCAAAATATGCGCCAAATCGATGCCTTCGTGCTTAAAAACAGAGCTCAAATGGTTGATGTATTGCGGAACATCGGTATCACCGGTGTCTATTAAAATTCTCCTGCAAAACGTCAAACGTAAACATAACCTTAATTTTCTGTTAGTATTCGTACCTTTTTCCGGTTCCTACGAGGTACGTGTTGGTTCCTTGCAGTGTCATGCAACCAGGATTGCATCCCAAAACTCTTATGATCCTGGAGGATAATTTAGAAACAGCAGGAATAACGGCGGCCATGTCGAAAATTTCACCTGTGTTGTGTTCTGTTACCTTGAATTTAAAGCGCAAAATAAAAACAGGTCGGTTAAGCGACGTTGCCGGAATGCACTAAAAGTCCCAAAACTTTAAAAATTTAAAAACGTCCTTAAAAATTGTTTTCTATCATTATTATTGAACTAAAAATTTTAAAGCCCTTATAACATGCTAAATGTCAAAATTTAAAATTTTATGAAATAAATATTAAAATTAAAAATGTCTACAAACCTGAACAAATTGCAGAAGTAAGAAAATGCGGAAATATCTCGGCACAGTTACTGTACGTATTACACATACAAGATAAAATAACTCGAAAGACTGAAGCTTAGACTATTTTGTTTATAGCTTTTATACGCGCATATCTACGATATAATTTGTCATGTTGCACTCTGCACTGTTGTAGCCCCGTTAAAAATATCTTCTTTTTTTAATTGTGTTATCGCTATTTTTATGCTTTTATTTTGTTTATAAATTTTAATAATCGAGAGGTCGGACTTGATTTTACGCTTATACAGAAAGGTCGCGCATCGTTCAAATCGAACCAGTAAATAAACACGAGATAACTAAAATCAAAACTGGATTTATTCGAACACGATATCAATTCTAATAAATCTTGTGTTAATTTTTCGTTTACGAGAAATTTCGACTTTGTTTTTGGATCCGGCACATGTTAAATAACAAATTTTATAAGTATACTTACATATTATGATGTTTTTAAATATCTATATTTTTTTTATAAAAAAAAATTCTTTTTTAAAGCCAGCTTAAAATAATTTCTCTACTTTATAACCCGATGGAGTTTAAATTACTTACCTATACAAATGTATTTTTTTAATTGGTAGGTTTAATTTTTTAGAATTCTTAAGTGGGTGAGAATTATATCACTTGTAAAAATTAAAAACTATAGGTATACTAGTATAGCTATAGTAAAAAAATAATTTGTATAGTAAAGTAATTTGAACTCCTTAGGGCCCTTAAATTAAATTAAATTTAAGCACCGGTGCTTAAAATTTATTTGTTTTTTTTATTTACATTTTTTATATAAAATTAAAAATTTAAACAATAAGTATTATTTGAAACTTTTTACTTTTTTTTCGAAGTTAGCTTTCTAATCATCATTTTAAAGCATTGAACCGACAATCGGTGTAATTCCGGAGAACGACTAAAAAACAATGTTGGTTCAACGCCTTACCGATGTATTAGCTAAATCAATTGTCAACATTTATCTTATCATCGGCCGACGACTTAATGTTTGCAATTATCAGTCAGTATACTTAATTAATTATTATAATTACAAAAGCAAAGATATTTGGTTTTTTATTTTAATTAAAAAAAATATATCTCACACGGGCCAAAAGTATAGCTTCTTATCATAAAAACGTTGAATTTACGGATGTTAAAATAAAGTTATATTTAGAAATGCTTTTCAAGATAAAAACATCATTTTGAGTCCACTGACACATTTTTTTTAATCTGTAAAAAAAAGATTTTATTTTTACTTCCAAAGTTTATAGTTTAATTCAAAGAATTATTTGAACAATATATGCAACACATTCTGAGTAAAAAACAATAGCTAAAACCCGACGTGGGCAAACGAAATGCCCTGCAATGCAAACAAAAACGCGCGAATAATAATTTTGTGTCGTGGGTAGCATATAGTTTACCCACAACGCGTTCTGGTTAATTAGCTTTACTCACTGTTAAGAAAAAACGTTTCTAAAGGCATCGTGGGTAAACTATACCCATAACGCGTTGTGGACAAAAAATTCGGGCAGTCGGCTATTTCGTCTATTCGCAATAGACGAAATAGGTATGTAAGTAAATAAAAATAATTATTAAATTGTTTTTTTTATATTTTCGATAATGCTAATGCTTTTCGCAGAAATTATTGAATAATATTATTTGTTTATCAAGCAAAAATTTGTTTATATTTTATTGTCCTTACCAAAGGACATGTGGAAAATATAAACACAATGGAAACCTTAAAAATTAATTTAAAAAAATATACACAAAGTACTTTCATGCTTGTGAAACGTGTAATTTAATCTGAATAAATGTAGTTATATTTAGCATAAAGTCGATCTTAATTATCCTTTTATTAAATCCCAGTCTGGGAAAGAGTCTGTTAAAAAGGCTGTCTGCTGTTCTTATCTAAATGTCTTGAACTATGCAGTCATACTTTAGTACGCATATAAAGGCAATTAAGATGTTTATTTACCGAATTGTATTTAAAATGTTGTCAATAACCTGTAAAATAATTTAATTAAGTATGTATTATAATATATTATAAGTATTATATATATATTATATTATATGAGAAACATTCGAAACTTTTTATCTCAGAAAAATGCAATTCTAATATAAAAACATTTATTTGCCAAAAATTAATAAAACAACTAGGTATATACTTAAACTGGGTATAAATAACTTATCCCATCGTAAATTCGTAAGGTTTAGCTTTTTTACCGGTCACATATTCATACAGGTTGCATTCAATATCTCCCAGAAGACCTGATGCGCCAAATCTAAACAAATCCGGGTTCAACCAATCATCGCCCAGCATTTTCTTCACCAGAGTCAACCAAGTCAAGGCATCCTGCGATGTTCTAATGCCGCCTGCTGGTTTCAACCCCACCTTGTCAAAAACAAAAGAACACAAGGCATGCTTACTTGATTACAGTGTCGCCAGTTTTTTAAACATGCAATACTGTTTATTTATTTATTTACCTTATACCCCATTTTTTCATGGTATTCCTTAATTGCTCTGCTCATTACAATCCCAAATTGTAATGTTGCATTAACTGACTCTTTACCAGTTGACGTTTTTATAAAATCTGAACCTGCCATCATTGCTATCAGAGAAGCTTTGTAGACCTAAAACTTATTTTATTTTTGTTGTCAATTTTCCAAAACTTTGTTTACATTATCCAAGGTTCCTAGTTCTCCAGTGGCCAAAATAGCTTTCATATGTGCATTGGGACCACATGCCTCTTTCATTTGCTGTATTTCTTGATACAACAACTCCCATTTTCCAGTCAAAACCAAACTACGATCAATTACAATATCAATTTCATTCGCTCCTTTTTCCACAGCAAATCTAATCTCTTCAAGCCTCGTTTTTAAGGGCATTTGTCCGCTGGGAAAACCAGTTGCAACTAAATTTAAAAAATATTTTATTATACCTGGGGGCCGTTACGGTTCTCTTTTTATGCCTTGTTATATACATACATACATGTAATTTATTTCAGATGAATTTAATCAGTAGTTTATAAGTTATTTATGAAATTTTAATATTAAAATAGTTTTAATAAACCAGCAGTACATAAAAATACAGAGAATTAAAGTCTTAACGTTAAACTTTTTATGAATATTATAATTGGATTTTATTGTTTTTTATGTGTTTTTTTTTAATAAACCTATTTTTTTGATAAAAAGTATTTTAATTCATAGGGAATAATTAGGTTAGTATGCCCTGGCGCCCTTAAGCTAACAGATTGGAGTGGGCCATAGAGTATAGTGGAGTGGGCCCTGTAAGTATAGTATACTATATACATATATGTATCTAGTAATAGGCGTCAATTTTGTAAGTGCCTAAGGCGATCAATTGTCTTAAGCCGGCCCTGTATGGTTGGGTGTCCTAAAAATAGTGTGCAATACTCTATACATGGTTTCTAAAGACAAAAATACAAGAAAAGTTTTTTATTATTATTTCCGTTCCGTTCCGTTTGAGATAAAATAATGAAAATTTGTACACTGAATTTAAAAATATTTTTATATAAAATTAAAATTTCAAATTTTTATTTTTAAGTGTATATTTAGATTTTTGTGTGCAATTTTTTTGATATTGAATTTAAAAATTTAGGTAGTTTACTAAGTTAAAACTGACCATTTTTAAATTTAAAAAAAGAACAAATTTAAATATATATAAATAGTTTAGTATATGAGAGTGTAGGTCCCTTAGGGGCCATTTGCTGACCAATGCTTATAAAAACAATTAAAAATCATCATTTATAAAAAGTTAGGTAGGAAAATCCTGAACAATTTCATAAAATGTCAATGTAAACGCTTTATATCTCAACAAATATCAATCTTACTGATAAGACCTTTTTTAAAGAAAATTCTACAAGTTTTTCCTTTACATTTTTTTGATTAATCCAGTCACTTTTGAAATATATTCAAAAATATGATATATAATTTTTCACTAAAATCAGATTTAGTGACACATACATGTATTTTAAATGGGAAATCTTTACACGCTTTGGGAGAGTACTTAATAAGAGTTAGGTAATATTAAAGGCTTAAATTTTCAGGTAATTTTTTTTGAACATTTTCAACATGATTTTGAGTGGAGAGGAAAAAAATTAAAATAGTAGTGAAAAAGAAGCACCCTAATGTATACATACCTGATGCTATGTTAATTTTTTCATAATAACCCAACTTCTCCAGAGTCTTCCTTGCATCCTCCACTCTGGAAGGGTAAACACAAATGGCTGCAGTCCTTAGAGGCGAATTTTCCTCGTAACTGAACCCCAATTTTTCCAATAAATCATCAGCAATCGGTCTGCAAGCTTTGTGACAAAGTCTTGCTACATTCCCATAGGTATCATCACCACCCAGTGTTGTTAAATCAATGCAAGTGACTGCCTTTAATAACCATGCAGCTCGAAATTCATTTTTTAGGTTTACTGATGATGATATTTGTTTGGCTTTTTGGTTGGTTGCGTTGAGGTTGATTCTTACATTGTTTAACCAACCTAAATCTATAAAAACCTTAAGAATTAATAAATTTTATTAAATCAATTGTATTTGTTACCTAATTCACAACCAGGATTCCTTTCCAACATATTAAAACTCATATAATTCATTTGATTCAGAAAACATTGATAACAAATCGGTTTTCTTATCCATAGATCTTTAGCCACAGAACATAATTCTTTAGCTATATATTAAAAAGTCACTTTAATAAATAATAATTATTCTTCTTACGTTTAATATATAATAAATATTTTTTTATAATAATAATGAAAACAAAGAAATTTTAATCAATAATTTACCTGTTGAAAACTTTTGTTTTAAACTATTTTAAATAGTATTTAATTAAAAATAGACCACACTAGCGCCACTACCTCTCATCCAGGAACTATTTTTGACATTTATTTTGACGTTTGTTTTATTTGTGTTTTGTTTTATTTACGTTCCACATTTGATTTTTTAAGTTTATTAATTTCTAATATTTGAATATGAAAATAGAGCAATAATGGAACCCAAACATTACAGATTAAAATGGAACAATTTTCAAAAGAACCTTTTAAACGAGTTTGAAAGTATGCAGAGCAGTGAAGAGCTCGCAGATGTAACGTTAACGTGCGAAGGTATTAATTTGAAGGCTCACAAGTTTATTTTGTCGGCTTGCAGTCCCTATTTTCGAACAGTATTTAAGGTAAGTAAATTGATTATAGATTTGGCCTGATTTCACATATTATGTTATTTGCAGGAAAATCCCTGTCCCCATCCAATTGTTATCCTCAAAGACATATTCTACGTGGACCTCATAGCCATCATAAATTACATGTATCATGGTGAAGTGATGGTCTCTGAAGATAACTTGTCCACCTTCTTGGAAACAGCTGTTATTTTGCAAGTATCCGGTCTGGCAACCACAAAAAAATTTCCAACAATAAAAAACAAACACAGAAAGGAAAAAGCGCAACACTTTAACCCCATGGACCAATCAAAACGAATAAAAAAATCCGATCCTCCAATCAGGATGGCTGGGGATGCTTTTAGTTTATCTAAGGATTCTGATGTCGAAATCAAATTGGAAAAGACTGATAATTTGCTTTTGCAATCTTCTGAAGAGACCATGCTTGATAATTCTAATGATAATGGGAATATGGAGAAAGTTGAGAAAAATGATCCACCTGCTTCAATACTTGAAGCTGCATTGGAGTTCAGGGACAAGCCCAGCGGGAGCATTTTGGAAAGATCCCTTATGTCCAATCAAACAGGTATAATAACTTATCTGCAATTAATTAATCATTAATAGTAATGTTTTGTCAAAAAAATTCTGCTTTTATTTTACATGATAATTATTTCAAAAAATGGAAAAGACATAAAGTTCAAATTTGGACAAAATAGGATAGGATAGTTTATTATGAATTTTAAGTTTAAAGGACATTGTTTAGGTAGTTCATGAGCTACCACATAATTAAAACAATTATAACTATCCAGATTTGGTATTGGATATCTTAAAATCTGGAAAAGGTTGAAAGTTAAATTTTAAAGTAATAAAAATGTATACAAAGTTTATTTTGTAGATATGTGAAATCTAAAGGACATTGTTTAAATAGTTCACAATTTACCACATATTTATCATGATGATAATTATCCAGATTTGGAATTAGATATCTCAGAATCAGAAAGTTTAAATTTTGGGTAAATAGAATTTATTCATAGTTTATTATGTATTTTAAATTTAAAGGACTTTGTTAAAGTAGTTCACAAGTTACCACATATTTAACAAGATGATAATTATCTAAATTTGATATTGGATATCTCAGAATCTCGAGAAGCTAGAAAGTTCAAATTTTGAGTAAATAGAATGTATGCATAGTTTATTATGAATTTTAAATTTAAAGGATATTGTTAAAGTAGTTTACAAGTTACCAAATAACAAGATGATAATTATTTAAATTTGATATTGATATCTCAGAATCTGGAGAAGTTCAAAAGTTCAAACTTTCAATAAATAGAATGTACTGTCTGTCCACTCTAAGTTGGCGGAACTAAGGAATTTTGTAGTTTAGATATTAAAGAATTGTCGTACTGTGTGCTTTTAAAACAGATTTTATATTATAAATAATACTAGTACATATTATATACTAGTATTATTTATAATATAAAATCTGTTTTAAAAGCACACAGTACGACAATTCTTTAATATCTAAACAACAAAATTCCTTAGTTCAGCCAACTTAGAGTGGACAGACAGTATGCATAGTTTATTATGTATTTTTAATTTAAAGGACATTGTTGAAGTAGTTACCAAGGTACCTCATATTTAACAAGATGATAATTATCTAAATTTGATATTGGATATCTCAGAATCTGGAGAAGCTAGAAAGTTCAAATGTTGAGTAAATATAATGTATGCATATTTTATTATGAATTTTAAATTTAAAGGATATTGTTGAAGTAGTTCACAAGTTACCACATATTTAACAAGATTATAATTATCCGAGGGGTAAACAACGGGCGTAATAGGCGTACAAATTGGATGTAATCTATTACACTTTATTGTAATACCAAGTAATATTATGTAATTGCACGTAATATCACGTAATAGCAGGTAATATCACGTAATATCACGTGATAGTTAAGTAATACATCGAAATACTACGTAATACCACGTAATACTTTGAGTAATACGTAATACATAATATGCACATTTTGCGCGTAACGGTGCGCGTCATCTATATTTGAATAACGCTGTATACCGGTAAATTTATTTTGACCTAAAATTCGTATTTTTTCTGGTTTTTAATAAATTTAACCATACCTAGTAAATTCTTAAAAAGTTTGCCATTATAAAGTTGTTAATAGTTTTAATAGTAAGTATATTCATGATACCTAATGTTTTAACGTAAATTGTACTAACCTAACATTTTTAACTTTAGTTTAAAACATAGAGAAACCAGTCATGCATACGATTAATTCTAATAAAACCAAAAATAAAACAAAAAGTCATATAGATTTTAAATTTAATTTTAATTACCTAAAACATTCCAAGTCCACAGAATTATTGGGCGAAAGTGATAATAGAATCAAAGTTACGGATTCAAATGGAAAACAGGGAATAATTAAGAAAAAAACTCTGCTGGATATTCCAGGAAGACAAAGCAAAAAAACTAAGTTCAGATCGAATATATAGAGTAAAATCATCTTAAAAATAATTATTAGGATGTTTCTACTTAATATATTCCATACCATACATTAAGATGTTTTACTCTTTATATTTTATCTGAACTTGGTAATTATTATTGTCTTAATAATTATTGTGCAATAATGTTTTATGTGTATGTATATAAATTAAGGGTTATTTTATAAAGTTTATTTTGAAAAATGTTTTTTATTTATACTTGAGATATTAAAAATGGAAAGGTACCTAAATAAAAACCTCAATAAAAACGTAATACCTAATGTTTTTAAAATGTTATGTTTAATCGGTGTATAATTTATTGTTGTAGGCTAAAAAAATCATTATTTACCGCGTTTCAAGTCGAAACTTTCGACCGATCATAAATTTCGATAATAACCTCACTTTCTACTTTTAATAATTGTTTCATCTAGCGTTTAAAGAGACGTTTAATAAATATGGAGCAAACTTGCAAAAGCCGATAAATCCATTTTAACTTATTCCGAGATATTGGCCAAAAATGTGTACAGCAGAGTGCCCCAAATATTTAAAAACTATTAAAAGGGAATGTTGGGTTGTCTCTGTTTCGGTTTTTACTTAAAATGCTGTGCTAAGTCAAAAGAGTTTACCAAAATAAGTAAGAATCGGTACTATCCTCTTAAAATGTAAAAAATGGATTTATCGCTTTTTGCATGTTTGCTCCACAAATAAAATTGTGCCTTGAAGAAAACATATTTATGCCATTCTGCCAAGGAGTATTTTTTGTGCTTTGATTTATTATAATGTGTTGACAACTGTTAACATTTTAAAAATATTTAATATGCATATTATATAATATATTATACATATGTATATTAGTTACCTAACCTCAATTCTACACCTTTATACCTTCAAAAATTAATTTCTAATTAAAATTATAGATGGCAGCACTTACGTAATACTTAGTAATAGGACGTAATATAACGTAATACCAAGTAATACAACGTAATATTAAGTAATAAAACGTAATATTAAGTAATACCAAATGTTATTACGTAATACGAGGTAATACATGGTAATTTTACGTAATACTTGGGAAGTATTACGCGTTTTGCGTAATAGGCGTACAAATTTGGCCCGGTTGTTTACCCCTCGTAATTATCTAAATTTGAAATTGTATATCTCAGAATCTGAAAAAGCAAGAAAGTTAAGTTAATAGCATGTCTGCATAATTTATAATGAATTTTAATTTTAAAGGACATTGTTGAAGCAGTTACAAAGGTACCACATATTTAACAAGATGATAATTATCTAAATTTGATATTGGATATCTCAGAATTTGGAGAAGGTAGTAAGTTCAAATTTTGTGTAAATAGGATGTATACATAGTCAATTATGTATTTAAAATTTAAAGGAAATTGTTGAAGTGGTTCATGAGTTATCACATATTTAACAAGATGATAATTATCTAAATTTGAATTGAATTTAAGGACAAAGTTGAAGAAGTTTAGAAGTTAGTTATGTATTTAAAATTTAAAGGAAATTGTTGAAGTGGTTTATGAGTTATCACATATTTAACAAGATGATAATTATCTAATTTGAATTGAATTTAAGGACAATGTTGAAGTAGTTCACAAGTTACCACATATTTAACAAGATAATTATCTAAATTTGATATTGGATATCTCAGAATCTGGAGAAGCTAGGAAGTTCAAATGTTGAGTAAATAGGATGTATACATAGTTTTGTATGAATTTTAAGTTTAAAGGACATTGTTGAAGTATTCACCAAAGAACCACATATTTAACAAGATGATAATTATCTAAATTTGATTATATTGGATATTGGATATCTCAGAATCTGGAGAAGCTAGAAAGTTCAAATTTTGTGTAAATAGGATGTAAACATAGTAAATTATGTATTTTAAATTTAAAAAAAATTCTTGCAGCAGTTTATGAGTTACCACTAGTGATGCAACGGTTTCGGGTTTTACGGTTACGGTTACGGTTACGGTTAGCTATACGGTTACGAATAAATTCACGGTTATTCAAAAAAAAATTACAGAATTACGAAAAATAAAGTTTTGAAATTAATACACCCGTTCAGTAAAGGTTAAATAATAATTTATGTAAAACAAAAACAGAATTTCTAATAAAACTGTAAAACAATAGGAAATGAGTTACATTTTAAACCTAAAAACAGTAAAGTAAAACCTAAGTAGGTACCTGAATAATATATTTAAAAATATAAAAAAATTAAATGTTAATTTAAAATAATTCAAAATTCAAAATTTACGAGTCAAATTTTTATTTAAAAAACATAACATCTGCAAATTCTGCGGAATCAGCCTGTTCCTATTTGGTGTTTGCACAAGACCTGCAGTCGAAAACAACCTCTCCGAATTCACTGACAATGGTTTGTATAATACCTTAGTGCCAACACTCTTAAACGCCGAAACGTGTAACACGTTTTCCAGAATGTAAACGGATTTGACTTAGGTGGTATATTTGGTAACGTTAATTACTCCTCAATCTTTTTTTTACATGCATTCACAAAGTAGCATGAAAAACCGTAAATACGGTTACGGTTAACGACATACGGTTACGGTTAACCGTATAATATCGAAAACCGTGAATTAACCGTAACCGTAACCGTTGCAACACTAGTTACCACATTTAACAAGATAATAATTATCTAAATTTGATATTGGATATCTCAGAATCTGGAGAAGTTAGAAAGTTCAAATGTTGAGTAAATAGGATGTATACATAGTTTATTATGTATTTTAAATTTAAAGCAAATTGAAGTAGTTCACAAGATGATAATTATCTAAATTTGATGTTGGATATATCAGAATTTGGAGGAGCTAGAAATTTCAAATTTTTGTAAATAGAATGTATACAGAGTTTATTATATATTTTAAGTTTAAGGACATTGTTGAAGTAGTTCACAAGTTACCACATGTTCAATAATAATATGATTATTATCCAGATTTGGTATTGAATATTTCAGAATTTGGAAAAGCTGTGGTTACAATAATTATGAGAGTTGGTTTTCTTTCAGACAAAATCCCTACATTTCCCGTAAGCCAGGAGATATTTATACCGCGTAAGCCGCCAGAGATGGATCACGAGATGCACCTGCTCCAATCAGAATCGTCCGAATCTTCGAGCCCGTCCGCCTGCGAAAACCCGCGCGCCTCCGTCTCGATGATCAAGATCGAGAACGAAGACCTGTGCGAGATGATCGAGATCGACTCGGATTACCATTTAAACGCCGGCAAAACGGCGGACGCGCCTGCGCACCACAGCTCGCAGTGCGGCACTTGTCCGCACTGCGGAAAGGACTTTTCCAACCAGTCCGCGCTCAAGTACCACGTACGATTGATGCACTCAGATCTGACCAACATGTTCTGCTGCCATCTTTGCCCCGAATCCTTCGATTATCGGGAGGGCTACAAAAAACACATGGCCGACGTCCATTTCATGAGAAACTAACTCCTTTTTGGACCAATTTGGCAACGCTCAAATTTTGTTACATTTCCGGAATTTCTTAAAACCTCTCCCTAAAGAGCGTAAATATTGCTCTGAATCTGAAAACGGACCATTAAGTGACCGTGAAAGCATTGATTTTTAATTGGAAAAAAGGGTTTTTTGTTGATGTAAAATTAAATCAGTTTAACATTTGTTAATTTAATTTAAAAAATGCGAATATTTTTTATCTTTATAACATACTTTATGTATGAACACAAAGGGGAAAAAACAATTATTTTATATTTCTTAAAAAATTTTATTCCTGATAAAAGTTTATGCCTGATTTGAAACCCCCACAATATGCAACACATTTTTATTGTCTATACAGGGTGTTTCATAATATATGCGCAGAACTTCAGGATGTGATAAATCATCCAAAAAGATGAAAAAAGTCGTTATTAACTTACGCTCTAAAATGCACAATTTTCGAGATACAGGGTGTTGAAATTTTAGAAAAAAATTCGGTTTTTTTTTTAATATCTCCGGAACCGTTTATAGTACAAAAAAGCTATGTTTTGTGCCAGAAAAATTTTTTTCCTCATAATTGGTGGAGATTTTGAAGGGGTAGCGGGTGTTTTTCTCCTCAACTTCTACGCCCCTGAAAAATGTACGGTTTTGAGAGGCCTATTCAAACCGCCAATGTTTTCTACACAAAAAAGGTACTCTTGGTCATAAGCTCTAAAGTTGACCGTTTTCGAGAAAAATCAACTTTTATGTTTAAAAACAAGGTCAATTTAAAAAAAAAAATTTTTTTTTCTAATTAAACAAAATTTATTTTAACGTTAGAACAACTAACAAAACCAAACCATAATTGCAAAATAAAAAATGATTCAAAAGTTGTCTGCTAAATTCTCCAAACCGTAAAGGTAACGCATTTCGAACATTTCAGCATTTGTGTAAAAAATCATTTTTTATTATTTTTTTTTAATTTTGCAATTGTCGTTTGGTTTTGTTACTTTTTCTAACGTTAAAATAAATTTTGTTTAATTAGTAATAATTTTTTTTTTAAATTGACCATGTTTTTAAACAAAAGTTGATTTTTCTCGAAAACGGTCAACTTTAGAGCTTATGACCAAGAGTACCTTTTTTGTGTAGAAAACATTGGCGGTTCGAATGGGCCTCTCAAACCCGTACTTTTTTCAGAGGCGTTGAAGTTGAGGAGAAAAACACCCGCTACCCCTTCAAAATCTCCACCAATTATGAGTAAAAAAAATTTTTTTTCTGGCACAAAACATAGCTTATTATGAGTAGAAAATGCTTACAAAAGCTGTTTTTTGTACGACAAACGGTTCCAGAGATAATCGAAAAAAACGATTTTTTTTCTAAAATTTCAACACCCTGTATCTCGAAAATTGTGCATTTTAGAGGGTAAGTTAATAGCGACTTTTTTCATCTTTTTGGATGAGCTATCATATCCTGAAGTCCTGCGCATATATTATGAAACACCCTGTATAACCATATGGTTAATTTGCAATTTTGATTTTTTGTTAAACTTTTCGACTGAAAAATTGTTGCTAATAATCAATCATTGCTATTTTTTAAATTATTATTTGGAAGTTTATTTATTTAAAAATCTAGGACAATAATTGTTTTATATTAATAAGATTTTTTATATGGTAAAAGTTTATAATGTTATATCTTCATTAGCGATTTGAAAAATATTTTGTTATTTTAATTAAATTGTTTTTATTGAAATATTAAAATATTTTATGATATATTTCTGTTTAATTACCCAAAATAAAAGTCGTATTACTTAAATGAAACATTTTATATAAAAATATCTTACAAGGAACTTTACATGGTTTGTACAATAAATAATAACATGCCTATAAAATTTAAATTATTAAACAAAATCGAAGATTTATCTACAAAAAATTGTCAACATATCATCGTCGAAATGAACTAGTTTTACAGTTCATGTCGACGTAATTGCGTCAAACAATGCGTATAATTTGATTTAGGTATATTATTTTAGTCGATCTAATACAAAAGTAATAGTGTAAATATAATTAGTTAATTAACAATCCAAAGGATCGGCAATAATCAGTTCATCCGCCTCTGAAGTGCTTATTGTTATCATCATCTTATTGTCATCGTTACTTGAGCTGTCCGATGACGCTGACTGTGTGGAAGTTGCAGCCTCCTAAAAAACAAAAAAATATACTTGAGTCATTTTATATGAAATGATCTGCTAGATTTTGCTTAAACTTTTGAATATTCTTTAGACGGAAATCGCGTGTTTGGAACCGTAAAGAACATTCCCCAAAGTTTAAGCAAAATCCACAATGGCGCAGCAACAATTTTTTAAATTTGAAGTCTGGATATACAGTATCTCACATAACACCATAGAAAAATGATAACACAATATGTTTTAAAAATGTTGTCAGGTGGTTTGGACATCAATATTTATAAATGAAAGGCTGATGAAATGTTTTACGAACATTCAGGGAAAAATATTTCTATATAAAAGGGGTTTCATATAGATGCGACATGCGAAATACGAAAAACGTTTTCATTGGCGGGAAAAGCGTTTTGACGTTTCGACAGATCCTGCGAATTTGAAATGTGGGGGGCCAATGGTACCTATAATTTTATGTAGGTAAATAATTTTTCCTAAATATTGTTATGTTATTTAACAATATTTATAAACTTTTTGAAAAGTTTATTAAAATTTTTCTGATGTCGAGAAAAAGGCGTCAGCCATTTTTACTTTGTTGAGTGTGTTTCAAGTTTGACGTTATGTTAAAATAATAAATTATCGGGGGTAATTACTAGGGTTTTAAAGTGTCGAAAAAAAAACCGGAAAAATTGGGAACCTGTTTTTTCCCAGGTCTTGGAAAAATTGGCTTTTTTGGGAAAAATTGATTTTTTTTTAAATATACACATTTAAAAAAAGTAGCAATCAACAACTTAACTTTATTTTAAATAAAAAAAATCCTTTATTGCAAAAAAATAAAACTAAACATTAAATTAAATTAAAGAAAATAAACGTCTGTTGGGTTTTTTGTTGCACAAAGGAGCCAATTAAGAATATCTTCTACAAAATAATGAATGAATTAGGAAGTTAAATTTCAATATTATAATTTTATAAATCTAAGTGTTAAATAAAAGTTATGTTAGATTATTAGAATCAGCGTCGGAAATTCACTTTTTTCTCGATAAATTTGAAAATATTCAAAAAAATTGACTTTCGCATTTTTTCGTATTACCCTTTGAATAAAATTAATAAAATTAAAAAGTCTATTTTTCTGAAAATTTCCCAAATTTTCCGTTTTTCTCCGGAAAAAAACGGTTTTTTTTCTGCCGGCTCAATTTTTCCGGAAATTTTAAAACACAAGTGATTAAAAATTATGGATAATTTTGCTTGAAAGCATGTTGCCTAAAAATGCATGAGTTCATTTTCATATTTTCGTGCATAAACTCGTGCATTTTTTAGGCAATATGCTTTCAAGCAAAATTATCGATAATTTTTAAGCATTTGTGGTAATTCCCCCGATAATCAACAATAAGAGGTATGTATTATATTTATTTTTATTGTTAAGATTATTATTGCTATTAATGAATGGCAGTGTACTAAACCTCGGCGGTACTAAAATTTTATTGCCATCCCATTGAAAATTTCTTATATAAAAAAGGAAACATAAACCAAATGAAATCGCTTGGAAAACTAAAAATATTATTATTTTTAATTTTTAAAAACAAAAAAAAAGTAATTAATTGATCCGAAGACTTTAATTTAAATTAAATTCTTTTTAGCCTCCAACCGAAAAAATCCGAAAACCGAAACGGCAACGAAAAATGTAATTTTACCGGAGTTTCGACAATGGCTAGTAGCTCAAGATAAATTTAGAAAAAGGAAGTAAAGAAGAAAAACCAAGACTCTAAAAAAATATTTTTGACTTTTTCCAAAGAATTTTTGTTTTACATAATTAACTTTAATTTTTATCGATTATTTTTAAAATAAACTAATTTTTAAATATTTTTTATTAAGACGTGTACTAAATTTCCTTGTATTTTTAGCGTTTAAAATTTTAAAATAGATCTCTAGCTACGGTATTCTATTGTTTTAGTACATTAAATATGAGAATACCGTACTACTTCAAAACAAGAAAATTCAATTCACAAAAAGTATCACACAGCTTTTATAAATGAAGGGGTAAGAAGCAAAAGGGTACAAGTGCATTTTAGCATGAAAATAAGTTAAGTTGGGTAGTTTAGATTCCAAATTTGTTTAAAAAAAAATTTATAACGTGAAAATTGTACGAGTTCTGCATTTTGATTAATGCCAACAACAATATTAAAACAAGTATCCAGACTTTTGTATGTAGCAAAAACTTTAAAAGTTAATAACTTCACTTCTTTTTTGCACTAGGGTACAAGTGCTTAAATTAACCCCTTTAAATATAAAAGCAACATTTTATCAACATTTACAACAACATTTTTAAAATAAATATGCAATGAACTGTAAATATTTTGAAAATATTTCCAGATATTTTTGCGATGTTAAGGAAATTAATAAAATATAAGATAATGTATCTAAAACATTTACAAAAATGTGAAAAAATATTGCATAAATGTAAAAAGTGGGATGTTTTAAAAACATTTTAGGGTCATTTAAATGATAATGACTAATAAATTCTAAAATATTTAGCAAAAATATTCATTCAATATTTTAAATATACAGGGTGTTATGTAATTAATGTTATATATTAAAATGGGTTGTTCCTTAGGGTCCATAAAGAAGCACCTGAAACTTTTTTTTCTAAATTCCAAAGTCTAAAAATAATTTATAATAACCTTTATCCTACCAAAAAGTACGCCACTGATCGACTAGGAACTTTAGATTAATCTGGTGGATTTATTATGTTATGGTTGGTAACAACAGTGTTTCCAAAATCTCTCAAAAAAGTTGACAAACATTGTTTAAATTTAGCTTAATTACAAAAATGACAAAATTAACAATGCAAATTGTCAATTTGGCGTTTTTATTAATTGTTGGTTGTTTCATTTTTGTACTGAAGGTAAATTCAAACAAAATCTGCCAACTTTTATGACAGAATCTAGTGCATTTCTTTTAAATTTTAGGTTATGTTTTCAAATTGTAAATATCTTAACTAAGGGAAGTGCTTTTGGATTTATTTACACAAATTAAATGTTTAAAGTTTAACCTGTGAACTGGTCCCAATTTCATCTGAGTAAACAGAGAAAAAAACTGATGAAAAAATTAATTTTGTGGTTATGGATTTCAAATTTCAAAGGTACTAAATTTTCTAATCATTGCTTAAGCTAATAGCTGGATCAGTAAATAAATACAGAAGGGTATTAGAGCTTTAAGGGCATAAAACTTTTGTATTTATTGAGTTTTTATTTATTTTTTGCAAGTAAAATTTTTAGTAACAATTTTTTACATCTGGCAACGCATAGCTACTTTGTTGGTTGGTATCTATGTACTCACAAAATACAGGTGTGCAGAGATAAACAAGTGTGTAACCAGTGGCGTATCACAAAAAATATAAAAAACTTCTAATGCATATTTTTTCTTTATCTTTGGAAAAATGTTTTTTTTAATATTTTTTCTTTATTCTTTATGTCAAAAGGTATTCAGTATTTTAATATATAACATTAATTACATAACACCCTGTATTTTTGTGTTATGTGGGATATGATATTATTTAACATGCACCTCTATTTTTATCTCACCTGGTGTAAAGATTTAATAAAATCGAATTCTACACACAAAAACATTGAAAATAATAAGCAAGAAAATATTGAAATTGAAATTTGAAAATTGTACCTGAGAATAATTCACGTTTGTCGTAATGGCATATTTAAAATTGGTTTTGCTATCGGTCACCCAGAGGGCGGTCATATCGTTGCCGGTTTGAACTTGTTGCGCGGCGGGTTGCTGACTCGTTTCTGCGGCAACGTTGCCGGCTTGTTGCCCCGGTTGCTCTGTTTGCTCCCACTCCACGTCATCCTCGTCTTCCGCCACGTCCGATCGCTGCTGCAATATGTAATATGTAATTCAAAGTTTTTTACATTTTATTTTTATCACCAACAAATACATATTATGTGGATTCCATGGATTATAAATAATCCTTTTTTGTTCAATTTTTAAGGTGTAAGATTTTCTACTTATTTATTACTCTATTCCTACTCCACAAGTATTTTCTTGCTTATTTAATTATTTTATTAACTTAACTACATGAAATGAAATCTTTACACCGTCAAATAAAAATTGCAACAGCATGCTAAAAGTTATATGGTATTGAAATGCACTTTTTTAATGAAAGATGATTTATTTGAACCAAATTTAGGGATTTAATAATAATATATGAAAAAATATCTCACCGTGATCCGCTGTTTCTGATGCGTCTTGAGATGCTTGGACAGATGGTCGCTGCGCATGAACTTTTTGCTGCACTCGTTGCACTGGAAGCGTTTTTCGCCCGTGTGCGTTCTCCTGTGCCTCTGCAGCTCGTCGCTTCGCGTGAACCTCTTCCCGCAAAACAGCCACGTGCATACGAAAGGCCGTTCACCGGTGTGCCACCTAAACAAGATCAAAAGTTTGATTCAAATTCTGTTATTTCGGATTTAAAAAGCTAATGCCCTGAAGACAGTTTTTATAGGAAACACATAAAAAATCTATAAATTAAAATACAAATTAAATGACTTTTTTATATTAATTTTGATTTTTAAACAACTAATATTATACCGGGTGTATCTGAGAATAGGCGCACCCCTGTAACTTTTTTATTTATAAAGATAGACACATTAAATTTAGCATAGTTAATTAGGATATAAAATGCCACTTATAAGAGTAAAAAATTAATTTTTGAACTTCCGGTTTCGCCGGAAATGATACCAACTTTCGATTTTTAAATGGAATGCCCTATATATTTTTACATATTTGGAATCCTGAGGAAATTCTGAGTCAGACAGCATCCTCAAATTGACCTTTCGACGTTTCGTCATCAGAAAATGCATAATCATAAAGATCAATCTATAGTGCTTTTCTCATTTTATTATATTTGCAAAAATCAAAACCGAGCGCTCGATTTCGCTTCATTAAGCAATTACACGGTTGCCTAATTTAGCTGCGATCGCGAAGCTACGGGGTTCTATGAAACAGGAAATAAGACGGCAACACAGCCCCTGTCAGTTTGTTTATTTAGAAATAAAAATGGTGTGTCATGCCTAAATTGTTGAAAATTCTCGAACTTAGTGGTTTTATGTTAAAAAAAAGTGTAGACTTAACAGCAATATTCACGCATGGATTTATTTGTTCAAGTTTTGTAGGTATTATGCAAATGTCAAAAATGTAATTTACTTAATTAGAGAAAGTCAAAAAAATGTCCTAGTTGCTGATGTTTTGGTTTTATAACTTACAAGTAGGTAGAAACAAAATTTTAAAATTAATACATTGATTTTTCATTAAATATATTAGGTATAATTATATAAGGTAGACCTTATAATTTGTAATACCTAATTATTATCCAATATCTTAGATATTGGTTGTTTTAAAACTACAGATGTAAAAGCAAATATTAATATGCATTTTAAATAAAATATTGTACCTACCTACAAAACATGCAATATTATAATTACAATGTTTAAAAATATTGCTAAACTTTAATAGTATATTAGGTATGTACCAAGTTTGATAAACGCCATTTTATACACGAATTTAATTTAGGCACGAGCGAGCTTGCGAGCGAGTTCTTAAATTAATGAGTGTATAGAAAAGTTTATAAACGAAATGCATACCATACTTTTTCTACGACAAATACTTATTAATAATAAGTATTTGTCGTAGAAAAAGTATAGTATAAGTATAAGTTATTATTATCTTAAAATGATTTAAATAAAATATTCTTATAAAGCGCCATCTATGAAACAATAGGGGAAGCTGTGTTAGGTACTGTCAAATGTCAAATTTTTCTGTGTTATAAAGGTTATAAATCGAAATATTTTCGTTGAAAATCGATTAACAAGAGTTTTTCTCAGTGAAAGTAAAGAAAATGTTTTATGAGTCCGAGCTCGAATTTAATTTATCCAGTTTACTTTCGGCGAAATTAAAAGGTCAGTACAATGTTCATATAAACTTTTTAAATATTGGCGTTGAGAAACTATTTAATGCTTTTGTATTTTTGTATTGCGATAATGAAATAATTTTCACATTTAGTATTATTTTACAAGAAGGGCACTTTATTTTAACGATTGTATGACATTTGACAACTGTCAACTAACTTAAAGCTAACTTCAGCCCCTGACTAAAAACTGTTGCTAACTTCAGCCCGTGACTAAAACGCCATAAAGCCACAACTTTTCAATGTGTATTTAAAAGATCACTTAGTGTCATGGAAACATGCACGATAATGGACGTTTTAAAGGTGGGAGTAGAAAAAATTATATATTTAATGCAAACACATTGGTTTGTAAGTTGACATTTTCATAATCTTAAAATATTATGTTGTCAACTAGACTATAGAGGGCGTATATCGTCAGGGGCGCTATCAGGTGTTGTCCGAAAATTCGCTACCCTTAAAACCTTATGAATTTTTTTTTTGAGGAGGGGTTTAATTGAATGTCTCAAAACCGGTCCGTGTATATCGTAATAATATGCACAATTCAATAAATATGTGCTCCAATCTGATTTAAAAAAAAGTGGACTTAACACAAAATTCTTACACTGGAAATGTTAAAGGTACAAAAAGTGACAGTTGTATTTATTGGAATTATGTATTTATATGTTGGAATTCCCGTTAGAATTCTAACTCGAAAATCTACCGTCGTTAAAATCTCAAATTTTTCTGTGTAAACCAAAATTTATCTCTTGAAAATAGACTAACAAACGATATAGAAGCAGTTTTTCACATTAAAAGATAAGAGAATGTTTAATGGGCACTGCACTACATGTACGCAAAATTTTTAACGCTCTATCAGTTAAATCTAGTTAACTGCACTAAGTACTACAGCGAAATCAAATAGTATATTCTGTAACTAGTTTGGAATTCAGCATATTCCGCTCGAGTGAAGAGTTTGTCACACGAGCGGTTTCACGAGAGCGGAATATGCAATTTCAAACGTGTTTCAGACTATACTTTTTCTACGTTTCCAAAAAATACCATAGAAAATTAATTTAATTGGAAGAAAGTGAGGCTGGATCGGTCTAAAATTTGTTAGATATTAAAAACAGAGATGTCGCCACGAGTGTTTATTCTGTCATCGGATGATAGAATATTTCATTCTGTAACACTTTACGGAATATATCTCATTCCATAGATAAAAGTGATATTAGAAGGGTCAAATTCCGTAATAGGAGTAGAAAAAGGTCATTATAATACATTATAATACAAACGTTCATATAATATTTTTAAATATTGCAATATGGCGTCAAGAAACTATTTAATACTTTTGTATTGTTGTATTGATGTAATAAAATAATTTTCACATTTACAAGAAAGGCACTTTAATTTAACGATTGTATGACATGACTACAAACCTGTTGCTAATTTCAGCCCGTCACTAAAGAGCCATAAAGCCATAACTGTATTTAATTAGTCACTTAGTGTCATGAAAACATGTATGATAATTATAATGGGCGTTTTAAAGGTGGGGGTAGAAAACCGAATTAATAAAAAAAACAAAAATCTCACCTTAGATGCGCCCGCAGATGGCTGGTCTTGCCGTAGACCTTGTTGCAGCCTGCTATGTGACAAATGTGCTGCTTTTTCCTGTCCGTGTGTCTTTCGCCCTCCTTGCAGTTGGGACAGGTGCACGCCACCCTGCGCACGCGCTTCTGCATGCCGTCGTTGCTGTTCTCGCCGGTAGGCGTCGTGTTGTTGATGTCGGGCGGCGACGTCGTCACCACCGTGACGCCCGCTTGCGGCTGTATGGGCGAGTGAACGGCGGTTTGCGCCGCCACCTGCACGTTCGGTATCACCTGCCACTTGTTCGGGTCGCTGGGGTCCTGCTGGATGTGCTGCCCCACGCTTATTTGCGGGGCGGCCGCCTGCTGAGTTATCACTTGCACGTTTCCCAAACCTACAAGATTTTAGGAATGTAATCTAGTGGCCTGGGAGGTTTTCCAGTGTTGCAACCCTAGCAAGATATGTATGTACACCTTATGATAGGATGGTTTATGTAGGGCGGGGCTAATTTAGCGGGAACGACGTCATTTGTTGAGTTATTTTTTAAATCGGTAAGGTGGATGTAACGTGCGTTTACGGTCCCTACGCGCTTCAACCCTTATTTTTTTCGACTTATTCTTGGGATCCCATCTTCATATTACATCAAAATTTAGGGAATTGAAAAAGCTTTCTTTTGAAATTAATTTTAAAAAAATCAAATGTGTCGCATTTCGAGAAATAAACAAATATATTTTTAAAATCGTTTTTTTATATCCAAAAAATTTTTTCTCGCTTTCGAGACCATTTTTATCGAAAAGCGTGGAAAAAATGCTATACGATATGTTGATTATCAATTTAAAAAAAAATTATTATATACATGAATATTTCGACGTCTTTTAATTAAGCGTACGAGAAAAAAAAAAAATTTTCAGGCCCCTGTATCTCTGCAACCCGCTAATCCTTTTTGTCCCCCATTTGGAAAGTTAAACTAGTCCAATAGGACAATGATTTGGAAAAGTTTTGTTAAAATCGGAGAAAACATCATTTTTAGGTGGGAACACTTGAGGTGTTTTGCCCCATATGTAAGTTGAAATATTTTTATTCAAAATTTCATAAAGTGGTAAAGGCGTTTTAGAGTTAGAATTTTTTTACTTATTACTTAATTTTGACGCGCAGTGTATTATCGTTGAGTGAAGAAGTAGTCATTCTTTAGTCAATGGTTATATCAAATATTTTTCCAAAGATGGTATCTAGCATCCATAATGTAATATATTAACACTATCTTTAATATCAAATTAAAAAACGCACTATGTGTATTCGCGCGGCTTCTACTCATCGAGTGACGCATCCAGCCCTGCAACACTAGGAAAATTTTCCTAGTGTAGGGAATTTTTTCACAAGAGGACTAAATACAGGAGAAGTAACCTAGCAACTTACAAGTAAGTTGCTACGTAGGAGCACGCCAAAAAACGTACGTCAGAAGTTCTGACACCGTACTTATTTTAGTAAAAAAACAAAAGAAGTAATTCGAAAAAAACAAACAAAAAAATAAAAAAAAATCATTTCTATTTCCAAATTTTGGCGATTTATTTTTGATTTTACACCTTGTAAAATTATAAGAAAATTGTGAAATTGTTAAAAAAATAAGCTTACCTGGTATATTTTGTATGGTCGTGTTGGGTATGGTCTGTATGTTGGGCATCTGAATGATGTTTGATATGTTGGTGCCCCTGACTTGCTGCAACCCCGCGGCCGGTATCACGGTGAACTGCTGGCCGTTCGAGCCTGTGAAGGTGAGATTCTGGCCGGCCATGCTGTCGGTGGCCATGGTTTGCGCGACGGAAGTCTGCTGTTGCTGTTGAGGGGCACTGGTGGCGATCTGAAGCTGCTGTATCTGGCCGTTGGGCGTGATTATACTGGCCATTTGCGGCATCAGCTGCGGCTGCGCCTGGATGATGTTGGGCATGGCCGTGGCGGCCAGCTGCACGGGGAAATGTATTGTCTGGTATATCGTTTGGCCGTTGGCCGTCGATATGGGCACTTGGATGGGAATGGTTTGTTGCATGGGGAATTGCACCACCTGCGGCATCGAAGGCCTCACTTGCACGCTTTGACCATTTGACAGTTGCACTGTCTGCAACTGGTTCTGCAACTGATTCTGCAAGTTCTGTAAATTTCCTGGTAGCACTCCTGCAGGTGCTCGCAGGATCTGCCCTTGGCTGAAAATCTGCTGGGGCTGTTGACCACCTACAAAAAAACATAACTTAATTTTTTTTTAAATTTCAATAAATGGCTGGAATTTTTTTTACAAAAGTAAGAAGTTAAAAATTAATTATTATTGTTTTGACAATTGATATACTGATATTTTGAAATTAATATGCGACGAATCAATTTTAGGTTTAATTTTCAAAAAATAAATAAACTAAGAGGTCCTGCAAGCTTAGTGCAAAAAATAAAATCGGTCAGAGAATTATTAACACTATTTGTACACACCACAATCTTCATCATCAACACAAATAGTTAATGGTTTACTTAAATCCTCACTGTCTTCCTTCACTTTTGTATTAACAGTACTTTCCATTACAGTAAACATTTGTCCATCCATTTGAAAACATATGTATAGTTTAAAAAAATCGACACCAGCACCAGTACTTGACCAAATTACAATTGACCTGTCCTCTGTTATGTACACTTTTGAAAAAGATGGTTTATTCCGAGAAAAGTATACCTAGGAGGGCTGGACCTAAACTAAGGTAGTTGAAAATACTGAAATGCCATAAAATCGCGTAGGTACCGAGTTTAGTTGATATAAATAAATAAACACAAACGGAAAGAACAGGTAGTTTTGATATTGATATTTAATATTTGCGAATAAATATATTTGCTTAGTTTTTGCAGAGATTTTGGTAAATGTGATACATAAGTTTTTAACTCATACTTGTACCATTGTTTTTAAATATATTTTGTTAATGTAATGTAATTAATTCATTTAAATTATACTAATTAAGTAATTATTAGCAAGACTTGAATGAAATGTTTCAAATCACAAAATAAATCAGTAAATAAAAAAAAATATAAAAAAATAAATAAAAAAAAGTAAATCTTTTATTACATGTGTAAAAATAAGTGTTAAATTATTAACATTATTTTATGTTCTGTTTTAATTTAAAAATTTGTCAATATACCTAGTTTTATAAACTGTAAAAAGAGGAATGTTGGTTTTTAAATAAAACAAACCTTGCGATGATTTTAAAAAATTATGGATTTTGATTAAAATTCTGGATTTTAATCATTGGCTTAAAATGCTTAATTTTAAATTAAACAAAGTTGGTAATGATGTAAAAATTATGGATTTTGACCAGACTTAAATTGCGTGTTTTTAAATGAAAAACTGCCTTGATTTTTAAAAAATTATGGATTTTGATCAAAAATCTGGTTTTAATCATCGACTTAAAATGCCTAATTTGGAATAAGACAAACATGGCGATAATTTTTAGAAAATTATGGATTTTGATCTAAATTATGGATTTTGATCAGAGACCCAAAAGACGTGTTTTTAAATGAAACAATTTGCGTTGATTTTTAGAAAATTATGGATTTTGATCGATATTATGGATTTTGATCATTGGCTCAAAATGCGTAGTTTTGAATAAAACAAACTTTATGATGACTTTCAGAAAACTATGGATTTTGTCAACAGGCTCAAATTGTGTTTTGAATGAAACCTGCAATTATTTTTCGAAAAATATGGATTTTAATCAAAAGACTCAAAATGCTTGTTTTTAAATGAAACAAATTTTATTTTTGAAATTGCGTGTTTTTAAATGAAAAACTGCCTTGATTTTTTAAAAATTATAGATTTTGATCGAAAATCTGGTTTTAATCATCGACTTAAAATGTCTAATTTTGAATAAGACAACCATGGTGATAATTTTTAGAATATTATGGATTTTGATCAGAGAATCAAAAGGCGTGTTTTTAAATCAATCAATTTGCGTTGATTTTTAGAAAATTATGGATTTTGATCGATATTATGGATTCTGATCATTGACTCAAAATGCGTAGTTTTGAATAAAACAAACTTCATAATGATTTTCAGAAAAGTATGGATTTTGATCACAGGCTCAAATTGTGTTTTGAATGAAACAAACTACGATGATTTTTCGAAAAATATGGATTTTAATCAAAATTATGCATTTTAATAATGGGCTAAACATGCCTAATTGTTAAAAAACAAACCTTGCGATGATTTTAAAAAATTATGGATTTTGATTAAAATTCTGGATTTTAATCATTGGCTTAAAATGCTTACTTTTAAATTAAACAAACTTGGTAATGATATAAAAATTATGGATTTTGACCAGACTCAATTTGCGTGTTTTTAAAAGAAAAAAAACTGCGTTGATTTTTAAAAAATTATGGATTTTGATCGAAAATCAGCATTTTAATCATCGACTTAAAATGCCTAATTTTGAATAAGACAAACATGGTGAAATTTTTTAGAAAATTATGGATTTTGATCTAAATTATGGATTTTGATCTAAATTATGGATTTTGATCAGAGACCCAAAAGACGTGTTTTCCAATGAAACAATTTGCGTTGATTTTTAGAAAATTATGGATTTTGATCGATATTATGGATTCTGATCATTGACTCAAAATGCGTAGTTTTGAATAAAACAAACTTTATGATGATTTTCAGAAAAGTATGGATTTTGATCACAGGCTCAAATTGTGTTTTGAATGAAACAAACTGCGATGATTTTTCGAAAAATATGGATTTTAATCAAAAGACTCAAAATGTTTGTTTTTAAATTAAACAAATTTTATTTTTGAAATTGCGTGTTTTTAAATAAAAAACTGCCTTGATTTTTAAAAAATTATAGATTTTGATCGAAAATCTGGTTTTAATCATCGACTTATAATGCCTAATTTTGAATAAGACAATCATGGTGATAATTTTTAGAAAATTATGGATTTTGATCAGAGACTCAAAAGACGTGTTTTTAAATCAAACAATTTGCGTTGATTTTTAGAAAATTATGGATTTTGATCGATATTATGGATTCTGATCATTGGCTCAAAAGGCGTAGTTTTAAATAAAACAAACTTTATGATGATTTTCAGAAAAGTATAGATTTTGATCACAGGCTCAAATTGTGTTTTGAATAAAGAAACTGCGATGATTTTTCGAAAAATATGGATTTTAATCAAAAGACTCAAAATGCTTGTTTTTAAATGAAACAAATTTTATTTAGGAAACGAAAATAAAAAATTGCATTCTTTTTAATGTAAATGTTGAAATAAAATAATAGTGTACCTGCAAAAGACATGGCGGGAATAAAAAGCGCCTCCTGGCCGTCGACGGTGACCGTCTGCATGGGCTGCATGACGTTGTACGCCTGCAGGTTCTGTCCGTTCGCGCTTAGCAGCTGCGCGCCATGTTGCTGAAGCAGCTGCTGCTGCAGCTGCTGTTGGAGGCCTACGGGCACGCTCACCACCTGCGGTTGGCCCTGCTGCACCGGGACGCTCTTTACCGGCGTCGGCGTCGTCGACATGGTTACGGTCGGCTGTGACTGTTCGCTACAAGTAGGCCCGATTTTGCTACAGGTGGCTGCCAGAAGCGCCAGCGGGCATGGTTTGCATTCCTAAAAATAACAGTCAAATTGTTTGTATTACGGAATTCTACATTGTAGAATACCTATGCATTTATATTTTTAAATTACGCGCCACTCGTGTTTATTAGACTGTGCGGTAGAAGAGAAGAAGCATAGACATAAGTCAATGAGAAGAAGTGACAGATAAGAATAAAAGGTTAACCAAATTATTATCAAAGTTATGAGCTATGAATTTTATTTTTAAATTAATCCCACAAATATTATTAAATATTTATTTTTTAAATTATAAAATACCTAGTTCTTTATTTTGTTTAGGTTTATTCTTAAATTATTTCAAAAAATATTAAGGTAAATCTAAAAATGAATTTTGTTAAATTATTAAACGATATTTATTTGAATTACATTTCACTTATGCCTATAGGCATCTCAGATTTCGTTAGCATCGTGTTATTCCATTGTATTTTACAGTGATGCCAAATTGTATCCAATTTATATTTTAATACCTACAACTAAAATTTCAATGATCGTAGTAGCCGTGCCGCGCTTGTGCGCATGATCCACGATTTGTTTTTGTTTTTACATGGCGTCCGTTTTTAAAATATTTCGACATGTTGGTGTTACAATTCGTATTTTTCGGACTTTTTAAGAGTTTATTTTACGAGGTAAGTTTTATTTGACCCTGTATTTATACATTTAAATGTGTTCTTTGTATTTCATACTAATAATTCTACAACTGGTATAGCTTTACAAAATAATTTGTGAATCAAAACATTTGTTAATTAATATTTAAGAGGTTAATGAGTTGAAAGTAATTTAAAATTCAAAAATAAATCGGTATGACAGCCCGGTGCATAATAGTAAATTATGCAACGACCATTTAATGATGGCTATTAAGACATAATCATATATCTTATAAGAATTTAGACATAGGCGAAGGCGAGTGCATTCACTATTTTTTTCCACCATCATATTATGATCATAATAATTCTAAAATGTTTAGTACCTAGGTACCTCTTTGCTGATTTTACGTGTACCTTGCGGCTTTTGCGGCCTGTAACAATTTTTGAGTTATGTAAACCGTAACTTTTAAAATTGTAACATTTTAGATCTGTCCAAGGCAATAGATATTGACAGAATATTGCCGTGTATAGCATTTCTATTGGTTAATTTTGCCGTGCATTGCATCTCTTTTGGTTAGAAATCTGTACCCTAATGAAAAATTTGTATTATAATGGATTTCATTATAGTACAGGTAGGAAATGTCTAATAAAAAAACGTAAATTTACTTTTATTTAGTTACGCACAGAATGGCAAAAACTGGATACTGCGCTGTGTGCAGTAAAAGTACAGGAGCGGACGTAAAATTTATTTTATTATTTTAATGTGCATCCAACAGGCACCAGGCCCAATTACAGGAGTCACTAGGGTTGCCACCCGTACTTTATAATAAAGTATTGTACGTTATTTTAGGTAATTGTACTCTATACTTTATGAGAACAATAAAGTACACAAAAATACTTTATTTCGCATGATTTGATTTCTTTGGAATTTTGAAAAGTTTAGTCGTAAGTATTTTTTCGTTAAACGAAATTTATCGATGTCGCCACTCGCCAGCGCCACAGACGCATTGTGTTAATCTGGTTAATAAAGACGTTTGTCCAGGACCATAAGGGCGGTGGTTTAACCACCGTGGTTAAGCCATAAATCCGCCCTAGTTGAAAGAAGAAGAAGACACAATTTCTTGTTTAATTTGTGCGAAGCGGTTTAAGTGCAATAAGAATACGATTTATAGTTTTATAGATTTATGCTAGGTATAGTAATTTACTATACTATTAGTAAATCATGGACAAGAATACTCCACATACACCTACAAAACGTAATTTCGGTAGTGAAACGGATCAAATATTTGATAGTGAATATGTTACACCAAAAAAATGTTTAAACCGCAAAAAGCAATAAAAAATAGGTTTTTAAATTTAAAAAAAAATAAATTGTACTTTATTTTGATACTATGTACTTTTTTTTCTTACCTATAATAACCAATGTACTTTAACTGCAAAAAAAAAGGTGGCAACCCTAGGAGTCACTGACACACACAAATAAACAGCCATACCCCAAATTACCAGAGGAGTGTATAAATATGGATAAATTTTGTATTACACTCGGTATTACAATAAACATAAAATTGCGTTTTATAGTAAAAATGTTGGCTTCAAAAAAATGTAATATTATTGCGCACTGTTAAAAGGAACGCGTCAACTTAAAACTCACCCTGTATAGGTTATAACTAGTTTAGGTACGGCCCTGGTGGAAAGCATCATATGTAGAGACAAAGAAGACCATATGGCATGGAAAATGTATTTAGAAATTTTGTAGTAAAACATGTGGTTCAATAGAGAAACGTTTTATACCTACATACGTTCTTAAAAATACAATTTTGTAAATGTACCATATTTGCCACCAAACAAGATAGATAACAATTTGAACGATTATTTATTTAGAACATATATGTATACAATCTGAGCATTTACCTACAAGTAATTAATAGCTAATTGTCTGTTCTTTTGGTATAATAGGTAGTTAATCTTTGTTCTTTTTAAATATTTTCTTAACATTTAATTTAACTTGTAAACATGTTTTTCTATGAAAGGTTTGTTTTAAGGGGCGAGAAGATAAAATTAGTAGGATGGCTGGCAAGGGCTGATTAAAAGATGTATTGTTGATATCTTCACTCAACACGGTTGTATGTATACTATGTATACCTATATAATATAGCATAGCGTAGTGGAAGTAAAGAGCGGTGAGCGTTCGGTAGTATATAGCTAGTGACCTCCTCTCGTATCTAGAACCGGGACAAAGCAGCAACTCCCACTGCACCAGCCCGCCCTAAACTAGTGTTTATCTTACCTAAATTACCACGAAAATCAAACATCTTAGTACACCCACCTGTGTTGAGTTGTCGACGCATTCACTTTTAATCACAGTCACTTCAGAAGCCATTATTGTTTTTTATTATTAATTTCAAAATTTTGCACATTGTTGAACACACTTTTACCAATTATTGCTCTCATGTAAATTGTTCTTTATTACGTAGGTGCGTCACCTATTTAATTCAATTTCAATCACGGCGATAATTCGGATTTCCCACCTAATTAAATTGCACTACTAATTAACGAAAATTCCAATTGGGCGTGATATATTTCCTTCGTCCAAGACTCCCAACAAAACCAAAATTCTATAAGTTACAGGCTGGGCGATCGGAGCACAAACCACGCCATTCTGGGACTGGCTTGGGTGGGGAGGTAGCGCAATACAACGGTCTTTCAAATAACGGCTGCAACGCCAGGGGCGGGGACACACCACAATCGCCCGCCAAATTTAAACTACAGCCTTCCAAATATTAACATTTCCTCCAAAGGCAATACAAAATGTATTCGACTAATATCAACATCAGTTCAACATAGTTTTTATGCGGTATTATTGATAAATAGTGGAAATGAGAGCTTTAAAATGCATGCAAGATGTTGTTGTGGCACGTCAGACACAAGGGGCGTCAGTCGTCTAAATTTCACACCCGCCACTCCCCTCTAATGCCCATTGACCCACTTACTGGGCTAAGCCCTAATTTGGTCAACATTTTCGGCGAAACCTTTCGAAAATCCTTCAATTCGATCCAGCATCGAACAAAAAGTGTTTTTAATTGTACTGCGTTTAATATTCAGCATATGAACGCGACAACAAAGAAATGCATAGGTGTTTGTCGGCGGTCCCTAATAATATAGCGTGTGATCCGTAGTGTCCCTATGTTGCAGGGGCAGGTCGTTTCCGCGGGGGTGTGTGCATGGTTACGCCTACCGCCTTTGAACACGCACCTTTCTTGGCGAAAATCAGACTGCGACCAGAATCTAAACAGTGCTCATCAGCTATCCACTACCTAAATAAATAATTCCTTAGTATGATTTTAAAAAATCTCAAGCATTTAACTCGAACAGTACTGTAATGAATTTTTTTTGTAACTTTTTGTAAGTGTACATACCTACCTAGTTAGCATTTTAAAAATTTAGTGTTTACGGATATAACCTTAAGGTATAAATTTATACAAGGTGTTATAGAATATACTTAAGTAACCTTCTTTATCTCTGATTCTAGAATCTCAGAATCCAAATGACGTTCTGATTCAGAACGTCTTTTGGAACAACTTTTGTTTATAACCTACATTTTTTAAACTATTTTAAGGTTTTAATAAAAAACGGTTAAAATAACGAATTGAGTTTATTTAAAATACCTAAACTTAATTCCATTTTCTATGCTTAATTCTAGTGAAATTGATACCCAGTGTTGCCAGTGTTTAGGTAGGCAAGACAAATTAATTTTTGTAACCATAATGGTGGCTACAAATTATTTTTTTTAATCATATGGTGGCCACAAATTAATTTTACTAAATTAGCATTATATTATACGAAAACAATTCTGTCTAAAAAAAATAGCTAATTTCGCGGAGCTAATCCCGAACTAATTCCGGACATCCTAGGCATGCGCTTTTTAAAATTTGTCGTTCAAATTGTAAAGTGCGCATGACAAATATTAAAATGCGCATTCCTAGGATGTCCGAAATAGTTCGGGATTAGCACCGCGAAAACACCTAATGGTATAAAATCGTAAAAAATGGTACCTAAATTGACGATGGTACGAAGTACAAAAAATGGTATAAATACCATTATAATATTATATGGTACTACTGGCAACACTGTAGGTACCTACCTACGATTTTTTGCTACTGGCGCACGATGCTCTGTTGTTGGATCAACCTCGGTTTTTCTAATCTATGCCTCGGTTACATTTGATAAAATAATATCCTAGAATTACTTAGGGGCCGTCCATAAATCTCGTGACGAGGGGAGGGGGGTTTTCAAGGGCCATCACGATTTGTCACCCCCGAGAGAGAGGGTTTATTAAAACGCGACATGACAAAGTAAATCCAAAAATTGTTAATTTGTTCAATTTTTAGTCAGATTATTATAATAATCTTTGTATACAAAAGATATTTGAAAAAAATATTTTTAGGAGGTAGGAGTTTGATAATTTTTCATCGTCAGTGACGATTCTTCACATTCTGTCACGAGTCAAATTTTACCATTTTTAGCGTCACGAGATTTATGGACGGCTCCTTACGGGGCCTAATTAAGCATTTTTCATTTCACCCTGTATTTACAAATTTCATAAAAGGTACAGCCTAAAAATGAAATTTAAATAACCTGTGTTTTAAGGAAATTTAAATGAAATTTTGAATGCTACTTTGGATTTTTTTGTATTTTTATTCCTTGATTCATAAAAAATACCTATCGTTTTTTTAAAAAATTCCTTGTTTTTGTTTTTTAGCAAGTTTTTGTGGAATATATGAAAAATATGTAAAAAAAAACTATGAAGAAAGGCCTTTTCTAAGAAAAAAAAATATCGCAACCCATGTTACATCCACGTGTAATCGTGGTTGACGCAGCTTTTTTGTCATTCTTATTGCATTTTTCTTAAAAAAATTGTATATTTTTTTGTTTCTGATTTTTTCACGAATTTTGTAGGTATAGGCAAAATAATAATAATAATAATAGTAATAATAAATAGCTTTATTGTTAAATTTGTTTAACAAAAGTTCAACACATTGCCAAAGGGTTCTTCAACTTAACTTAACCATATACTTACCACACCTAAGTATATGAACTTAACTTAAAAAACGCATGACGAAACCAAGTTTACAACCACGTGATATCTGGATTGCCTACATTCAGAGTTATTAGTGAATTCAGGGGCCCAATATCCAATTTATTGCAAATTCCATAACATTTATCAAAATTTTCGTGAAATTACGACTCCAGTTGAAATGATTAAGTAAAAATATTATATTATATTATTGCCCATAATTAACCAAGTACTTTTTTTAAGAGAATGCATTAGAAGCGTATATTTTAATTTTTGAAAATGTTACTCAAATGGAGTTTGCTGGGTTTGATATTAGGCCCAGTGGCGTAAATAACACCCCCTCAGAAACCGCACCTGAATGTTGTTCTGGATATACATTTTTTCAAACACCCTTTTGGGTGTAAACATACATATATTCTAAATCGCCTCTTTTTATAGAGACGTCATTAAATGATGGTAAAGGTAGTAACAAAAACAATATTGTTTACTTTCTTAGTTTAATAATGTCAGATTCTATTATAATAAATATTTTTGCCAAAATTATATGGTGCCAAAATTATAACAATCATTTAGTTTGTATAATATAACAAAAGTTTAAGAAGGCACTTGATTTTTGTTTTCTTCAGATTTGAAAAACATTACAATAATTAGGTACTCATTGAAGGAAAATATAATAATAATAATAATAAAAAGTGTGTACTATTATTTTTGTATAAATATATTTACAAAGCGTTAACAATTAAAATAAAATGGGCAAATATAACAATAAAAATAAACCTATAGAGAAAAACTAAAACCGAGTCTGTTAGGTATTTAGTTTAGTATACTACATAAAGCTTTTCCAATATGTATAGTGATTTTTTATTAATAAATTTAATTTAGGAACATTGACAACCTCTTTAATAATAATTATTACTACAAATTTAGAAAATGATTTAGTCAATGACATACAATTACACAATAATGCAAATATAAATGCAAAAATTAAAAGCATCTCAGAGATAAAAATGGCAAAGTTTTTGATTGTTTAAATGGTGGCATCATTCAAACACAACAGAGATAATGAAAAAATAACAAGGAAAGCTTAATTAATTAAAATGCACAAAATAATATCACAAATTGGCTACAACTAAAAAATTAATGAAAAATGTATTGTGCGATATTCCATTAAAGGACTATGGCCATTCCATAACAAATTGCCCATATCAAAAAGTATCTTTAATGGGAATATAAAAAAAAGGTCGAGCAATTTGCTATGGAAAAATCCATATGTATTATGTATACATATTAAAGGCATTAAATGCATAGGTAGGTATACATTAATATTGCGAAAAAAATCAGGATGAGATTAAATGAAATTAAAAATCTTCCTATCAATAATTTTTCGGAAACGTTTGATCTAAGAGATACAGTGGAAACAAAAACAGGTTAAAAGGAATTTCATCCTAATTTTTTTCTCACCTTAATGAATCAGCCTATATACATGTAGATTGAAGTGCTCGTTTATTCATAAGTATTTTGTAATAAATGGTCCATATGTAGGTAGGTATATAAAAATGTTCCAGTCAGTTTGCTATTAGAAAAAGTATGTACAATTTTTCAGTTAAAAGTGTGTAATAAAATTTTACTTCTTTGGTTTCACAATCTAATCAATAATGCAAAATATCATAAAGCTAGAAACTGCCCAATAGAACATTTCCCACGTTTTAAAATCAGCGCTCCAAATATATTAAATAAATAATATAAATATATGTATGTGCCATTTTTCTTGTTTATTCAATTAAATATTAATTATTGTAGCTATAATTGTATCACAGTTATTAGTTTAATTGTTTTGGGCTGCTGCACAACAAACCTGTTTTTTTCGCTAATACTGAATCAAGAATTCAAAGAAAAATGATTTGTTTTCAATTCGTCGGCACGCACAAAAAATCCGACGTTCTTCTTTTTTTCAGGAGGTAACAGTTCATGTGGTCTTTTCCCTTTACGTAGACGGGGCCTCGCGCATCGAAATCGTACTTTTTCTCCAAATACTCCAAGCAATTTTCTCCCACTTGTATGTGCCCATTCACCCCCGTCGAGTCCATTCGAGATGCGATGTTCACGCTGTCGCCCCAAATGTCGTAATACAGTTTTGTATTGCCTAAAATTTAATAGTACATTACATGGGAAGTTTGCTGCACGAGCGAGGCGAAAGATGAAATGAAAACGGCGCGCGCACATGCCTGCGTCGTATTAAAATCACATACTTCCACACATATACTGCCTATATGCCTAATTTTGTATAAATGAAATTGTTTCCTTTTTTGAGGGGAAATTTGTCGATTTGCATGTCGTATCATTTTACCTTATGCGTCAGTTCTTAAGGGGGGATTTAAATTATATGTTACGTGTAATACGAATTGTCAACTAAATAAAATTTAGGTGATATCAAATTTTTCTAAATCCTTTTCGTACATCGCCTAGGTTAAGCTTACATATGTACATTTCTGTGGTTTGGCTTTATAAAAAGCAAAAAGTGGCATAATACGCATATTATGTAAAAGCCACTAAAAATCTCATAAACACAATGAAAAAAAAACAATGCTAAAACAATTAGTATACAACATAAACCAAACAAAATGGTTAATTATAAAAACCATATTAATATGTCTATGATAAAAACCTTTTTGCTATCGTGGTCGAAATACGACGTTGCCAAATTCTTGCTATTATAAACATACCATTATAAAATCTAAAATATCATTTTGTTAAATGCTTTTTTTCATACAATTTACATACAATTTATTAAGAAGTATTTATTATACTTCCCAAAAATATGGTATTTTTGTGGCAAAAAAATAATCGAACAAAATTCGCAGTTAATTTAAAAAATGGACAAATTCGGACAATAGATATTTTTTTAATTTTGCAATTTTTTTTAGTTTCTGATTTTATTTTATGATTTTTGAAAAAACTATGAATTAATTGAACAAAATTCGCACTGTGGAATAAATTAAAAAAATGGTAGTATAGCACAAATTCAGACAATAGTTTAAAATATATTTTTAAAAATTGTTTTGATCCTTTAAAATTTTGGGTTTTTGTTTTTTTTTCTTTTTTGAAGTTTGAATTCTGTTAAATATGCCCTAGCGGAAAAACATATTAGCACAGTAAATTTAAAAAAAAATATTATATTTTAAAATTGTTTTTAATTTTCAAAATTTCCAAAATTAAAAGTTTTAATTTATTTTTTGATTGTTTATAAAAAAACTATGAATTAATTAAACAAATTCGCACAGTGGAATAAAATTAATTTTTTAATTAAAAAATGGTAGGACAAATTCACACAGTAGTTTAAAATATATTTATATTTTTTTTATCCGTTTAAAATTATCGAAATTTTGAGTTTTTGGTTTATTTTTTTTATCTTAATTTTGTTTTTTTTTTTAAATTTGTCTTGATTTTTTTTTAATTTAGAATTCTGTTAAATATGCCCCCTGGCGGAAAACATTAGCACAGTAAAAAAAATGAAAATTTTGTGTTTTTTTTGTTTTTTTTTAATTTTCATCCTTACAAAAATTTAAAGTTTTGATTTATTTCTTAATGGCTTATAAAAAACTATGCATTAATTGAACAAAATTCGCCCAGTGGAATAAATTTAAAAATGGTAGGACAAATTCGCACAGTTGTATAAAATATATATATTTTTTTGATCTCTTAAATTTTTTTTAAATTTGGAGTTTTTTTGTTTTTTTTATCTTAATTTTGTACTTGATTTTTTTTTCTTTTGAACTTTGAACTCTGGCGGCAAAACAGAACATTCGACAAAAAGTGGCAAATGACACAAAATATGTCCTTACCGATGACTGCAGCAGTGACGTCGCCAATATTATAACCAACTCTCAAAATCAAATTGAACTCCAACAGGTCCCTGTTGAAGTCGTTGACGACGTTTTGCAGTTCCAACGCGAACTCCATCAGAGCGAAAAGGTGTTCGTTTTTGTCCCGTTGCCGGCCCCTCAGGTCGGAGTTTAGGCCGGAGGCGGCCATAAAAGTGCTACCGATCGTTTTGATTTTCTCCACGCTGCAAAACTCCGGACGATCCAATAACTCGTCGAAATCGCTGATCAGTTCGTTGAGCACACGCAAATACTCAATACCGCCTGAAATAAGAGATATATATATATATATATATATATATACAGGGTGAGTCATAAGTGGTGAACTTCCCAAAAGGTGCATGTAGGGGGGCCTTAATATATGTAGGGAAAAATGTTTAAAAAAATCTATCTGCTTTGGTACTCGAGTTATGGCCAAGAACTCAAAAGAGAATTTTGGCAACGTGTAAACACTAACAATGTTACAGGAAATTATTAGATTTCATTTTAATTGAAGTAACTAAGGAACTTATTTGAATTGTTACGTGCTTATATTGTTGTCATTACTGTCATAATAAAAGACAACAATGAGACAGTTGTTGTGATTATAATACTTAAATAATAATTAAAACCAAAATCAAACAAAATAAAAATTTATGAAAAAAATAACATAAAAAAGCATGAACAAACATTACAAAAATTGCTCGAATTGATGCCCCTGATTTTGCAAACACAATTCCAGTCTTATTCTTGTACTAACTTGTACTTGGGTCAACATTTCTGGGGTCACAGTTGTTAAAGCATTTCGAATACGCAGTATTAGTTCCTCATTATGTACCGGTGTTTGGTACACCAATGCTTTAACATGACTCCATACCTAGGAGGCCAAGAAACTGGGCCGTTACGACCTATCCACCTGTTAGGATACTGTTCATTTAGCCAATTTCTAACAGGAGCGGCAAAATGAGGTGGGGCACCATCCAGTTGTATCCACATGTTGCGCAATGTGGCCAAGGGTAAATTGTTAATTTCATTAGAAATTTCGTTCTCCAAAATATTTAAAAATTGATCCCTATTCAACCGCCGCGGTAATATGATAGACCCAATAACCCAATTTTTAATTATCCCAACCCAAACATTTACACTGAAGCGATTTTGATGATTAAATTTCCATTTTCTATATGGATTTTCTTGGTTATAATAATGGCAGTTTCTACTATTAAAATACCCATCCCTACTAAAATTTGCCATAAAATACGAGTTAAAAAATCATCATCCTCATTAATATTTCCCAATAACGCAAACCGAAATCGTTGTTGTTTAGAGCCTGAACTTTAGTGTAGTGGTATGGATGGAACTTCTCCTTCTTTAATCGCCTGGTTATAGATGTCTGGGACATGCCTAGCTCCTGAGCAATCCCTCTGGTACTTCTTGTTGGACCTTCTTGAATCAGCTGGATGATTAACTCATCGGCTTCGGGTACAATCTCTAGAGGCCGACCAAGGTCAGGACCTGCCGTGGGAATTAGAGATCCAGTCTCTCTAGCTCTGACCATCATCCTTCTAAAAACTCCCGGCGATGGGTGGGTTATGTCAGCGAATCTTGCTGCGTATACCCGGGCTTCTTCATTGCAATTTTCTTCACAGAATACAAGTACCAGCATCATATTCACATATTCTTGATTAGTGTACATTTTATTAAATAGACTCGACAAAATAATAACCAAAAAAATAAAATATAAACGTCAAACTTAATTTTCGCATTGTTGATTACAAATAGACTCGACAAAATAATAACCAGAAAGCACCAAAAAATATAAACGTCAATGTCAATTTTCGTATTGTTGATTACAAAGTTGCCAGATCATTTCAATTGTTAAAAAATCATTCTAAAACATTAAAATTAAAAGAAAATACACTTTTTCGGGCAATTTTTTTGCCAGGAAATATTTAAGAACCCGAAACTCTTCAGTAAAAATCATATAAGGTGGAAAAATATTAAATAATAAAAAAGTTAAATTTAAAACTTAAGACCTGAATTCCTCGGTCACTTTTTCATTTGGAATTTTTTTAACATTTTTCCCTACCTATATTAAGGCCCCCCTACATGCACCTTTCGGGAAGTTCACCACTTATGACTCACCCTGTATATATATATACACAGGGTGTTTCTTAATTGTATGCTGAAATATATTTTTATTCGTATTTTCTCACAAAATGCATTTGTCTCGAAAATAGTGTGAAATACTTCCAAGGGACCTACAGCCTCTTAAAGGGCCGCCCCTGAAGATTGTTTTTTATTGATATTTCCGAAACGGTTTGAGATAAAATAATGTATGTTCGGGACATGTATTTTTTCATTAATATTTATGGTTAAATTTATTAAATTGAGGGAGAAAAAAGATACATTTCACCGATACAAATCACGAGTGGTATTCGGCAAGATAATTTCACGAATATTTTTTTTAATTAGAATTAACTGCCGAATTAATTTCTGTATGATTTTTTTGACCAAAACGCATAATTTTTTACATTTTTATTTTAAAATTAAAAACGTCAACATTGACAATTATTTTTCCCATAGCAACCAATTGATTGAATTTGCAACTCGTATAAACGAGTTTTTTTTTCGTAAGTAATATCATAAGGGCATCTAATTTTTCCGAAAAAAATCGAAAAAACACGTTGCTAAGTAATATTTTAACAAGATGCATGAGTGCTGGGGGCAACAAAAATCCGAGTCGAAGACGAGGATTTTTGCACCTGCACGAATGCTTTTTGTTAAAAAATATTACTTAGCATTGTTTTTTTTCGATTTTTTTCACAGGAAAAATTAGATGCCCGAATGGTATTTGACAAGACTATTTCATGAGTAACAGTTAACAATTAAAATATAAATTGCAATTTTTGGTGACAACAGCTGTCAAGTTTTGCCGCGGGTAAATTGCTGACAGGTGCTGTCATACAGTTTTTTCACCTAGAAACCATTTGTAATTCAAAATTGCGCGTTTGTGATTGGTGGAAATTAAGACGAGGGAAATAGTCTGTGATACATACCTTCGTAAGTTTCGTCGTACAAATCATTGAAATTGACGATACTGGCGAATATGATGGCAACATTCTTAAAATTCTCCGAATATTTGGCGTCTTTCTTCAATTTTTCGGCGACGTGCTCGGGAACGATGTTGTAAATCAAGTAGTCGGCCTGATTTTTCAGCGTTTCGATGTGGATTTTGTCCTTATTGGAGACGTAGTTGGCGTGAAAGGACAACCGATAACCGATCTCGAACTCTCGATTCAAAAAGAACACCAGAATCAGGAGCAGCATCAAATTGACGAACAACTCCAGCATGTGAGGGATGTCTTGCAAACGGGGGTTTTCGTTGGTTGCGGTTGGTGCTGGGCTCGAGTTGGTGTCGTTCGAAGTACTCGGTTTGGAAAAGAAAACGATCGGTACCGGTTCTTGCACCTCGAAGGTATCGTTTAAAAAATATCTATCGATTACATCTTCAACGCTTCTTTCAACTCTTCTGATATTCGATGACGACGTTTCGTTTATTTGCGAGGAAGTAGGAACGTTCAAACCACTACTGATCGCGTGATTGTGCAATATCAACGAGACGAATAGGAGGCAACACAGGATGGCGACGAAGTTTTTCACCCAGCAGTTAACCTGGGTGAAGTTGCAAAAATGCACCAGAGAAAGGAACAAAATGTACGAGTACACGTGCAGATGATTGTAGGAGATGTTTTGGTCCTGCACGAAGTTGATTAGGGTGAGAAACATCGGCAAGCTAACCAATAGGGTTCCGTATAAGTTCCACTGGAAAAAGCTGGTCATGAAGTGCATCTTCTCGAAGTAGAATATGATTCTGTTCCAGCACAAAAACGAGCCCAATATTTGCAGGAACAGCATGATGAGAAACGCGACCGACCAGCATATGGTGATGTTGTAGAAAAGGAGTAACTCCAAAGATATGAAGAGAAACGCGACGAAACTCACGAAAACGTCCAAATACGTGTTGAATTTCGAGTTCGCGAGAGTTTCAAAAGGAGATACCAGATGAACGTTTTGTCTGTAATCATCCTCCATGTTTCTATTCTTAAAGTACAACGTGATTTTCGACAAGGGCGGTTTTATGAAGTAATTCGACTGCGACTTGCTGTTGTCCTGCACGCACTTTATAAGCTGTCGATCGCTCTGTTTCCTTAAGTTTTGTATACAAACGCCGCTTTTGTCGAAAAACACCCCTGAATGGGTGTTCAAGGACGATAAATGTCCTGCTACTTTGCAGGAAATGTTCGCTCCATTCGGGGAGTTTACCGTGCTCTGGGAGGAGGTGTAATATCCGGAAACGCGGTGTTGCAGAAGGTCCGAATTGTTGGTGGAATCAAGCTAAAAAATATAACATTTGTTGGTATATTCTTTATTACCACCGGAATTATATTTGTAACTTTTCTCTCTAAGGTTCTTTCCATCTCAAATATTTTTTTTTACAGTTTCTCTACCCGTATTTTTTCTTTTTGTTTAAATTTGTTTTGTTCACTTGTAGGAAATTTTTGAAAAATGGACAGAAACATCGATTTTTCTCTTTTCACGAGTGACATTTTTTTTTGATAATGCGATAACTTAGCCAAAAATGTTTCGATTGTTAAAATTTTTTGGTTGGCAAATAAAGAACCAAAATTGGTCGCATTGATTAGAACAAACTAAGCTAGTTATAAATCTAATTGTGGTTATGTATAAATTATTGTAGGTGACATTGTGCAGTTGTCAAGTTGAGTTGTCGAAATTCGTAGTTAAAAATGCAATTAATTTGGCTTTGGTGGTGCTTGGATGAGTAAAATCATATAAAAAACGTAGTTAAATATAGGTTGTTTACGGCTCAGAAGAGAAAGTATTCCTAGCGGATAATAATCTTCGCTTTGAAAAGAATTTATATAAAAGAAATTAAAATTTGTTGTGAACGTAAATGTTGTCCAATGGTGAATAGGTATTTTGTTAAAGCCAATAAGAATTATAATGTATACCCTGATGTTGTGAATGTAATATTTATAAAACCAAATTCGTTACTTTTTCTTCCATTGTGGCATTTGGCATAATTTTATCAAAATGAAGTTTTGCCCTCAAAAGGGTTTTTACCACAGACCTGTGGTTTTTACATTTGAATTCGTTGCTATTATTTTTGGCATAATTATCTTTTTATTTATAATTGACAAGTGAATTATCAATAATAAATATTATTGTCAATTTGACAGTGTCAAAATATTTAATTAACAGCCGGTTCCATAATCAAATTAAAGCTTCCTTTAATTTCAAAAGTCTCCTTTAAAGTAGCAAATCTGTTTCATAATCGATTTTTAAAAGTAGCTTTACGCAAAAGTCGACTTTTTCGTAAAGCCCCAAATTTGGTCATTTTTTATCCAAAAGTCGACTTAAACCTAACCTTTTGACGTTTTGGTAATGTTTGCTTAAAAATAATAATTATTGTATTTGGGTACGATTTCGTTTTATGATCTGTGGTACGATCTTATTCCTATTTTGTGGGTACGATCACGATGAATCCAAATCGTTTATTTGACACGAGTTCAAGTTCTGCATCAGAAAGCGAGGAAGAAAATGTAATTGTTTTAAGAAGGGGAAAATTTATAGGACACGACAACAGTATTTAAAAAAATATGACGATATAGAATTTTTTGATCGATTTCGGTTGACAAAGCCTACGGTTCTAGCATTACTTCAACAAATAGCACCTTTAATATCTCTCCCTACAAATAGGTAGGTACCTATATATTTCATAAGCTGTTTTATTGTATGTTAAATATTCCACAGGGGTGGTTGTATCCAACCAGCAGAGCAGTTACTGATAACATTAAGGTTTTATGCCATAGCCTATGGCCTATGGCCCATAGGTAACTTTTTAATAACAGCTGATGATTTTATGGGAATTTCAAAAACCTCAATATGCCGAATTGTAAGAAGAGTTTCATTAGCAATAGCTTCACTACGTCCTCAGTATGTTAAAATGTATGAAACAAATAAAGTGCTGCCCAAGCTTTTTATATGTTGGCCAGATTTCCACGTGTAATTGGCGTTATAGACTGTTCACTTATTTCTATAGATTCGATAGGAGGTAGAGATGCAGAAATATATCGCTGTCGAAAAGGATATTTTGCATTAAATGTACAGACTGTGTGTGATGCTCAATTAAAAATTAGGAATATAGTGGCCCGATGGCCAGGCTCGTGCCACGATCAAACCATTTTTAACAATAGCAGATTAAAGCAGGAATTTGTGTTCTTCTTTTAATACGCTAACCCAATAAAGAAACACTATACTTAAATTAAGGTTATAAGTAACTTAATGCATAAAACTATATAACAAAAATTGTTAATATACAAAATGACAGAAATGACGGGATGTTACTTGACAATTTAAAAAATAGTTCATATACACCCATGAACCTATCTTCACGAATGGAATTTTAGGGGCGCCAACATAACAATATTTTAAAAATCCATCCTTTACTTAAAGAAGGATTTAATTTCATTATGGAACTGATCGCACTTTAAGAACGATTTTAAAGCGACTTTAAGATAAAGCTTACTTTTCGCAAAGAAGCCTTTTGATGTTATTTATGGAACCGGCTGTAAATTCTTTAGCAGAAGTACCATTTTTAAATACAGCCGGTTCCATAATCAAATTAAAACTTCCTTTAATTTCAAAAGTCTCATTTAAAGTAGCAAATCTGTTTCATAATCGATTTTTAAAAGTAGCTTTACGCAAAAGTCGACTTTTTCGTAAAGTCCCGAATTTGGTCATTTTTTATCCAAAAGTCGACTTAAACTTAACCTTTTGACGTTTCGGTAATTTTTGCTTAAAAATAATAATTATTGTATTTGGGTACGATTTCTTTTTATGATCTGTAGTACGATCTTATTTCTATTTTGTGGGTACGATCACGATGAATCAAAATCGTTTATTTGACACGAGTTCAAGTTCTGCATCAGAAAGCGAGGATGAAAATGTAATGGTTTTGAGAAGGGGAAAAATTTATAGGACACGACAACAGTATTTTAAAAAATATGACGATATAGAATTTTTTGATCGATATCGGTTGACAAAGCCTACGGTTCTAGCATTACTTCAACAAATAGCACCTTTAATATCTCTCCCTAAAAATAGGTAGGTAGGTACCTATTAATATATTTCATAAGCTGTTTTATTGTATGTTAAATATTCCACAGGGGTGGTTGCATCCAACCAGCAGAGCAGTTACTGGTAACATTAAGGTTTTATGCCATAGTTAACTTTTTAATAACAGCTGATGATTTTATGGGTATTTCAAAAACCTCAACATGCCGAATTGAAAGAAGAGTTTCATTAGCAATAGCTTCACAGTATGTTAAAATGTATGAAACAAATAAAGAAATGCAAAGTGCTGACCAAGCTTTTTATATGTTCGCCAGATTTCCACGTGTAATTGGTGCTATAGACTGTTCACTTATTTCTATAGATTCGATAGGAGGTAGAGATGCAGAAATATATCGCTGTCGAAAAGGATTTTGCATTAAATGTACAGACTGTGTGTGATGCTCAATTAAAAATTAGGAATATAGTGGCCCGATAGCCAGGCTCGTGCCACGATCAAACCATTTTTAACAATAGCAGATTAAAGCAGGAATTTGTGTTCTTCTTTTAGTACGCTAACCCAATAAACAAACACTATACTTAATGCATAAAACTATATAACAAAAATTTTTAATATTCAAAATGACAGAAATGATGGGATGTTACTTGACAATTTAAAAATAGTTCATATACACCCATGAACCTATCTTCACGAATGGAATTTTAGGGGCACCAACATAACAATATTTTAAAAATTCATCCTTTACTTAAAGAAGGATTTAATTTCATTATGGAACTGATCGCACTTTAAGAACGATTTTAAAGAGACTTTAAGATAAAGCTTACTTTTCGCAAAGAAGCCTTTTGATGTTATTTATGGAACCGACATAAGCCACCAACCTAACAAAAAACATGAGTCCAGATAAAAAAAAAATAAATTGTATGTATTTATTATATAATAATTATACATAATTACATACCTATGTATAAATTTATTTATTTTATTTTGAACCAAAATATGTAAAAATGCATAGGGTGTTTCATAAAAAAATTAAAAGTTAAGAGAATTCACTTAATTTTTTATATAGTTTTTTGTATACATACTACATGGAGTAAACATTTACCTACAATTTAAAAAAAAATTGTCGCATTTTCAACAAAAAATGTCACGCGTAAAAAGAGAAAAATCGATGTTTCTGTCCATTTTTTTTAAATTTCCTATGGGTGAACAAACCAAATTTAACCAAAAAGAAAAATTCAGGTCTCATGGATTTCGGTAAAGAAACTGTAAAAAAAATTCGTTAAAAAATAACGACCTACCTCTTTTTGTATGGTCAACAGAATTTAAACTATTGGCAATGTTGCATTTTAGAAACAGTTAAAAATAGCAAATGCGACCAAAAACAGAAATTTAGATTTGGGGTGTATTTTTACCTGTTGTATGCTGCTTCTCCTGCTGTTGCTTTTGATACCCGAATCCTTGCGACTGTTGGCGATCGAACAGTCGTCCATTACAGCGTTGCTGGAAAGTTTTGGAGAATAGTCGAGAGATCTTTTTTGCGCGGGTCGATTAAAAGAGAAGTTGTTCGTGCCCAAGACCACAGTGGCGCTCCTGGTGCGAGGAGTCGGCTCCAAACATTCGATGTTGCTCGGAGATCGCTCCCTCCTCGACCTGAGTTTAAATAAAAACATTTTTTTTATATTTTATTGTTTTGACCTTTACTTGATGAAACTCCATGTCACTAATATATAACTGGATAAAAAACAAACACTGTTTTTGAGTTTCACGAATTTATTTAAATTTTATTTGACAATGGGGTAGTTAAATTTTTTCTGACCTATACTTTTTATGGTTTTATTCAAGGCGTTTTGTAATATCAAACATTTCTTTGAAATCAGAATTTCAATTGAGTTTACCGTTTTCGAGATATTTACAAAAAAATTTTATGACGTCACAAACCTCGCCATGTGACCAACATTCTAAGATTTTTATTGGTTGAAAATTACCCTGTTGTCAAGTTGTCTTGTTAATGATTTCATTCGGTTATGTCAGAAAATACCCGAAGAGGTTATGTACAAATACTGTCACTGTCAGTTGAGTGAAAGATGGTCACCAAATTCATTAAGTACCTATCTTCCTTATTACGAGGTATCATATTACTGTTTGATATTTTAGAGTCCAAGATATATCTAAAAGAATATAAAGATTATACTAATGAAATGCATTTACGACAAAATATGATTATAATTATAGGTACTTACTTTATTTGTTTAAAAGCTCCAATGTTCAATGTAACCAACCATTCCACAAGATTCCTCTGCTCACTTATCTAATATCAATTACAAATAACATAACAATAACATTGATTTTCAATACGCCGTGACTAGGTGCACGTTAGAGTGCCCGCAATTTATTTTTTACGGGCACGCTAGTGACGTAATAGATAAAAAACGTCATCACTGCCGTGCCGCTTAATTTAAAATTGGCGGCACAACAATAATATAATAATAAATTGTACCTGTATACATGTTAAGGGCACGTTAGTTACGTAATAAAACCAAACCAACCCAAACTCAACAACACAACCCAACCGACCCCGCCCCATTGGCCCCCCCCCCGCCCCATTGAGCAAAAAACCCAACTAAAATGGGCAAATTTATGTTACGATAAAAATAAAACACTTTTTAACAAAGGAACAACAAATTTATGAAATAAAAAAGTAAAAAAAATTTCGACAACTTCTGAGAATCGAACCCGGGACCTCTCGCATGCAGAGCAAACGCCCTACCATCTACGCTATCTAGCTTGACAACAAAAATTATATGTTCGGGTAACAAAACCGGATTATTATTATGACGTCACTAGCGTGCCCGTAAAAAATAAATTGCGGGCACTCTAACGTGCACCTAGTCACTTTGTTTTCAATAATCTAAATTTAAAAAAAAAACATAACCCGAAAAAAAGAAACGTCAAAAAATCAATTCTTCTTCTTCTTCTCAACTAAAATTAGAGATCAAGTGGTTTTAAAACTAAAATATTATAACGTGGCGCCATCTATCGTAAGAATCTTAAACTAAACACACTGGCAACCTTAGAAAAAGCTGGCAACGTTGTCAATAGCCTAGTGACGTAATTAGGACATTTTTTTTTGTAAATATCTCGAAAAGGGTAAACTTAATTGAAATTCAGATTTCACAGAAATGTTTAAAATTACAAAACGCCTTGAATAAAACCATAAAAAGTATAGGTCAGAAAAATTTAACTACCCCATTGTTTCGCTAACACTGTAGCTTCTTCAGAAATTTCTGAAGAAGCTACAGTGTTAGCGAAACAATTGTCAAATAAAATTTAAAAAAATTCGTGAAACTCAAAAGCAGTGTTATCCAGTTATATATTAGTTAAATAAAAACGTTGAAAACATCGCGTTTAACCACGAAAACGAGCAAGCTCACCTGTTGCTGTTGGCCCTGTTCAAATAGTTGAACTCGTTCTTGGAGCTCCTGCCGTACTGCGAGCGGTAGCTGCCGCCTCTGATGAAATCGCTCGCGTTGTAGTCGAAAATGCCGACCATGTCCGAGCGCGACTGGCTGATGTAAGATTTCACGTCGACGATCGTGCCCTGCTCCTCGCCCTCCGAATTCTCCTGCACGCTTATCGCCACCTCCTTTCTGCCATTCGGATAACCGCCGCCGCCGCTGCTGTTGCTCTCTATGATCGTGGGCACCTGCAAGTTCGCCTGTTTACATCATCATTTATGGTTTTTGTTAGTAACTAAATTTATAGGTAATTTTCAAAAAAGATTTTTATTAACAATTTAAAGCTAAGCGTATAAAAAATACATGTAAACTGGAAGCCTAGTTTTATAACTCGAGATCTGTATCTGTATTTCGAAAATATGGTTTGGGGTGACAAAAAAAAATATTGTGAAGTCCATAATATTAATATTAAGACGTCTATCATCGCAATTTTAAATTTTTTTTCCTCAGCAAGTTTTTGTCTCAGAACTCGCAAACCATTGAGTTTAACAAAATTGACTCAAAAATAGTTTTTAAAGAAAATTAAATGCTCTACAAAAAAGGTTAAAGTGAAATTTTCCGTCAGATGAACCGTTTCCTTAAAATCATGCCTTAAAAATTGGTATAGTTTTACATTTTGATCTTTTAACTTGGAATTTTGTAATTCATGTAAAATTCAGTACCCATAAAAAACCGATTAATATTCTTATGGGAAATGAAATGCTTTACAAAAAAATCCTCTCAACATTTTTGGCTAAATTCACTCAATCAAAAGTTATTCAAGGTTAAAGTTGAAGCCAAAACGAAATTCTTGTTTTTTCCTCTGTAGATTTATATTTTTATAAATGAAAATTTGATTTTTTTTTATAAATGTGTATTATATAACTAATTAACAATTTCCAATAAAAAACAACATGATTGTTATTATTTAAACGATTAAATTAGGTAACAGGGAAAATAATATTTTCTAAAGAAAATAGCTTCTTAAAGCGAAAAAATTCTAATGCGTTATTTTTTTTATTTTCAGTAATTTTATCAAAAACATAAAGATTGTCATCGATAAAAGAATCCAAGTTTTTAACTGACCCAAAAAAAGCTAGAGGGGAAAACAAGAATTTCGTTTTGACTTCAAATTTAACCTTGAATAACTTTTGATGGAGTGAATTTAGCCAAAAATGTTAGAAGACTTTTTTTGTAGAGCATTTGATTTTCCATAAGAATATCTATCGGTTTTTTTCCGGGTACTGATTTTTATTACAAAATTTCAAAGTTAAAAGATCAAATTGTAAAACTACCAATTTTTAGGGCATGATTGTAAGAAAACGGTTCATCTGACGGGAAATTCCAATTAAACCTTTTTTGTAGAGCATTTAATTTTCTTCAAAAAATATTCTTAAGTCAATTTTGTTAAACTCAATGGTTTGGGAGTTCTGAGACAAAAACTCGCTCAGAAAAAAAAATCTAAAATTGCGATGATAGACCTCTTAATATTAATATTATGGAATCAAACTTTCACCATTATTTTTTTTTGTCACCCCAAACAATATTTTCGATAAACTTAATTAAAAATAGTCGATTTTTTTGGCCCAGTCTGATATACAGGTTGAGTCATTTAACTTGAAACTTTGAAATATCTCAGTTAGTATGCATTTTACGAAAAAATGTTTAAAATAAAAATTAAATGATTTGAGGGGGAAAATCAATCAGTACTAAAATTGGTCCTCATACTCTCCTCCTAGAGCATTCAATTTTCTTAAAAAAAGTCAATTTTGTTAAACTCAATGGTTTGGGAGTTCTGAGACAAAAACTCGCTCAGGAAAAAAAAAATCTAAAATAGACCTCTTAATATTAATATTATGGACTCAAACTTTCACAATTTTTTTTTGTCACCCCAAACAATATTTTCGATATACTTTACAAAAAAAGCCCAGTCTAATAAACATACACCTATTATGACATACTAAAATTAGTCGATGGCATTTGTTTTACTGAGGATAATAATAATAAAACTTACTTGTTGATAACCACCATCAACAACTACAGCATCGGGCAAAATCGGGTCTTGCCTTTGATCGAAACTTTTCCTGATAAACTTGGGCATCTTCCAGTTTTTCCTTTTCCCGACGAACTTGTGATTTTTCGTTTTACTCAGGCAGCCGTCGTCGATCTCCATGCACTCTTTGGCATTGTTCACCACCACGATCTCCTGATTCTGATCCTCCGTGTCCAAGATGCTCGGCAAGCTGTTGGCCTTGATCTTGCCGCACGTGTTCGGCGACAGCAGGTTCGGGTTGTACGAGGGGCTCAGCGATCGCACGAAGTTGGGGCTGGTGTCGCACGAGAGCACCCGAGGACGCGACTGCGGCGACATCGAGTGGTTCATCGGAGAGAGGGAGTTCGTGTCGGACGGAGTGGTCACGAACAGTTGCAGCGAATTCGTGTACTTTTGCCGGCCTTCCGCTCTAAAACTCCCGCTGTAGCTCGGCGTTCTCGTGCTTTTTCTGCCGAGAATGAAGTACGTTTCCAAACCTAAAATTTCATTGTTTTGTAGGTCATCTCAAAGAGCATTTTTTGTTTGTCAAACCCATCATTCAAATCGTGTTGATAATGTTAAAGTTATAACGATTTTAAAAACGTTGGGCGCCAATATATGAAAATCGTTACTTTCTTGTTTAAGAACCATTTTTATAAATTTTTCATGGCATATTAAGTAAGATTAATACACTACAGCCAAAATTATTTCCAAAAAACCTTGACGTATGCGACTTTTGGTGAAATTTAAGGATTTTGGTAGCAATTAAAGGGTATATAATAAAAACCCGACAAAACTAACAATGTCATTGTAAAGTAATAGGGATATATTATTTTCTTTCGTAAAAACCCGAAAAAAATAACAATGTCATGTAAAATACCATATTTTCTTTAGTAAACCCTAAAATTTTCATCAAAATCGTGTGAATAATGTTAAAGTTATAACTATTTTAAAACCGTTAGGCGCCGAAAAATGAAAAATCGTTACTTTTGGGTAGGGTTTTAAAGTGTCGAAAAAAAACGGAAAAATTGGGGGGAAAACCTGTTTTTTCCGTTTTTTCGCAGGCCTTGGAAAAATTGATTTTTTTTTTTAAAAATATGCTTTATTGCAAAAAAATAAAACCTGATTTAAGAAAATAAACGTAAACGTTAAATATACAGTCGGTTGGGTCTTTTTGCAAAAAGCAGTCCATTAAAAATATCCAACTGCAAAATAATAAATGATTTATAAAGTTAAATTACAAAATTATAATTTTATAAATCGAAGTGTCAAATAAAAGTAATGTTAACACAGCACCAAATATGTTTTTTGTTGCAGCATGGTAGAATATTCTTAATAAATTAAAATAAAAGGAATAATTATTCTAATCATAATATTATGATTATAATCAGAGTGGGAAATTCACTTTTTTCTCGATATCAGTGTATGGATACTAACACTGCGTTTTTTCAGGACAATAAAGTGTTTGTTCAGATATATCAAGATACATTAATATACAAAAATAGTATGCAAATTAGATATTTAACTCAAACAAAATGTCAATAAAAACTTTATAACGTAATGAATGGCGTAACGGGCGCGACATTAGACAATCGGCAAAAGCAAACAAGTTGGCTTCCAAAGTTGATTCTATAAAATTTTGGATGAAAGCATATATGTTGTTATAAATGTTTGTGTAAAACTTGAATAGTAACCTCTAACAAGCACGTATTTTAAATAAAAAAATATTGTATACTTTATTTTCTAAAATTTTCCCAAAATGTAACGGGTGGGACATTTGAACTTTTTATCGAGTAACTCTGCCGTGTTTATTCTTAAAATGTAAAAATATTTTAAGGTTATAAATTATGTCGCAATTAAACTATTTGACTTCAGATATAGTTTTTGTTTTGTTAAAATTTAATAACACATAAGATTTTTTGTAAGGGGTAAGGTTTCGGAGAAATACCATTTTCTATTTATTAATCAATTTTAATAAATTTTCCAGAGCATACTAATTTAAATACGATTATTACACTACAATCAACATTGTTTTAAAAAAAAACTTGACGTATGCAGTGTTTGCTGAAATTTAAGGATTTTAGTAATGATTAAAGGGTATATAATAAAAACCTGACAAAACTAACAATGTCATTGTAAAGACCATATTTTCTTTGGAAACTCTGAAATTTTCATTAAAATCGTTTTAATAATGTTAAAGTTATAACATTTTAAAACCGTTGAGCGCCAAAAAATGAAAATCGTTACTTTCTTGTTTATGAATCAATACTTATTTAAATACAATTATTACCTTCACTAAAAAACCCAATTATTTTTAAAAAAACCTTGACGTATGCAGTTTTTGGTGAAATTTAAGGATTTTGGTAATGATTAAAAAGTATATAATAAAAACATGATAAAACTAACAATGTCATTGTAAAGACCTTTGACTGATGTGAAAACACATAGTTATGATCCAGAAATTCCAAAAATAACATAAAAAATTGTGTATTTACCAAAAACGGGTTCTGCATCTTCGGTGTAGTACATGTCGTCCAAAAACTTGAGCGTTTTTTCCGATATGTGGACCATTCCGGGTTTCCCTGTACTCTCCATTCTGTTTGCTAAAGTTACATCATTGCTCCAGACATCAAATTTAAAACGTTTCGTGCCCACAATTCCAAATAAAACTTTTCCAGTGTGAATGCCAACTCTCATATTAATACCCTGCTTTTTTTCGTTATCGTACTCTTTTATCGCCTCGACCATGTGCAGACCCATTTCCACGCAATTTTTAGCGTGGTCCACGTTATCGTCAGGGCACCCGCTGATGCAGTAATAACAATCGCCCAGGGTGGAAATTTTCTCGCAGTTATTCTTCTTGCACAGCAAATCGAACCGCTGGAACAAGTTGTTCAAAATGTCGACCAGTTCTTCGGCGCTCTTGTTGCTAGACATCTTCGTAAACCTGCAGTTTTCATTAAAATCCTGTTAATAATGTTAATAAAGTTATAACGCCAAAAAATTAAAATCGTTTCTTGTTTATGAATCAATTTTGATAAATTTTTCAAGGCATATTAAATACGATTATTACACTACAACCAAAAGTATTTCCAAAAAACTTGACGTATGCGATTTTTGATAAAATGTAAGGATTTTAATAATGATTGAAGGGTATATAATAAAAACCCGACAAAGCTATCATCATTTTTTAACCGTGAATTTTCTATTAAAATCGTGTAAATAATGTTAAAGTTATAACGATTTTAAAATCGTTGGGCGCCAAAAATTGAAAATCGTTACTTTTCTGTTTATTAATCAATTTTGATGATTTTTTAAAGGCATACTAATTTAAAAAGGATTATTACATTATAACTAAAATTATTTTAAAAAATTTTGATGTATGCGGTTTTTGCTGAAATTTAAGGATTTTAGTAATAATTGAAGGGTATATAATAAATACCTGACAAAACTAACAATATCATTTTAAAGAGCTATTTTCTTTAGTAAACCCTGAATTTTGTTTGTGTTAATAATGTTAAGTTATAACGATTTTAAAACCGTTGGGCGCCAAAATATTAAAATCGTTACTATTCCTTTTATTATTCAATTTTGATTAATTTTATTAAAGCTAACTAATTTAAATAAGATTATTACACTACAACCAAAATTATTTTCAAAAAACCTTGACGTTTGCGGTTTTTGCTGGATTTTAAGGTTTTTGGTCATGATTAAAGGGTACACCCTTTAACATTATTTACACGATTTAACCGTGAATTTTCTATTAAAATCGTGTAAATAATGTTAAAGTTATAACGATTTTAAAACCGTTGGGCGCCAAAAAATGAAAATCGTTACTTTTCGGCCATTTCAAGCGCGCGAAACGCACGAATTACAAAACTTTTTATAAAAAAATTGTATTTTATTAATAATATAATATTTTGGAATCAAAATTGTCAAAAATATTTATCTTTTATTAGGTTATACATTAAATAAAAAAACGCAAGAAATATTCTATAAAAGTAGAGATAATTTTAATAATTGAAAGGTGTGGTACTTTTATAAAATATTTCTTGCGATTTTTTTATTTAATGTATAGCCTAATAAAGATATTTAACAATTTTGATGCAAAAATAAAATATAATAAATTAGGTACCTCCAATTTTTTTTATAAAAACAGTTTTGTGATTTGTCCCGTCCGTACACTGGAAATGCCGTTTTCTGTTTATTAATCAATTTTGATAATCTTTTTAATACTATTTCAAATACGATTATTGCACTACAACCGAAATTATTTTCAAGAAATCTTACCCGCAAATGTCGGCAAACAAAATGCTGACGTTATCCTTGATGGACATGTTGAAAGGCCTGAATATTGACTTGATGTCGTTTCCGGTGTCCTGCGAGCTCCTCCTTCTCGCTTCCAGATTGTCGTTGCTCTCGTTGTCCTTCATCAATTTATCCACCACGCTTTTCGGCATCAAGCTATGTATCATGTTTTCCTTCAGCTTTTTTTCCAGCTCCAGTTGTTTCCGCACCAGCAACGACAAACCGACTTTCATAAATGTATTTCTCATTCGCACGTTCGACATCAAGTATATGTGCAATCCAATGAGATGGATTGCAAAATGCGTTAGGCTCTTTATTATTATAATGTAGAGGGTACTAAGACTATGACTAGGATCTAAAATAAGTTAGAATTTAGTTACTAGGACACCAAAACATACACTGTATTAATGGGGTACCTAGTTAAATTTTTTCTGACCTATACTTTTTATGGTTTTATTCAAGGCGTTTTGTAATTTTAAACATTTCTGTGAAATTGGAATTTCAATTGAGTTTACCGTTTTCGAGATATTTACAAAAAAAATCTCCTAATTACATCACTAGGCTATTGACAACGTTGCCAGCTTTTTCTATGGTTGCCAGTGTGTTTAGTTTAAGATTCTTACGATAGATGGCGCCACGTTATAATATTTTAGTTTTAAAACCACTTGATCTATAATTTTAGTTGAGAAGAAGAAGAAGATTTGATTTTTTGACGTTTCTTTTTTTCGGGTTATAATTTTTTAAATTTAGTTTATTGAAAATCAATGTTATTGTTATGTTATTTGTAATTGATATTAGATAAGTGATTTATTAATAACGGACTCCAAAGCAGAGGAATCTTTTTGGTTACATTGAACATTGGAGCTTTTAAACAAATAAAGTAAGTACCTATAATTATAATCATATTTTGTCGTAAAAGCATTTCATTAGTATAATGCCTAGTTCTTTATATTCTTTTAGATATATCTTGGACTCTAAAATATCAAACAATAATATGATACCTCGTAATAAGGAAGATAGGTACTTAATGAATTTGGTGACCATCTTTCACTCAACTGACAGTGACAGTATTTGTACATAACCTCTTCGGGTATTTTCTGACATAACCGAATGAAATCATTAACAAGACAACTTGACAACAGGGTAATTTTCAACCAATAGAAATCTTAGAATGTTGGTCACATGGCGAGGTTTGTGACGTCATAAAAATTTATATTTTTTGTAAATATCTCGAAAACGGTAAACTCAATTGAAATTCTGATTTCACAGAAATGTTTAATATCACAAAACGCCTTGAATAAAACCATAAAAAGTATAGGTCAGAAAAAATTTAACTACCCCATTAGACCGTTTTATTAAATATTCCAAAGAATCTGGAGAAAATTGACCTGTTTATGAAAAAAGTTCTTACCTTGAAACTTCTGAGTAACGATCTGAGCATTTTCGTTGATATAAAAACTAGTATTTTCCAGTAGAGCCGGGTGCGGTAAGCTCCCACTTTCCTCACTAAAGTCACTTTTTCCGTTGACGATCGAGGAGGAAAAACACACTTCGAAGAGCACGGAAAAAACGACGCCGATCAGGATGCACATGTAGAGTTTGAGGGGAAAGAGCGCGTACATGATGATCAAAACTTGCAGGCACACGGCGAAATAGCCGAGCGGCAGCTGCGCGTTCAGCTGCACCATGTTCAGGATCAGCAGCGACAGCACGATCAGCAGCACGGCCATGAAAATCGAGATGTTGTGAACGTTTTTGTGGTACAGTTTTCGCGAGGTGAAAAAAATCGTCGCTCCTATACATATGATTGTCAAGAAAAGTAGGCCTGATATATAAAAATATTTTTTCGTTTCGTCCTTCACTATCAGTCCGAAGAGTAAAAAGTATAAAAACCACGTTGATGAGACCAGCAGCATATATAGTAAAGCGAATCTGAAAATATGTAATGTTTTTGAGACACTCTGTATAAATAAAGTATTAATTTCTGACATGAACTGTCAGAATTGTATATCAGTGAGATTAAGAAAAGACCAGATTTTTTGACAGAATCTGGTCACTTGAAAAGTACAAGTTCAAAAGTTAAAATCAGTTTAATGGTTTTAAATGCATTTTAAAATTTTAAATTGATTTTAGAAAATGATTTGTCAAAACAAAAATTTCGGATTTGTACTGTTCTTAATCTAATTTATTTTATTTTTATTTTAAGGTAAAATCAGGATGAATGGTAAATTTTGCCCATGCTATCTATTTTTAAAAAATCAGAAGTAGCTTTTTCTAAATATAAAAAGTAGAAAGCATAGAAAAAATATATTAAAAAAGTTCTACCTTCCCAAAGAGGAAGAGCATTAATAAAATAGTAGATAGTATTTAAAAAATCATTTTTTGAGTTACTGTGCTTGCATTGTTTTTATAATAATGTTTATTAATGCTAAATAGCAGTTACACAAAGGTTTACAATATAAATAAATGAAACTAATTCTAGTAATAATAAAAATAAATACAATATGATATAATAAATACAATATGATATCAGTACATACATACATACATACATACAGTGTGACACATTTGTTTGCGACTCACCCCTATAAAATCTTTATTTATTGTGCGATTTTAACCGGATTTGTTTTAAAGTGTAGATCTTGATAAGTTGAATTTTTGGAGCAAAAACCGCAATATTTGTACAAAATACATGGCCTACTATGTCAGTTTTTAAGAGCAAACTTTTAAGAATTCATATTAGCGGTTTTTTTAAACAAAATCTAAGCACAGCACTGGATTCACCTCCCCTCAAAACGACCCTTTAATAAATTTTATTGAAAAATTTTAATTAGAAAAATACACTAGATATAATAACTACAAAAATTTATTCCGTCAAGTTATCCATGAAAAAAACATTGAAATAAAATTAAACTTATAGTACTTAATAGTCCATGTTACTACCTATTAGTTTAATTTTATTTCAATGTTTTTTTTATGGATAACTTGACAGAATAAATTTTTGTAGTTATTATTGTGCATTTTTATACTTAAAATCTTTTAATAAAATTTAGTATAGGGTCGTTTTGAGGGGTGGTGAATCCAGTGCCGTGCTTAGATTTTGTTTAAAAAAATCGCTAATATGAATTCTTAAAAATTTACTCCTAATTAAAAACTGACATAGTAGGCCTTGTATTTTGTAAATATATGGCGCTTTTGCTCCAAAAATACAGTTTATCAAGAAAAAAAGTAAAATTTTTAGGATGAAGGAATTTTGTCCATGCTATGTAGGTATTTTTTAAAAAATCAGGTGTAGTTTTTTCAAACTTAAAAAGTGGATAGCATAAATAAAACGTACCTATTGAAACCTTCCGAAAGAGGAAGACCATCAATAAAATAGTAGATATTATTTAAAAAATCATTTTTAGAATTACCTACTGTACTTAAAAAATATATTTTGTTGTTGATAAGTTATAATAAAATTTGAAATACCTACTTACTTTATATAATAAGTATATTTTATTTATGATTTTCCTTGACTTTAAAGTAAAATCATTAGAGTGAGGCATAAACTTTGTCCATGCTATGTATTTAAAAAAAATCAGGAGTAGCTTTTTCCAAATATAAAATGTTGCATAGAAAAAATGTTTTACCTTCCCAAGTAGAAAGACCATTAATAAAATATTATCTACTATAGTAAATAATATTTAAAAAATCATTTTTGGTGTTACTGTATCTACTTATTTTGTTGATAAATTTGAAAAAATGTGCATTACTTTGATATATTTTATTTTATTTTATTAAAGGAAAATCATCAAGATGAAGCATAAATTGTGTCCATGTTATCTTTTTTTTTAATCAGGAGTGCTTTTTCCAAAGTATTGAAAGGGCAAATTTGAGACTTTCTTACCTAAATTTGTACAAAATATGTCGATTTGAGCTAATTTTAAATTGTTCTTCTAAAACTTCAGAGTCAAAAGTTGGATCCCACCAGCTCCTTTTCGATGCTCTTTCAAAAGGTATGGGCACAAATTTGTTCCAACATCCGTTTTCTTGAGACATCCGCGCCAAGGCGGTTTGGACATTGGGGTCCAAAGAAACATGCTCCTCATCGTTCAAAAAATCCGACGGAAGACTTACTTGGTCCATTTTTTAGTAATAAAATCTATCTTTTAAGTATTTTAGGACTTTTCATCGTATTTTTTACTCATATAAACAACACATATTATACTATAAGCTCGAAGCATCATATTTTATGGTTGTATAGTCTTATATAAACATTGTCATATATTTTCACTCACTTATCTCATTTTGAAGATTTATAAATAATCCTGAAACAAATAGATAATCGCGCGATAAGAATTAAAATATTAAATTATTTTATCAACCTAATTTAATTAATATGGTGAAATAATTATTTAGGAGCCTAAAAAATAAGGAATTCTTGTATTTGCTTGAAAAGTTAAATATGGTTTACACAATTATTCTTTTGTTGGTGTTAATAATTTGACTTATTTTTACTAGAAGTGTTAAACATTTTTAACAACTTAATAATTACAGACTTTAATAATAAAATAAACAGTTCATAAGTAGGTATTAATTATTTTACAATAATAAATAATTTGTTTATACCTATGTAGTCTTAATTTTAAGATTCCAAATAATATAATTAAACTTGTTTAAGTAATTTTTTTACTAAAAATATATAAAATACAGAAATTATTTATAGAGTATAGGTTATGTCAAATGGTGTAATTTAAAAATAATATTGTTGCAATACATTGCAATATCAAGCTAAACAGTGTTATTTAATTGTTATTAATTATTATTGTTATTTTGTTTAAATATAGCTGGGTACCACATGACAAAATTAAACATAATAGGTTACTTACAAGTTAACAATACTATGAATATAAATTCTTCAATGTTAATATCGAGTCTAGCCTGTCTGTTACATTTTTTCTTTAATATCTGTACAAATTCCTCTCAATCTGTACGTTAAAGGCCAGAAATTTCCAATAACACAGCTAAAATGTAAACACTCGTCTCCAATTACACGCAAATTCATGATACGCGAACCAAAAAACCGAATAAATTTGTTGTTTGAGGCATTAATGTTTTAAGTCTTAAAACAAATTCACTGCATTTCAATTAAAATCACCCGAATTCCAATCAAAATGATTGACATTTGACAGATGATTTGACCTCCCCAAAACCCCGCAAACTATTTCCCTCTTTGTCTAGCACGTAAATACCATAAACATAAATTACGTCCAGACAGCCGTGCAAAGACAAATGCAGTATTTAGCGTGTAAATAATAAAAAAAGATCGCGTTACCTATTTACTAACCTGAGAAAATCGAAAATCCTGTGTAAATCGTTGATTTTACCTCTCTTGAAAAACCTTCATTCTCTAATATAAATGCCTTATAATCTAAATATATTTAATAGCGCAAATATTTACATGTTGGTTCATCATTTTATGTATTTTGTAAGGTGGAGGCGTTGAGTGAGAAATTGAATTTTTCACTTAGCAGGAAACACGCCCTTTAAATCTATCGTTTTTTATTATGCCTTTTAAATTTAATAGTGTTACAATTCGGTTTTACAATTAATCTTTAAATGGCTCAGTTAATTAAAATTTAATGATTAATAATATGGACTGTTCCTTGTAAGGGCGCGACCAAGTAAACACATTTGTTTGTATCTAAAATTAGGGGAGGAAAAATAAAAAATATTGTTTACAAAACCTATTTATTTAGCTACTAGTTTGTCTTTGGTTTTGCATTACACTTAAAATAAATTCAATTTGTAAATTACAAAAAAATCTGTTGCATGGAATAAACAGGAACAAATATCCAGGCTACAAAAATTATGGCAATAAAAATACCTATTTACAATTGGCTAGCCAGAGTGACTAGAAAATATCATTTTAAATACCTACAATAAATTAAATTTATGGATACACCCATTAAATGTCACAAGTATTACCGACATAATTTGTTTCACGAGTTGAATATTTTTTCTTCTAAAATAATTCAGGATTTGACATTTTGAGTTTTGACATTTTAGGTTAGGTTTTTGACATTTAGACAAAAATGTAACCCAAACAGAAAAAACTACAGAAATGTACAATTATGAAATGTATCATTAACTTTGTGATTTTAACATTTTAAGGTGAGTTTGACACTTTAAGGTTAGGTTTTTGACATTTCCACAATAATATTGCTGAAAGACATAAAATTTAAATGTAAAATTTCGTATATGGTCAAAAAAGTGTTTCAAGAAAATTAACTACCTAAACTACTAATAAATTTAAAGTTAATGAGTCTTTTTCTCAGATTTTTTAAGTTTGTTTTTTGAAGCAGTGGCATCAGAGAAGTGTTTGTTCCATAAAACACAGCCCATCACACAGCCCAGAGAAATGATAAATTGTATCACCAACCAAAGAATAATATTTATGGCCTGGGTCCTCTCAAACAGTTCTCGTCCGTGCTTGATGCAAATGAGGGCTTCAGCCACCATAATGCAAACATACACCCAACACTGAGTCCCCACTCTTTTGCACGAAGTGTCCGTTACATAGCTAAAATACTGCCTCACTGAGGGAGCTACAATTATCCCAACCAGCAATAATCGCGCTGATACCAGCGGGTGAGAGGACGGTAGTTCAAAAACGTGCTTTAAAAAGAACGTATTGAGCTCAGAAGTCTGCCAGAAAAAAACTAATTGGCACAACGCGAATATTCTCATATAGGAACACTTAGGGTCCAGCCATCTAACAGCTGTAAAACTTTCTGGGGTGAATTGCAACACAGCCCTTTTAATTTTCCCTGATGTAGAATGAATATCTCTGATGCTCACCCATTTGTATTCCCTCATTTCCAGTATCTCACAGATTTTTAAACCACAGTATATTCCAAAGCCGTTACAAACCAACACATCAAGGATCAGGGAATCCCACCAACACTCCAGAAAGTTTGGTAATAAGTGAGCAAAAAAAACCTCTGTTACTTCCCACATAAAACTAATTGCCCACAAAATCCCACAATGTCTGATTAATATTGCCTTAAAAAGCCACCCCAAATAGTGACCAAGAGCAAAAACGTCCATATGAGCCCACAATTTCTCCACTGTAATAACTGAGCAATTGACACCATACTCCTTATCCATATCAATGTGGAATTCCTTTAATTTTGGATCGAACCAATATAATATTGTTTTTACAGTGTGGTAGTTCTGAAATAGTATGAATAAACAGCCCAATAAATACAGCACGCTCATTCCAAACACTACCCTCCAAACGGCAGGGTGGGGTCTTGTAAATGGTCCATTGGGGAATGCTAATACAGATATAATCAGGAAGAAAAACGTGCAACACACTATCCCAGCCCAAATGTTATTCTCTACATTATCTGTATCCCTAAAAACAAATTATTACAATTAAAACAATTTAAAAAACAACATACATGCATGTAAATCGAATTAGTTTGTCTTTTACATAATTGACAGTTGACACAAATGTCCTACCTTACAAAAGCAAAATAAATAACAACCCCAATGGAAATAGCCAATAGAGTTATCGTGTGGGGGTTGTAGAAGCATTGCAGGGAAATATCGTCGACGGGTTTCTCGTTGATAGTATTGAAACTATCCACCCTGGTCCTCGCAGAAGCCGAATTCTTCTCGTTCGTCATTACTTATTCACAATGTGTACAAAATCACATCAGGGATCCTTAATACATCTAAATATCCTCTTCATGTCCTTGGAAGTTAATTTAGAAAGAAGGAAGAGTTTCAGAAGATACCACGCGCACAGATTAGTTTTTTTATTGCGAATTTTGGTTATTTCTTCGGAATTTTGGTTACCGGGTGCTTTCGCTGTGTTGGCAATTACCCGTGTCTAAAGTTACGAACTTTAATTTACGCAATCCATAGAAATAATACTATAAAGCCTGATTTATAAATTGCCTTCCTTCCTCCCTTAGTTCTGTTTATAGATTACCGTAAGCACTACGGTAATCCCGTAAAAGATGAACAATACGAAAATCGTAGTGCCATTTTTAGATTCCCGTACGGAAATCTATAAACAGCACAAAAGTTTTTTTATTTTTTATCTTTTACGTGAGGAAGGGAGGAAGGAAGGAAGACAATCTATAAATCAGGCTGTATTGTTTATCTTTTACGGGAGCAAGGGAGGAAGGAAGGAAGGCAATCTATAAATGAGGCTTTATAGTATAGTATTATTTCTATGACGCAATGACTGTTAAAAGCATAAAAGGCAATAAATATCGAATTTTCCCATAAAATAACAATAATAATATCAATAGTAGCCTAAATATATGCTATAATATTTGTTATATTTTAATAGTGACATGCGTGACTTTAGACACTTTCATGCAGTACTACAAACCAAAGAACACTTTCATGCAGTGCTACAAACCAAAGAACACTTTGCTACAAACGTCAAAAATTGATTAAAAAAGTTAATTCAATAAAATTGATATAAAACCACTATATTTTAATAAAATGTCATCGAAACAACAAAATCGTCGGCAAAAATGGATATTAGACAACACTAGGTGGGTCGTGGGACAATATTTTATATTATATTAGCATAATAATATATAACATAAAAACATATTTTGTAGGACGAATAAAGCCGATTTGGCATCACCCCCTGCCTACGTGTCATCCTGCGTACCGCAAAGTCACGAAGTATCGAAAAAAACCGACATTAATCGGCTGATAACAAAAAAATCATGGGATTTGGCTCTGGCTCCCGTAAAGCAATTACCAATGAATTTATTCTTGATGTACATGGCTGGTAATTCCATTTCCATATTCCCCATTATGATGGTGGGAATGTTACTGTTAAGGCCGATACAAGCAATTTGGGCAACAAAAGCTACATTTAAAATGATTGAAACAAACACTTTAGGACAGATGATTGTTTATGTGTTGGGGCATTTACTGAATATTGGGTTGGCACTATTTAAATGTCAGAGTATGGGTTTGTTACCAATTTATTCAAGTGATTGGCTGGCTTTTGTGGAGCCCCCGATGAGGCAGGAATATTTGGGAGGTGGAATTGCCCTGCACTAGATACTAAAATATTTATTAAGACAATTACAAATAAAACATTTAAAATACACTATATTTATTCTTTTCTATGCTTGTCAGCAAAATCCTTTACTTTATTGTATAATGCCTGCGGATCATCAACTCTAGGTACCTGAAATTCAACAATATTTAACGTTTTGGCCAGATTTTATATAATCGTACCCACATCATAGTTTTGACTTAAATAAATCCCAGCGTACATGCCAATAACAAAACTTAACTAAAAAATAAAAGATTACATAATAATTTTAGGAATTTTTTTCAAATAAAAGTACTTACCAGGCCGCGAACCATTTTAAAATTAGTTTATTTGCAATGCAATTTGTAGGTTAGACAACTGTCAAATATGTCAAAATCATATGTTCCTGGGGATTTCGGTTTTATTAAGTTTGAAGAATACATTGGTTTTAACGAAAATTAAAGAATATATGTGGATTTTTTTATAAGAATTTTTACCAAGACTTTTTATTTTATTTTCTTTTAACCAGAGAAACATACATTATGCTAATAAAACAAACCAAAATTAAATTGTGATTATTGCCAACTGTTTTTTATTGGACATATGTTCCTAATCTAAAAATATAAGGTTTAGTTTTTATTTTTTGTTTTAATAAAATGGACAACTCCTTAGCAAACTTTGGTAAGGTTTCAACAACAATTTAGAAACAATAAACGCAATTCCCAATTTTAGAACTTTCGGAAAGCACTGTGAAAATTGGCCCTGATTCAGAAAATGGCTCTGATAAAAGCGATGAATTGGTTTTCCTGGACGATAAGAATTCCTCTAGCAATTCAGAGAGTCTAGAAAATTTTGATGATAATTTACCAGCCACAGTTACATTGTTGGTCGATAAAGACACTGGGGCCAAGGTTTATCTTATTGGAACTGCCCATTTTAGTAAAGAATCACAAGAAGATGTTTCTTTGGTATATATCATCTTTTATCTTTGTTTCAGTCCAGGACCTAATGTTGATTTTTGTAGGTTATTAATAAAGTACAGCCCCAAATAGTTGTTTTGGAACTATGCAAGTCCAGGACAAACATTTTGGCTTTGGATGAAGCTACGATTTTGGAAGAGGCCAAAAATATTGACATGCAAAAAATGATGCACACAATCAGGGAGAATGGGGTTTACAATGGAGTCATGTATTTGTTGTTGTTAAATATGAGTGCACATTTAGCTAAAGAAATTGGGATGGCCCCTGGAGGTGAATTTAGGGTTGCATATAAAGAAGTAAGAGTTATATTAAAATTTAAAGTTAAAAATGTTTCATTATTATTATTATAGGCAGCAAAAATCCCAAATTGTGGAATTCATTTAGGAGACAGACCAATTAATGTTACTTTAAAAAGGGCTTTAGCTAAATTAAGTTGGTTTCAAATGTTTAAATTGGGCTGGCATTTGTTAACTTCTAAAGATCCAATATGGTAAGTGTTAAAAATCTTTTTAAATTACTATTAAAAATAATTATATCTAATTCAATTTGCTTAGTATTGAAGACATAGAAAAATGTAAAAACCGTGATATGCTGGAGCAACTATTGGCTGACTTGGCAGGGGAATACCCAGCTTTTAGAGAAGTTTTCCTGGATGAAAGGGACATATTTTTAACCAATTCTTTACAAGCAGCCTCCAAAGAGAGGCTTAAATCATCTGCTCAACACAGTAAGCCTTCAAATTTACCATTAACAAAAACAAAACATATTTTTCTTTCAGACATAGAACACAAAGAACCCCTGAGAGTTGTGGGCGTGGTGGGGATAGGCCATACCCCGGGAATCATAAAACTTTGGCCCAAAGACCAGCAAGGCAACATCGCGGAAATAATGGAAATTCCGCCCCCATCTCTAACGTCCGTTGTTGTCAGTTATACGTATAAAATGAGCATGCTGACTTTGGGGGGCTATTTGATATACCGTTACGTTCCCATACCGAAAATGGTGAAATCGAACGTGGAAGCTGCCGTACACAAAATGATATCTAACATTAAGATTAACAGAATTTATTGAGATTTTTTTCTTGTTTGATGTAAATATCTATATTTTTATATTAATTTACTTTTAGATATACATTCCTGTTGATATTTTTAAGTTTGGATAAAAGGTATTTTAGTATTATAAATAATAAACGATTTTGCAGTTTTTTTATAAATATATATTATGGAAGACCTTGAGGCAGGATTATAGCTTAAGTACATATACAGTTTCTCTTACATTTTTGGAATGTAACTATTAATTATGCATACACAATATATGTTACACACTATAATAATTGATAAATTGCATATGCAAATTAAAATATTTTATTTGAGACTTGACCATACACAAAAAAGGAACATTTAGTTTGTTTTTGAAATTTGGGATTATAGGTATGGTTTTAAGGCCGCGACTATGTTAGAGCTGTAATAAATGATAAAAGCTTCGTCGCTATCGTTACTAGCGATGCAAAGTGTTTTAAAACACATAGCATCAGCCTAAGAAAAAATAATTGATTTTTTAATGCAGGCAACCCAGATTACACGTGGATGTAATCCGGTTGCGTTATGCAATTATCCGTGCATTTTTTTCGGGATAAAAAGTATTTTGAAACCCATACAAAAAAGCATAAAAATGAAAAGGCAAAAAGAACGATTACACGTGGATGGAATACGGGTTGCGTTTTTATGTATTTAACGTGCAGATGTAAAGTATTATGAGGCGCTTACAAAGTCAAAGAAGTAAAATAAAAAAAGTCCAAAAACAAGTGGAAAAAGTAAAATTTGCTTTCTATAAACATAATTTTCTATAGAAGTCGCAAATTTTGAGAACATCTAAACAATCCTTTTTTTATAGGTACTGGAGAGTAAGTCCTGCTATTGTCTGAATTTTATAATATATCATCATATTCTATCTACACTTAATTATTTCCTTAAATTAATATCACTAACAATTAAGTTTTGTTAATACAATAATCAATTGACTGCTGTTCTTACCCGTTTTTAATTGAAATATTTAATAAAAATTAAGGTTGGATATCCATAGCGCAACGAAATCCTAAATTGCCCGCCGATGTATCCTTTGTGTTAAATGATCTTGCTGCACACCTGTATCTGTAGCAATATGATTCATGGCAGAGAAAAGAGCCACCTTTTTTTACTTTTGATTCCTAAAATACCATTTTTTGCATTTTCTAAAACATTTTTTTTTAACTTACTGAGTCACCAAGCCAGTCATCCTGTGTCCATTCCCATACATTACCAGCCATGTTAAATAAACCAAATTTATTTGGAGGAAATTCATCCACCGGTGAAGTGAATTGGTAGCCATCTTCAGCAGTGTTTTCTTCAGGGAAATTTCCTTGCCAAATGTTTGCCCTTTTAAAAATTATTTTTTATATCTTTTATTTGTGGGATCTTGATATTCTTACCACTGTTTACCTTTTGGGTTAAGCTTATTTCCCCAAGGGTATAACTTCTGTTTTAAGCCAGCTCTACAAGCCATTTCCCATTCAGCTTCTGTTGGCAGTCTTTTGTTAAAAAATTCGCAATATTTGACTGCATCATTCCATGATACATGAATAACTGGGTGATTTAATTTATCTGTAAATTAAATAAACAATAAAATTTATTATCACATGGAACAAAACAATATTAATACTCTCTATGGTTGAATGAGGTCCTTCAGGATGCAGCCAAGAAATATCCTTCAATTTAATCCACCAGGGTGCTTGAACAGCCCTAACATCCTGATACTCTTTTCTCTCTGATTCAGGTAAAATCATTTCAAAAACAAAACTATCCCCATAAGTTTCGGCTTCGGTTTTGTAGCCTGTCTTCTCAACAAAATCTTTAAAATTTTGATTGGAAACCTCATATATATCCAGGTAAAATGATTCCACTGTTTTATTTCTTACAGGACCTTCATGATCTGATTCAAACACAGGCTTATTTGTACCCATTTCAAATGTGTCTTTGTTTATCAGCACCATGTTATATGTATTAAAGGCATTAATATTGTCATTTAGTTCTCTCGAGTATTTTCCACTTGGTGTTTCATCTTCATCTATTTTGCATTTTTTCTCCCTATTAAGATTACTACATCCACAGTCACCAGTACAGTGTAAAACATTAAGTACAAAAATTATTAAAATTGTATATAAGTACATTTTTAACTATTATAAAATATAAAAAATAAACATTTAACAAAAAAAATGATTTTGTAGGTTAAGGACTTTTCGGTTCATGACGTTCCATAGATTAGATAAAGTGTGACGTTCAAAGGCAACAAAGCTTCAGAAAGGTAAACTTGGTTGCCTACACATAATTTTATTAGCTCCGCCATCTTCTTAAGCAGGGCTAAACTAAAACTAAATAAGTTTGACTTAACTTTATTAGAGGGCGCTGCGAGTTACGTCATACATATACTTACCACTGTGGTAAGTATATGACGTCATACACATACTTCCACACAGGAAGTATGTGCGCCCTACTTGGTAAGTATATGACATCATATGTTGTTTATGAAACTAAACTCCCTTCTGTAATTAGGGAACCTAGCAAAAGTAGTTTAAATGCACCAAATTAAAATCCCAGATTATTGGCGGGTTATTTAAATACATTATTATGGAATGCTTATTTTTTAACTAGGGGTAAATAAAAGACAGATTGTTTAGTATTGTAAATTATACAATAGTTTGGTCAATTCTCATATAACTTGTTCCGATGCTGTATCCACTTATTTTTGTGAAAACTAATTCTCGCTCAAGGTTTTTTTTAGTGTAATAAGCATGTAGCATTTCAAGGTAATGGGAACTTAAATTATGACAACCCTAATCTATTAATTTTTTCCTAAAATGCAGGCTTTATGTTGCAAATGTCACATAAGTTACCGGTCACCAACTGCAACATCCTAACATCGATGAATATTTCAACAAAATGGCCGTTCAAACAACTAATGTTAGTGCTTGATTAACTAAAAATAGACTTAAGATTGACAAAAAATTATTTTATCCGAAATCGGCAGTAAAGTAGTCAACAATCGTAAATTAAAATAAATCGGCAGTAAAGTTCTACTTTACTGCCGATTTCGGATAAAATAATTTTTCGTCAATCTTAAGTCTATTTTTAGTTAATCAAGCACTAACATTAGTTGTTTCAACAGCCATTTTGTTAAAATATTCATCAATGTTAGGATATTGCAGTTGGAGACCGGTAACTTATGTGACATTTGCAACATAAAGCCTGCATTTTAGGAAAAAATTAATAGATTAGGGTTGTCATAATTTAAGTTCCCATTACCTTGAAATGCTACATGCTTATTACACTAAAAAAAACCTTGAGCGAGAATTAGTTTTCACAAAAATAAGTGGATACAGCATCGGAACAAGTTATATGAGAATTTACCGTTTATTGAAAATAAAAACACGATTGCACAATTCGATTTGTGATGTGAAATAAAAAATAAAAAGATTGTAGACAAACCAAAATATAAAAATAGGAGATTTTTTTAAGAATGTATCAGGGATAAATAAAATAACACTGATTTGGAATCTAGCAAAAATAATAGTAACTTAATGGAATAATACAACTTAACACATAATACCAAATTACAAATTAAATAATAAACGACTATAAATGACTAAATTTAATTAATTAAATTTGATTTTTCACAGCCCACGCACAACATTACAACATCCTTGTGGCAAAGTATGGCAGAAACATTACATTTACAATTTTGAATTACGTTCGATCATTTCCTGAGTACCATTCATAAATAAATTATCTTAATAAATTATTTTTAATGGAAATGCCCATATAACACAAACATATAACAAAGTCAATAAATATGCTACTCTAATAATTTACTAGTATACAGGGTCACTCAAAATAACTATATCTAAGTTTAAAATTTTTGTTTTAAATTCTATTAAACATACATAAAGCATTTTGGGCCACTCTGTACATGATGTGGCTACAGCATGAATACATTTATTAAGAAAAGCTTAATTATTTGGAACAAACAAAATTTATTTAAAAATTTTTGTTTGATTTATTTTTACGTCGCGATGTATGTATATAAAAATTGGTGCAGTTTATAGAATATCTACTGTTAAATTGAGCTGTGCCAGTCTTTGAGAGTATTTTATAAAAGTACAAAACTTCTAATGCTCCTATTGTTTATTATTAAAAATGAAAACATATATACAGGGCATTTAAGAGTATTGCGAGAATATTTGAAAGAAACACAATATAAATTACCCTGTATACAGTATGTTCTCCAGTAAATATATTGTTGTTTGGTTAAGTTTTTTACTCCTAAACATTTATTTTCATATATGTATTCCTAATAATAATTAATTAATAATAAATTATTAACCAATGCATCAATAAATATATACCCTATTAATTCAATTTAATAAATTACACAATAAACAAAACAACAATAAATAAAATTAACATAACTTTTATGCTGTGCTAGAATTTTGCGACGCGCCGCTTATGGCACTGAAAAGTGCCATGCTGTTCCTTTTAAAGCTCCCAGTGTCGTCATGTGGCCACAGGGATTCCCCGAACAATTCCGATAGAGATGTGCAAAGCTTTTTATAGTTTTGCCTCAAAACTTCCTGGTACTCCAACTGATCTGTCGTTATCAACCTACCGTTTATTTGCAGCGCTGAGTAGCAGATTTTTACAAATTCCCTAAAAACGTTTTTAATGTTTATTTAATAAAAAAAGATTTTTGGACATCCCTAAGACGATATTAGAACAAAATAGTTTTAGGACAGTTGTTAGTACATTTTTGACAGTTTCACGATGGTTTTAAAAAAGCCATTTTATATTGCTTTTGAAGACAGAACCTCAAAAAACTCATTTAATATGTTTACAGATGTAGGACATTTTAAAAGAGTTTTGTGAGAAATTTGGAGACGATTTTAGGACAAAATAGTTTAAGGGCAGTGATAAGAACATTTTTTACAGTTCCAACATGGTTTTAAACACAAAACCTCAAAAAACTCAATTACTATTTTTAGTTATAAGACATTTCAGTAGATTTTATAAGACTTTTAGACAGTTCCAAGACTATTTGAGGACAAAATAGTTTTAGGACACTGATACCATTATATAAGGCACATTTTTATAGTTCCAGGATGGTTTAAGACAGCCATTAAATATTTCTTTTGAACAAAAAACCTAAAAAACTCATCAACTGTTTTTACAGTTATAAGACAAAATAATTTGACAGTTTTAGAACATTTTTGACAGTTCCAAGATGGTTTTAAGGACAAAATAGTTTTAGGACATTAATATCATTATATAAGGCAGTTTTCGGAACATTTTTATAGTTCCAAGACCATTATAATATATATTATATTACATATAATATTTCTTTTGAACACAAAACCTCAAAAAGCTCATTTAATATTTTTACAATTAGGAACTTAGGACAAAATAGCTTTAGGACAGAGATAAGGCAGTTTTTGGAATATTAAAATTAAATCAGCCATTTTATATTTCTTTTGAACACAAAACCTCAAAAAGTTTATTTACTATTTTTACAGTTAAAGGACATTTTAAAAGAGTTTTATGAGACAGGTTCAAAACGATTTTAGGACAAAATAGTTTAAGGACAGTGATAAGGCCGTTTTTAAAACATTTTTGACAGTTCCAATATTTCCAGCCATTTTAATTTTTACAGTCATACGAAATTTGATGGGACTTTTCAAGACTATTAAAGGACAAAATAGTTTTCGGACACTGATAAGGCAGTTTTTGGAACATTTTTGATAATTCCAAGATGGTTCCATTTAATATTGCTTTTAAACACAAAATTTTGTTAACCTCAAAGGACTCATTTACTATTTTTACAGTTATAGGACATTTAAAATTAAAGTTTTTAAGAGAGTTTTATGAGATTTTTCAAAAGTTTTAAGACAATTTTATGACAAAATAGTTTAAGGTCAGTTCCAAGACGATTTTAGGACAAAATAGTTGTAGGACAGTGATAATGCCGTTTTTAGTACATTTTTTATAGCTTCAAGATGGTCTTAAGCCAGGCATTTAATATTTCGTTTGAACACAAAACCTCAAAAAGCTCAATTACTACTATTTTTACAGTCATACAGCATTTAATGAGACTTTTAGAAGTTACAAGACTATTAAAGGACAAAATAGTTTTAGGACACTGATAAGGCAGTTTTTGGAACATTTTTGATAATTCCAAGATGGTTTATTTACAGTTTATCTACAGTTATTTAATATTGCTTTTGATCACAAAACCTCAAAAAACCGATTTACTATTATTACAGTTATAGGACATTTTAAAAGAGTTTTATGAGATTTTTAGAAAGATACTGAACGATTTAAGAAAAAAATTGTTTTGGAACTGATAAGTTTTTGGAAATTTTTTGATAGTTTCAGGATGGTTTGATAAAAACCATTTGGTATAATAAAAATAAAGTGTATGACATCTTACCTGTAAAGATCTTTCAGTTCTTCAACCTTATCTTCAGGATACATATTGGATAGAGTGGGATCCAAAAATACGGACGCGTATGCCAAAGGCCCCGCGTTAACTTGCACGCAAACGCTCCCCTGCAGTCTCAATTGTAATTTTTTGGCGTCTGGTTGAGTGCAAAAAACCACATCTTCGAGTTCCGCGACCCTTATTTGCATCTCGTCGATGGCGACCTCTATCGGACTCAACTCGAGGTGCCGTTTGCCGTTGATCGGAATTCGTTTTTTGACGTAGGGAAAGGAGTAAACGGCTATAAAAAATTGATGAGGATTTTTGTTATTTTTTGAGGTGTGAAAACTTACTGCTTAGAACTGTTCGTCTTTTCCATTGTTCTTCTGGATTTCCGCGAGGTTTTCCGTCTTTCGTGAACGGCGTTTCGAACATGAACGTGTTGATATCGTGGTTTTGCTCGAATTCCGTTAGGCGTTCCTCCAAGTCGATTTTCTCGAAGTACGGTGTAACGTGGGTTACTTGAATGTGGGCCAATTTAGGATCCAGATTTTTCTGTACTACCGGAGCGGAATCTTGTATCATTTTGACTACATCTTGCCCGAACTTGTCGCAATATTGCTTTAAAAGTCGCTCGGATATTTCGCTTAGAGACGTAACCTTGGGTTCTTTATATACGTATTCAACCCCATTTTCGTCCTCGAAGTACGCTTGCCCGTAAAAACCCACCTTGTAGTATCTCCCCAACAATCTCCTCCCACTTTTGTTCATCTCCACGACCTTCTCGTAATTTAACGCGAGTTTATTATACGACTTCCTTAGCAAATCATAATCCCTCTTCTTCTCATAAATCGGTATTATCAACCTATACAATTCTCCCATGCATTCATATCGCTCGGCTTTATCCAGAAATTCGGCGCACGTTTCGAGTTGCTCCAACATAATGAACTCCGTGTACTGTATATCCTGCACGCCAGAATCCAGTTTTAAGCCTTTTTCATCCACTGAGATGTTCGATGATATTTTCGCGAAAACTTCCGCACCCCACGTTTGTATGTTTTTTAGTTTTAGGTATTCCGCCATCAAGGCGGCTATGTGAAGCTGGCAACAAGCGGCCTGAAAGTTTTCAGAAATTATTTACAAAATATTTTTTTTTATTTAACAGCGAGTCATTTAACTTGAAACTTTGAATATCTCAGTTAGTATGCATTTTACGAAAAAATTTTTAAAATAAAAATTAAATGATTCCAGGGAGGAAATCAATCAGTCCTCATACTCTCCTCCTTATAGGGGGAGTGGGGGTAACTTTAAAATTTCTATTTTTTATTGTAGATTCGGATCATTCGACTAAAAATAGGTAAATTTTGTCTAAAACATTTTTTCATATTTGTAATAGATGGCCTTGTAATGAAGAAAAATCAATTTTGTTCGATTTTTCTTCGGTATACGATTCTCCAATAATTTTTCAATAAAAATATCACTTTTTTTGTGTGTTTTGTGGTTTTAAGACAGCTATTCTTAACAAAAAACTTCAAAGTGCTCATTTACTGTTTCCACTGTTATAGAACATTTTAGGGGAGTTTTAGGAGATTTTTAAGGCAGTTTTTAAAACATTTTTGACAGTTTTAAAACAGCCATTTAATATATTCTTTGAACACAAATCCTCAAAATGTCAATTTACTATTTTTACAGTTATAGGACATTTTAAGAGAGTTTAATGAGATTTTTAGGACAAAATAGTTTTAGGAGGCAGATTTTAAAACATTTTTGACAGTTCCAAGACGGTTTAAGACGGCCATTTGATATTTAAATCCTAAAAATGCATTTAGAGAAAGTTTTATGAGATTTGCAGACAGTTTTTTAGGAAAACATATTTTAAGGCAGTGATAAGGCAGTTTTTAAAACAATTTTGACAGTTCCAAAAGGGTTTTAAGACAGCTATAGTCGCCGCGGCGAATGTTTTCCGTTGCGTCATCAATTTGTGAAACAAACACATACACAATTCGCCATTTTCTTTATAAAGTCGCTGCGGCGTATGTGGGATGTATGCCGGAAGGTATGTCGACAAACCGGTTTTAGACATTTAAAATTGATGACGCAACGGAAAACATTCGCGGCGGCAACTACATATATATAATATTTATTTTGAAGACAAAACCACAAAATGCCCATTTATTAGTCTTAGTGTGGATTCACAATGGACATAACCATAAAAGATACATAATGACCATAAAAATTGACATGTTGAGCATGTCAAACTAATGTCATTTTAATTAAATTTAAATTAAAATTTGTGAATTGTGTTTTTAAAATGAGTGAGACTGAAGAATTGTTATTATTGTCACTACTAAGACGACGTTGCCAAGAACGCCAAGATAGGGTAAAACCAAAACGAACAAGACGCTGCAGCGCGCTGGTGGGTTCGTCCTATAAATAGAGATATAGAAAAAAAGGATTTCGAAGACTAATTATTGAAATGCGACTTCACGACACTGAATGGTTTTTTACTTATACTAGAATGACAGCCTCATTATTTGAGGAATTGCTAAAACTAGTGTCCCCTAAATTGATTAAACATTGCATACGAAAACCACTGAGTCCAAGTCAACGGTTGGCCATTACATTGAGGTTGTTTACCTACTAAAAATAAATAAATAACGTATTTATTAATCCTTATGTAAATACATACAATGTAAGGTTACAACATAAGATTAAATGGCCAATGACCGAGGTCCTTCAGCCAAATGTGCTTAATTTTAAATTGATATTAAACAATAATAATGGCAATGGTAATGCTTTTTAATTTTGGTATAGAATGGTAAAAAAAGAAAAAAAAGAAGTTAGTCTAAAATGGATTTGAATAGTTCAAGTAATATCTTTTCGGGATGTTTGAATTTCTGTTATTTTGGGTGTCTTGTGCCTACTTTTATTATAATAAAAAACTAAAATAATAATTTGGCTTTATCTTAGGTATTTGTCTACCGGTGACTCAACCTTTTCCATAGCAAATGGTTATAGGAACCGCAAGAGTTGCCAATATAAAAACATAACAAACCAAAAGTTGCCGAATTTTCCCCAAAAAATTACATAAATATTTCATAAAGTTAAATTATTTGAACTTTATGTGATTTTTACGGTACTCCATAACTTTTACATAAGAGTCACATAAACGTAAAGATTACGTACTATGCACATTGTGAACGCTTCTTATGTATCTTTATGTATTTTTTTTATGTATTTCTTATGTTTTTTTATGGTTACGTCCATTGTGAACAAGCACTTACAGTTATAGTTGAAAAATATACAATGAAATTATAATACTTTTAGGTTGGTAGATTTTGTTAGTGACTCATTACTAATGACATGTCAAAAAATAACAAAATTTACATTTAATGTAAAAAATGAGTTTTTAAAAATGACAGGTGTAAAATATGACAGAAAGTTCAAAATTGTATAATAATTATTGAAAATTTTATAAAAAATAAAACTGCCATTATATTTAATTTATTTTATCTACTCTTACATTGACAAGCTGTAACTTTATGGCGTTTTAGTCACAGGCTGAAGTTGGCAGTAGTAGTAGTAGAAAAGTGCCGATAAATCCGTTGATATTTAACAGATGTCGAATGTTTAACAAATAAAATTGGCTTTAAATCGTTTTATAAACTTTTCTAAACACTCGTTTTTATCAGACACTCGCTGGCAAGCTTCGCTTGTGCCTAATAAAACTCGAAACTAAAATGGCGTTTATAAAACTTAATACATAACATACTATAAAACTGGGTAATTGAAAACAGCACATAAAAATTAAAACAATAATTATTTAATATGAATAATAGAATAAATTTTCGAAATTTTAAATTAAAATGTTATAAAATATCGTAAAGATCTGAGTAGTTCTGACAAATATCTGATTCTTGTAGGAACAAAGCCAAAGTTTTATACCAAAAAAATCGTTTTAAACACTCACCTCTGAATAATTCCCATCTCGAACGTGATTCCTTGTCATTGTTTCAAGCCATGTATGCCTCAACTCGGGAGTAGAAGCATAAGAATTGGCCAAACTGTGCTGCAAATCGACCAACATTTCCGGATCGTGATGATGCTCCCGCATTTGCAAAGTCGCCATCAAAACTGTGCGAATACGCTTCGTTAAATCCTTCACTTCTACAGGAAATCCTAAAAAAAAGAAACCACTTTGTTAATTTGATGTGTAATAAATATAATTATAAATAAATTACCTGTTCCTTTCATAGCCTTATCGCTGCCCGCGTAACTGTTTATTAGAGATAAACTTTCTTGAAAGCGCGCGTTATTCAACCCAACAATGTTTCCCAACATTTGCGACACGGATATAATTACTTGCAGGTGCACTCTGGTGAGTCCTTTGCGACCCGTAAACTCGAAATTACTGCGCATCAGTAAATACAGTATCGCGCAAGATTCTTGCCGTATCGACGCCAATCTGCTGTTGCAACATTTCAATAATTCGTAACACAACCTGCCACACAACACGGCGTTTCCTTGAAACAAAACCAAGGAAAAATTATTTATGAAAGCTCTTAACGCGGCGAAAACGTGCTTGAACAAGCTCTCGCTCTGTCCGATTTGTATGAAGGACAAATAAATGTCGAATATTTTTTTCATCACTTCGTTTTCGCCGTCGGAATTCATCAAGGTTTTGCGGAAATTCATGCAGTACAACCCCATACAATCCAACGTTATCATGCCCACTTCGGCGGCCAAATTTTGCTCCAGGATCGCTTGCTGCCTTTTCTCCACTTCGTTGTCTAAAAAGTTATTTATGGGAAAAATGCGTACAGCATATGGCACGCCGTTTTAATATTTAATTAATAATTTTTTAATTTAAATAATAAAATTTTCCAGGTTTAAATTTATAAATTTAAAATATTTTTTTAACTATCATGTAAATCCCCTATTATCAAAACCCCTTAAATCCGTTTTAATAAAAAATGAGAACATGCATTAAAAAAATACTACCTATCAATTTGTGCATTCAAATGTTTGAAAAAGACACGAAACACGAGACACGCTCTTAATACACAAACAGCTATTCAAATCAATTTTTGAAAAATTTCTAACCATAATTTTTTAATTAAAATAATTTCTTAAGTAGGTATATATTATTTGGGCAGAATTTTGTAAATCTTAAATAAATATTTAATAAAATTATTTTGTCTATAAATTTTAAATATAAAAGGCTAACGTAAGAGTTTAAGTTTAAAATATTCGTTTTAAAAAATTGTGCTTTTAATATTTTATTCAACAAAATTATTGGTTTAAATTTGTAAAGAGTCATTTATGTCATTATAGTCGAAAATTTTGTAATACACTAGTAATACCACTAGAGGTCAAATTATTTCCGGAAATTTTTTCGAGCTCATGAATATTTTGAAAATTATCCCGAGTCGAAGACGAGAGATAATTTTCTAAAAATATTCATGAGGGAGAAAAAATTTCCGGATTTAATTTGACCTCGTGTGGTATTCGGTAAGAAAATTCCACACCAAATTGTGTTTAAATAATTAAAATTTATTTTTTGATTTAACTTGACCTCGACTTGATTATTTAGTTACCATGGCAACTAAGTCAACCCCAACCTAAAAGTTATTTCAGTTTTGAAGCTGTCAAGCAGCACGACGTAAAAAAATGTGAAATTGTCTGCTGTAATGATCAATCATCGTGCAATGACTTATTTACCCGCATTATTAGAGGATTGTGGCTCCTACTTGAAGAAAGAAAATTTGTTTTGAATTGTTCACGAATATTTGCATCTTAACTATTCAAAACTCAAAGTGCTAAATGGAAAAAAAGGTGAATAGAATAGTGTCTAAATATTATATATATTTCATTAGACATAGACATTTAATTTATTTCAAGTCCTGCATTTTCGCCATTAAGAAGAAAGAAGGTGTCCAACGAATATAGAAAACATCTAAACTTTGTAATGGAAATGTATCAAAATTATCATGTAAACAAATAAAAACCAGATTGTCAAAAAAATATTCTGTCATTATAAACGTCAATAAATTTCCAGTATAATTCCATAGATGACCGAAGGTATAATTCGCTGTTGGGTACCCACGAGGAAAAAATTTCCACTAAAATTCAACCGTTGCCATGGTGATCTATCAAAAATACACGTTTTGATTGGTTAAAAATTACAGGTGTGGAATTTTCTCATTAATTTTTAATTTTAAAGTGGTAATTTTTAGATTCAAAATGTATTGACTCTTTACTCAGGTGACGAAATTTAAACCAAAAGCTTTTATTTTTAAAAAATTTAAATTGGTACATTTTTAACAAAAACATATTCATATTACATGTATGTAAATGTAAGGCGTTAATTTTTAATTCACAAAGTGTAAACGAGGCTTTAACTGTCCGCTAAAGCTACGTTTACACTTTGTAAATTAAAAATTACATTTAAATGTAAAGTTATAAATTTTGTGTTAAAAATGTATCAATTTAAAACTGTTAAAAATAAAAAGTTTTGGTTTAGTTTGTAAAGAGTCATTTAGATGATAGTCAATAAATTTTTTATCGAAAAATTGCCACTTCAAAATTTAAAAATTACATTTAAATGTAATGTGAGAATTTTTTTATTAAAAATGTATTGGCTATCATTTAAATGAATCTTTACAAATTTAAACCGATAATTTTGTAGAATAAAATATTTGTTCTAAAATTTGTAAAAATCATTATTTTTAAGGTTAAAGTTTTACAGTTGTATTTTACATTTAAAATATTTTTTGACTATCAAATGTTTTAAGTTTAAAAATTTAACTTTGTAAATTTCTGTTAAAACATCATTAAAGTGCTAAACTTTAATCTTAAAACTATTATCCAATAAATGCTAAAACGACGTGCCATAACAGCCTAAATTTAAAAATGGTGGGACAAAATCCGCCTAAAAGGCCCTTACCTGAGACCAAGCTTTCTCTATTGGTGTGTATCACCAAAGTTCCCGTCCCTTCGTGATTAATTTCCGTGGGATTCATCCTCGCAGGTAACGTATGAGCCTTCTTGGCGCCGCTTTTTCCATCACCACCCTTAATTACCGTAACGTTACGTTTCCCGTTGTATTTAAAGCAGTAAAGGCTCATTTCCAGTATTGCGAAAAAATTCACCACGTCGGAGTCCGAGTATTGTTCCCACCACATGATCAGTTGCTCTTCGCTTAGGTATTTGACGACGAATAGGAATATTAAGAGGACGTCTTTGACTTCTTGCGGTTGCAGTTTGTCGTACCGCTGCACTTGCGATGTGGTTCGCGTGTGAGATTTCACTTCGCCGTTTTTTTGTTCGTCTTTTATTAACGTTGTATCTTGGGACAAAGTGGATTGTGCATCTCCTGACATAGTGGAGAGGTCCGAGTCTATGCTCCGAGAGTTGCCATTAATAAGGGCTAAAATTACAAAAAAAGAATACCGATATTAATACTATAAAAATCAAATGTTCTAGTCGCTTAAATTATATAAAATTCTACAAGTTTATGATAAAAATGCCCCAACAAAAATGAAAATTTATAGAATTTAAAATCTTATAAAACCCATCAATATCAGAATAAATTTATAGAAAAATAACAAGACATTTAAGAAAGTCATAAAAAATTTCATAAAACCATAAAAATAAATAAAAACTAAATCCAGAAAAACTAAAAGGCCAACATCAATTTTGATTATCCTCATAAATCCTCAAAAACCATATAAAACTAATTCAAACTTAAACTTAAAAAATACAGGGTGTCCAAAAACAGCGCACTAAGACGTAAAAATAACGGATGTCAAAGGAAAAAGTTGTTTTTAAAATTATTAAATGTAAAATATTTCAGCTCATAAAATAAGAAGCGTTGCGGTTTTTTTTAAAACTAAAATCACTAATAACTTAAAACCTACAAAAAATTTGGTAACGCCCCATTTTCAGGACACCCTGTATATCCAAAATGAAAGTCCTGACAAAAAATTCTTTAATCTTATTAAACAAAAATTTGAAATTAAAAAAACGTAGTCATGTAAAATGAATAAAAATAAAAAATTTAAAAGTTTATTTTTTGACAGTTCAGGGAAAAAGTGAGATTAAACCCGTCCGCAAGCTAGGCTCGTGCATAATTAAACTCGCTTATTTTAAAATCCTAAAAGTCAAGTTTTGCAAAATAAATTAAATAAAACATTAAAAAAAACCGTATAAAATTATTAAAAATTAAATAAATCATATAAAAGAAAACCTGATGGACATTCAGGAAGATATCAAAGAAAATATTCGTGCCGAAGCGTCCGCATTTTCAAATTTATTGCCAGAAAAGGCCAAGGATCGCTACGAAAAAGAATATCAAGCACATCAAATTTGGCTCAGAAGAAAAAATTTGGAATCAATAACCGAAAATGTTTTACTCTGCTGTGTCTGAGCTATCGAAAAGTTACGCGCTTAACACTTTATGGACAAAAATTTCTATAATAAAAACGCGTCTCAAACTACATGAAAATATAAACATTCTACCATCAGATGACAGAATAAACACTGGTGGCGCCATCTCTATGCTTATCATCTAACAACTTTTAGACCTACCTATTAAACCTTTACTTTCTGTCAATTAAATTATTTTTCTATGGTATTTTTTGAAAACGTAGAAAAAGTATAGTCTGAAACACGTTTGGAATTGCATATTTCGCTCTCGTGAAATCATCCAACTCGCCTTCGGCTCGTGTGACAAACTTTTCACCCGGGCGGAATATGCCGTATTCCAAACTTGTTACAGAATATACTATTAAACGATTTTACACATATGGAAAGTTTTTCACATTCTTGGAGAAAGTCAATTTTCAAAGTCGACGATTTTTTTAGACGGGAAAAGAAGGTTAATCCGTTAACCATATATTCCTTAAGCCAAAATAATATGACTTTTATAATACAATTTTTCATTTAGACCACTAAACAAAAAACAATTGTCAAATAATCAAAATATAGTATAATATAATACCATTTTTCAATTTAGACCATCATTGTTCATTTAGACCACCAAACAAAAAACAATTGTCAAAGAATCAAAATAGTACCCACTGACTTCCACTATATTTTTTTAGGTAAACATTTATTTTTGTTTATTTATGTCTCCTATAAAATTTCGATAAAATGATTTGTTTTAGAGATAATTTGAAAAGTATTGGTCAAATAGTTTCAAATAGCGTTGTGTTATAAAAAGTCAATAAATATATTAATTAACATAACCCAAAAGATTTCCAAATAAGGTAATTACTATAAAAAACAACAAAAACCCCTAAATAAATAAATAACTTACATTGTCCAGCTATGGCATCAAAAAACGCCGAATTCCTTATATGCATTGGACTCCCCTTATCCAAATGTAAGGTAAACCTATTAAAACTTTTGGGAGTACAATCACTAGTATTTGAACTCTTAGCAAACAAAAAAGAACTACTCGAGGAAATCCTGTTTGCTATACCATCATTGGCGCCATCATTTCTTTCCGCCGTATCCAACCGGTTCAAGTTCTCCAAAACGATGTTCAACCAAGGCAGGTAAAGTAAGGCGATCCTGTTCATCTGCCCTTTGTTTTGGTACCTGTCGTCCAGCTCGTGTTTGGCGATCAGATTTCTCAGAGCATTCAAAGCGATTTTTCTGATGTGCTGCACCTCGTTGAGCGCGGTTTTCACCTCCTGCAAGAGCAGACCGACCAGGAAATGGTGTCTGCAAAATTCCTTCGAGAGAATCAACTCTTCCGTGCTATCCGGGGAGCGGTTTCTCGGGCTCAATTTCGTGTACTGTATCGGCAAATTAAACGAAACGTAGTGTTCGTGACTGGAAATGATCTCGAGGAAATTGAATTTGTACTCCTGCAGGATTCTGGAGTCGCCGGGATTGAACTTGTCCATGTAGTCGTTGATGATTTTAAAGACGAAACCGCGGTCTATCAGGGACAGGCATTGTTTCAAGAAGTTTGCCAGGCTTTTGTTCAGTTCTTTTGTTTCTAGGGGTTTTTCTTTGTACTGTGTTAGAATGTAGGGGGTTAGAACCTCCATCAGGCTTTCTAATTTGTTCAAGAAATCCGTGCTGAATCTCTCATGGCGATGCATCTAAAACAATTATACATATTACATTTTACACATTCAACAAAATTTGATTTTTTTCCCTCCCATGAAAAATTTCTATGGATTTTAAAAAAATGATACCCGTGCCTCGGCGTTTTTTCAGATCACGTCATTTTTTCTTTTTAAGTGAGATCCTATAAAATGTTATCTACGGTATTCGGCACATAATATTATTAACAGATTCGATAACAGCTAGACAGTATATTTGTATGAAAAATTTATTCACTGAATAAATAAACAACCATTAAGATTATTTATTTATTTTAAAATTATTTTAATTATATATAGGGTGTTCATGGTCCATTAAGAGTTTCTGAGGAAAGGCAAAAGATATCGATTTGAAATTTTTAAAGCGTTTATAATCCAATTAGGCCTATTCTAAAATATTTTACCTTGACTGGAAGTGACATCAACTTTGTTATTTTAAATGGAACACCCCATATATTTATACATTTTTCAATTCTACATAAAATTTTGAGTAAAATTACTGTATCATGTCCTATAGCTAGAGTAAATAGTTTTGGAGTTATTAATTTTTTCCGTTAAAATATGACAAATGCGCGTCAATCAAAAATAGCCTATAAATTTCTTGCTGTTAGGTTTTCAGAAATGGGGGTGGAATTTTTTGGAATCTTAAAACATTGTTTAAAAGATTCAATGTCAATTTCTTAACATACCGGGTGATCCATTTAAAATAAACAAGTTATTAACGTTTCAAGTTAGCCTAATTTGCCCTGGGTTTTCTCAGGTAATTTGTTGAAAAATGTTAAAGAATTGACAAGGAAATTTTTAAACAATGTTTTAAGATTCCAAACATTTTACCCCCATATCCGTAAACCTAATAGCAAACATCTATAAAACTATTCACTTTAGGTATAGGACATGGTATAGTAATTTTACTCGGAATTTTGTGTAGAATTTAAAAATGTAAAAATATATGGGGTGTTCTATTTGAAATAACAAAGTTGATGTCACTTCTGGTCAAACCGGAAATTGCATTTTGTTCAAAATATAAAAAAATAGACTTAATGGATTATAAATGCTTTTAAATTTCAAATCTATATTTTTTCCGTTCTCCAGAAACTTCCAATGGACCACGATTGTGAAACACCCTGTATATCAAGTGGTGTTTTTAGGTTGTGATACCACTATAGATTCGTAAGCAATATATAATCGTGAAACTAAAAGATCAAGATTTGTTTCCAACATATATACATATATCATATATATATAATATATGGGTCGTTTTCAAAAAACACCCGCCTTCCGCTGTCTTCCAATAACTATTAAAAATTATCGAATCTTATTGATTTAAAAACCGAGTGAAAGCTTAACAAGCCCTTAGTAAACACTTTCATAAAATGTTTGTTTAGTTATTTCAGAATAATTGTTTTTTAATTTTGAAATTTGTGAAACACAAATTTTCGCATGTCCCATTAGCGTTTTATAAAACTTACATACATATTTTTTTTAATATTTAATAACCAAAACTTTGCGTTGCTTTATAGCAATCCATAACATCCTTAGTTATTACAGTAAACAATTTAAAATTAATTAATTTTAATATACTTTTTTATATTTAAGTCATGTCCCAGACATTTTTTCCGTTGTGTTACTTCCGTCGCGTTACCGATAGAATATTAAAAAAAACATATATATGGCAACACATTACACAGCGGAATTTATTTATTCAGTCAGGAAGAAGATATCGGTTGAAACAGTTGCCGGTAACGCGAATGTAATAATTGTTTGTCCGCTAAGTTATTCAAAAAAATAATAAAAGTAAGGTAAGAAAAAATACTATTTTTCATGTTTATGTTTATTTTAGGGCACTAAAGCGCATTGAGAGTAATTAATGACTGTACTGTCTTATTATTATTTTTTAAATATGGTTTCACAATACTTTTTCCACTGCGTTACCGAGTCCATTATGTTACCTTATGGTAACGCAATGGAATTTAGGGTAACGCAATAGAATTTTTCGACAACAAAGTGGATATTTGAGGAGCATCCGTGCAAAACCGGCTAAATCCATTTTATTCAGTTTTTTGTTTTTTTTTATTTCGCATCTTTGGGGTTATTTCTATCGACAACCAAGATAACTCTGTTTAAATCTGACTATATCCATGTTAAAATCACATTTAAAAGGTAGCTTTAGGAGCAAAACCGGCCAAATCCACGTTTTTAAAAGCAAACCCGGCTATATCCAATAAATAATAATAAGTGGCTTGGATATGTCGATACTCCTACTAAAATTTGTTATGTTTTATCATGTTTGCACTAAATTTATTTTGTTAATATTTTTGAATAATAAAGGTTTTTTTTCACATTTTATTCGTTTTTTATTCGGTTTTCGAGCAAAACCGGCTATATACAAAACATTTTTTGAAATTTTGGCCTTAATATAAAGTTTTTGAAAACGAAAGTATGTCTTATAAATCAAGTACCACAAAGCCCACAAAACTCAAGTTTGCTTTTTCTTTTATCCAGGGCCGGATTTAGGACGGGGCCAGCGGGGCCACGGCCCCAGGGCCCCCACCATTTAGGGGCCCCCACCAATGCAATATGTAGCTTTTTAATGAAACGAATATGAAAAAAATTTGCGAAAAAACAAAAAATTGGGTCGGTTATACCGCGCGAATTCTGTAATTTTAAATTAATTTTTCGTAGATCTAACTCTAATTTTTCGCGGATTTTTTATCGCTTATCCGTTTGCAAATCAGGATGTAAACTATCACACTCAAAGTTTTGGCGCGCGAACACGTTTTTATGTAGTATATAGTCATAAGTTACGACTCAAAACAATTGCTCCTTTAGTGCTTTTCCAACGTTTTTGTAAATACAGGCAAACAGTCAATTACTTATAATCTAATATTAAAGTTAGTTTTTGTCCCAGATTTTTATTGGTACATTGGAGTGTTGTGGAATATTTTCCGGTGTTTCCGAAATAATGTTTCGTGCTTTTCTTTGGACAAAACATTGTTTTATTATTGATGATTTTGTATGAAAAACAGACAAATAATACGACTTTTGATGCACTTTTTTTCAGTTTGCGGTAAGTATTAAAAATACAAACAAAACATAGATCAATTTATATTTTACTTGAGTAAAATATATATAAGGTTATGTTCGTATTATTCAAAATATATAAAATATAAAGTAGGTATATAAAAACACTTTCATTCACAATTCTATTCTACTATCTACGTTTTTATAGTTTTGCATACGAATTTATAATTTCTCAGACTTGGGTGAAATGTATATGGTTATGTTCGTATTATTCAAAATATACAGGGTGATTCAGACTTGTGGTGACAAAAGCTCAGGGGAAATTCCTCTCATCAAAATATGAAAAAAAGTTCCTATAAACACGTGTCCGAAAATGCTTCATTATCGAGATACAGGGTTTTTCGTTAAAAAAAAATAGTTTTTTATTTATAGCTTAAAAACGCTTTGGCCGATTTTATTAAAAATTTATATGGTTTATTAAATAATAAATGATTCAAGTATAATAAAAAATCACGTAAAGTTCCTCTAGCTTAAAAATTTACTATGAGTTTTAAAGTGTCAATTTTTTTAGAAATATTGAGGGCCCCCACCAAATGTCGGCCCCAGGGCCTCAAAACTCTTAATCCGGCCCTGCTTTTATCTGTAAAGGCCAGGAAACCGAGAGTTTTTGCCATTTTCCCAACATTTTATTAAAGTGGATATAGAAGGTTTTGCACGGATGCTCCTTATTTACTATCGATTTTATTAAAAGTAGTATATTAAGTACACTATCTTACTTTTTCAGATGCCGTTAACAGCAGCTGAAAAGCAGAAACGTTATAGAGAAAAGCTCAAGCTAAACAGAGTGAAAAACGAAGAAGCCAAGGAAAAAGCCAGTCAACGGTATCATACTAGGAAGGTATTAATTAACGATTTACCAAAACGTGAACAAAAACTTAAAAGACAGAAATGGAAAAATGAGAAAAAACTGCAGAGAGAATATAAAAAGCGCGTTCAATATCTGCAAGAAATTACTCCACCACCTTCGCCTATTTCCACGCCAAATCTAACATTAGAAGAGGTAGAAAACGAAGAGACAAAGAAAAGACCAAGAAACCAAGAAGAGACAGAACAGAACAATCTCTATTTCGTTCCTTTTTTAGTTTTTGTTAAAAAAAATACTTAAAATGATTTTTATACACAAAGAATCGGAATGGTTTCTTTTAAAAAGTAACTTAACGGACATAAATATCTAAAAAAAAGCATTCAATTTTTAATAAAAAATAAAATAATGAATTGGAGTCAAAAGTTTGTGAACTGAGTAAATTTTATTTCAATTTATTTTTATAACAACTTTTTTTATTGAATTTAATTTTGGATTTCAAATTGTTAACACAGTGGAGATATATTAATCTAGCTAAAGACATTTTTCTAAAAAAAACGTAAAAAAAATAAAGTGCACTGCCTGTCTTAAATGTAAGTAAACACAACTCTACACATTTATAAAAATCCAACCAAAAGTCAATTTAGGCAAAAAAAAATTTTGATCATCATTTTCCTGACGGTGGGTGTTTCTTCAAATTGACCCATATATTTAATATAAGATAAATACAAATCTGTTGTTTTATTTAAAAAAATTAAAAATTAAAACCAGAAATTTTTTTTTTACTTAAAAAAATTAAATTGTTATTTTCTTTAAGTATAATTTTTGTATTAGGTAGAAACATAAAATATTTGAAGAAAAAAGATGATTTAAAACAAAATAGAGAATTAAAAATCTGTTTAGGTTAAAATAATAAGAATGGTGTAAAAAAATTAAATGACGTGATTTCGTGAAACGGTTAGACACGGTTACGTTTTTTTAACCTTTATTTTTAAAATCTTTTAAAACTTTTTATGGGAGGAAAATCGTGTTGTATTGTGTTATCATTAAGTATTTCATTTGCAAAGATTTACCTTAATTCTTCCACTGGATAGTAAATGTTGCGCCATTCCTTTACAAATGACATCGAAAAAGAAATCGGAATGATGCATAAACTTGTTGACGACCAAAAAATCCGTATTGCTAGGATTCAAAATGGTTGGTAAATATTTGCACATCTCCTCGTGTACTGTGGCATTTTTTCTGGATTCCGGTTGCACAAAAACGTACTTAACATAGGATTTCAAAACTTCCTTTCTATTCGCTTCGTATATCATGTTAACCAAATTGATTAAAACTCGGACTATATTTATACCGATTTCTTCACTATTGGTCGCCAAAAGTAATGTAAAAAGTTGGTTGAATAATGTCGGTAGGTAATTTATTAATGTTGTCAAATGTATTGCGTGTAAAGCTTTAAGAATTTTAGTTGTTTCCCCTTCCGAAGGGGTCGCTGATGGTTTAGGATCTAGTAGTCTCTCAGCATGACAAAATAGGTTATGTAGGTGCTGGTCCTTTGTGTTAACAGTGGATATCAGGTTAAATGCGATTGCAAATATTGGCTTTTGACCATCCACCCAGTTGATATCAGGTCCAGCGCTCTAGAAAACAACATTTTTGTGATAATTACCTGAGAACCATGAAATAACACTTACCCCTCTTCCCAACCCGAACGGGTGTATGCTCAAATACCCCGGAGGCAAATGCGCAGCCACTGGTACCGACTGCACATCAACGTTAAGTTTGCCTTTGTGCAGCAACGGCAACCATGAGTAACCAACGCAGTTTTCGATGCTGATTTCGCGTTTTTTCGTTATATCGCAGGAGATGTGGTAAAAAGTGAACAACAAGTGGTGGGTGGATAAAATGTTTGTTGGCAGTTTGATTTTGACTTCTTCGTACCATGTCGGTATGGTGTTGTGATGGAGGACTGCACAGGATGTCTGCGCGACAAGCGGTTGTTGGTCTGGCCGACCATAGATACACTAAAAAATGGTTTTCTTTGTATTTCTTGTACTTTTTGTTGTTTTATATATTATACCTGTAAACCTTTAGCTTCCTCATTATCGGAATCTCTCAATTCTATGACGCAAGCTATGTTTCTTGCCCGAGTGAACGTTTTTTGCGTATCGAAATTTAAACTTTGCGGATATACGTATAAATGGTTTACGAAAGTCGAGTAAGGGTGAATTTCTTTTTCGGAATTCCCCTCGAATTCCATTATTTCTATGGAAGGCTCGTGTGTTGGAGGTAAAGGGAATGGTTTTAAGGGCAGTAGCGAGGTAGTAAGAGAATCTGAAATAGAACAATATGTTAACTATATTATATTTTAATATAAATACTTGGCTTTTTTTAAATTTTTGTTTGTTTGTATTTAACCAAGTGTGGTTTACGCAATTTAGAAACTTCCGGTGTGTATATTATCAACATTATAACAGAGGTTTTTTGCTATAGCAGTATCTGTTATATGATTTTCTTTAATTATTAAATTAAAATAAAATAAAAACAAAAATAAATAAAAAACACAACAATTAAAACAAAAATTTAAAAACGAAATAAAAAAATACAAAAATAATAAAGCAAAATAAAAAACAAAAAATAGAAAACATGAAAAAGCAAAACATTTAAAATGACAAAAAAATAAAGGAAAAAACAAATCAAAGGCATAAAAAGCAAAAACAAACAAAAAAATAAACAAAAAACATAAAATAAAAAACAAAACGCCAAAACATAAAAAATAAGCAGAAAAAACACAAAAAACAAAATACCAAAGCAAAAAATGAAAAAAATAAAAACGAAAAAATTAGGGATGCACCGGATCGGGTATTTTGCCGATCCGGCCGGAACAGGAATTACGGCCGCTGGCCGGACCGGATCGCCGGAATTCCGGCCGGATCGGGACCTAAATTCAAAATGTATGTGCATGCCTATTTTTATACGTAAAACATTGAAAATATTGAGGCTGATTTATTTTTACTTTTTTTAAAACTAGCTACGGTATGCAGAGTGTTTATTACTATTAATTTTTACCTATATAGAAATTACTGTTTATTTAAATATTAATTTTTAATTAGCGTTAACAAAATTAAAACAATTCTACTTATTCAATTGGAGAATAGCAGCCACCTGCCAATAATAAAAAAAATAAAAAAAAGTCGGGGAACCACAGCCGCCGGTCTATCATAGGCAAGGAAAGACGCACACCCTTCACTGTTGACCAATTACAAAATTCCGGCCGGAAAACGATCCGGCCGGAGCGATCCGGCCGGAACGGTAGTTCCGGCCAACTGGCCAAATCGGCCGGATTTAGTGGTACCGCCGGAATTCCGGTGCATCCCTAGAAAAAATACAGTGTCCAAAATGGACTTAACTATACTTGTAAAAATATTTATTTTCAATTTTTCGAAGAAAAGTCACTGTTCGTAATTTCTTTTACTTGTTATATAAATACCATTCACAATGAGAAACTTCTATTTTGTTATACAGGGTGCACAAAAAAGATACAGTTGTAGATTTTGCAAAATATGAAGAGCTTGTAATATAAGGAGAAACCAAAAAGCCAAATAAAGTTTTTTCATGGGAGTTGTTGTTACTAAAATATTTGTTATTAAAATCAATTCAGGTCCTAACTTGAGTGGTCCTATTATTTTGTAGAAATTGACTGCTATCTTATTTCTTCTTACAACAAAATGAATGTTTCTCAACGCGAGGCTTAGCAGAAGAAATTATGAGGTATTGTATATTTAAGTCCATCCGTGAACACACTGTATAAAAAATCATAAAATAAAAAAGATAAAAACCACAAACCACAAAAACTGGCCGACTCTACTTAGTCAGTCAACCCTAAATGGTTACACATTAGGTAGGTCATGGTTTAAATCCAAAATAAAAAAACCAAAACGCCAGAACATCAAAAACATACAAAAAAGAAAAAAAAAAACAAAAAATTAAAAAACAAAATATTTAACATCAAAAAATATTAAAAAAAAACAAGAAAAAAAAAGTTTGGCAAAAAACATTGAAAACCGAAAAAATAACAAAAAGCAAAAAAATTATAAAACAAAAAACGAAATAAAAAAATTAAAGCAAAAACTAAAAAAACAAAGCAAGATAAAAAAAAATCTAGGGACAAAAATTCCCAGGAATCTAATCAAGTTTGACCAGCGGCGCACAAGATTTCGTTTAGTTTGGGTCAATTTTGGTGTAAATTTACCTATCTTTCAGAAAATTAGTTCTATGTGAATCAACAAAAGTATAGTCAGAGTGGGGGCAATTGTACCGCGCCTGACTTGATCAGGAAAAATATTTACTTTTCAGTCAAAATAAAGTCCGGGAATTTAAACCTGGGACGCCATGTAAGTAAGCATTAAAATATTTATTAAATAACAGTGTTAAGTTCAACAGCTAGCCATAAAACAATGCCACGGCCAGTCAAGCAGCAATTAAAACTAATCAAGATTAATTGATTGCACAATACAACATAAATAACATTGCACTTACTTTGTGGAAGATCGTGGACAGCAGAAACATTTATTTGCAAGGTTCCAGGAATCACGGTGAATTTGCTGAACTTGTCCGGTTTCCGGTATTCGGTCAGCAATTTGAGGAGTTCGTCGTCGGTTAATTTGTTTGTTTCTTGTCTGTAAATCGCGTGGAAGTCCGAGTTTGTGTCCAACTCGTTGCTGTATAGCCTAAAAAGTGGTCTTGCTGCCCATGCGAAGGGCATCCGGTATTTGCCCAGGCGTTGGCAGCACGTCGCTATATTTCTGTACGTTTTGAGGCTTATTTTTGGGTCTCGGTTAGCCTTTACGTAGGGTTCGCTACTTTGACATATGCCGCCTTGTAGAACCTTCTCAATTCTCACCACAAGAAATATTTCCGAATGAGGGTTGGTGACGCTTAAAATGGCTTGCCGTCGGAATAAAATCCAATCTGTGGGCAGTTTTTGTGGGAGATCCAAATTAGCGGATATATCACCGTTCATACAGCTCAAAGTGTTGCGTATACTCGCATTATTAACATCGAAATGGAAGTTTTCGGTTAACTTTCTACCAGTCCTAGCATCAAACAGACACAACGTAGTAAAATATGGTTCCACTTGACACAAGTTTTCTCTATCATCCACTGCCTGTAGCTTAAACTTAACATTCTCACATTTGAGTAGAACTCTATGGCCGAAAATTTCCTTGTACGGATCCAACATCTCCTGACTAGAACTTTGGGGTTTTAAATTCATGGCTAATTGTGGGTACAAAAGAAACAATTTTTCACGTTGATCTTTCCTGGAACGAGCTATACTAACATCAGTTTCTCTGGCGTACTTCATGAGTTGTGGATTCATGCTTTGTTCCAGGCCTTTCAGGGTTCCAAAAGGTTGCTGAATTTGTGGTGAAGGGGGTGGCGTATTTTTATCTCTCTCCAGAGAAGCAGCCCTTTTCTCCTCCTGTATTTTATACTGCTGTAACACTGATGTCAATTTGGTCAACCAGTCCTTAAGATCGCCGTCGTTTTCGGCTGCTAGCAAATACGATTTGTGACCCCCCGTCATTCTTAGCTCAAAGCAGAATCTGCCACGTTTCAAATTTTTGACTACGTCTGTGCAAAAATCCATCACGATCGTCACTTTCGCTTCCCCCTTTCGTTCGTCTTTGTAGAGCTCTAGAATGTAGGTCCCGTCCACTTCCTGCCTTAAAGAGCAGTATCTCCTCTTGAAACTTTTGGACCCCAAGTTCACGAAGGATCTTTCGGACCCTATTTCCGGGCCCTTCATCAGGAACCCCTCCTTCGTCACCAACTCGACCCTGGGTTTCACATCGTCCACCGACTCATCGATGTCTATCTCGTAGTTTTCCTCCTTATAGCTAGTATTTGGTAGTTTCGGTAGGTCGGCGTACGAGCCGGAGTACGCGCTGTATTTGTAATGCACCAAGTGCCAGTTCGACGAGTACGTGTTGACGCATTGTTTTGTGAATAAGTTGCATTGGTCCGTTTGGTCTTGAGTCGGATTGGGCTGCGATAGGGTTCTGTAATGGCGAGGGAGTACCACTTGCTAAATCAAAACAATTAATTTTTAAACTTCAACATTTGTGGTAGGTACTATGCTCCACACCTCAAAGTCCTACCACGTGACCACGTACGGAACGCAGTCTTTTGAAAATTTGGCATTTAAGGCTTTTCAGGTCATGTATCTGTCAAAGTATAGTCAATGAAAGAAATAATATTTATAGTGTTACCGCTTAAGTTTAAGCGTTAAAAGTTAATAAATCTTTATAGTATCACAATAACAATGGTTGGTTTAAGAATTTAGGAATATAAATACTGCATTTAATGAAACTCCAAAGTGTATGGTGCCAAATAATTAATATTCTTGTGCATTTGGTCTACATATCTCCAAAAAATAGTTTTAACTAAACAGCATTTATTAAAAAAATCTAACTTCTCTATTATGAAATAAGAATATCTGTATCAAAGGTAGGTTAATGTATTAGAACAAAAAATCTAATTTTGTATTTTAAGGTTATAAAAATCTATTTTGACCAAAATAAATAAGTGGATTATTTGAAAGAATGTGTTAATATGGTCATAAATAAATATAGGTATACTAAATAATTGTTGAATATAGTTCAAATTAAATTGAAGCTTTTATACTTCTAATGACAAATCTTGTGCATACCTCTCGGCATACCTACTTTAAGTTAGATTAAAAGAAAACAAACAATTTTTAAAGAAACTTGCAATGTGAAAATATTTAATACTCCCATGACATGTGATTTATTAAAAATTTTAAAGTTATAATGATTTTTTGATGTAGATCAAGTTCAGTAGAAGCTCTTTAACTATTTGTATTGACAAAACTTTATGTAGGTACACTTTAAGCTGGATAAGAAAAACTACCGCATTTTTAAATACCATATTATACTGTCTTTTAAATAATCCAAAATACTTATTTATTTTGGTCAAAATAAATTTTTCTAACCTTAAAATTACAAAATTAGATGATATTTTTGTTATAATATATTAACCTACCTTTAATAAAGATATTCTTATTCCATAATAGAGAAGCTAGATTTTTTAAATAAATGCTGTTTAGTTAAAATTATTTTATAAAGAAAACCAGATATTTAGACCAAATGCACAAAAATATTACTTATTTGGCACCATACACTTTAGAATTTCATTAAATGCAGTATTTATATTCTTAAATTCTTAAACCTTCCATTGTTATTGTAATGTTATAAAGATTTATACATTTTTAACGCCTAAACATAATATTATTTCTTTCGTTGACTATACTTTGACAGATACATAACCTGAAAAGCCTTAAATGCCAAATTTTCAAAAGACTGCGTTCCGTACGTGGTCACGTGGTGGGACTTTGAGGTGTGGAGCATAGTACCTAACAAAACTTGATCTCTTACCTTGAGGTCGTCTGAGGGATAGAGTAGCAGCTCCCTCTGCGGGTCATTCTGCAAAACAGTCTTGTTCTTGATCAAAAAGTTCTCGAAATCCAGCGGGTCGACCAGCTGCGGCTTGTTCTGAAAATACAAACAATTACTGAATTTGTTCCCCATTCCGGCCCACCCAGACTTAAATAGTTACTGACTGTTTTAAGCATTACTTTCGCACTTTACGCTATCAATTAAACACATTAGTATTGCAGGAAGAATGCGGAGCACGCAATCGGAATAATAAGTGATGTTTTTTATGTGGTGTGGAAGCGATAAATGGTGTCAGCAGTTCTGTTGACAGCTAAATGGTCTGTGTAAGTGTGTTTTTAAATGCGCCAAATTATCTGACGGTTTTCATATCTGCTTTAGTAGTTATAGCAATTAATATAAGGAATTTTATTTTTACTGTTTTTGTTTTAAAATACTTTTAAATTTTTAATATTTTAATGTATTAAGTACTTTTAATATAAATAGGTAGGTATATTTAATTGTTAAAAAATAAAAAACATTTTTAAGAACATTTCAAATACACGGAAAAAAATCTATACTGATTCCAAGAAAATTCAACTCTATCCAAGTATAACTTAGTTTCCCTATTCCGCAAGTAAATTTATACTTGTTTCAAGTATCCTCATATTCTTATAAAATAAAGATAGCTTCGGTTTAATCTAAGATTACTGCTATACTAAAAATAAGAAACACACTAATATTGAGTTAAGTATACAAATTTGTCTTCAATGAAGACTACGGTATTCTTGTTGTAACGTTAGCAAAGATTAAATATACTCTTTCTATTATATAGTATATTTAATCTTTGACGTTAGTATGTACTTCATCAAAGTATAGTTTCTTTGTAAAATCTTTACAGTATTCTTGTTTTAAGAATATACTTTCTTTAAAATTTATTTATTTATACTTATTGTAAGTACACGCTTTACTTGCATAAAATGCTTGTATTCTTACTTTTCCTTTTTTTATATTTGATAAAAGTATAGTATATATATCGTCACCGTTCTGGCAAAAGTCATTAACTCCATTTTTGTCTAAAAGTAGTTAACTACCTTCGCAATCATAGAACAATTATATCTGTGGTCTAGAAAAACTTATTAAGTGTAGTATTGTATTTTTAGCATGCCAAAAATACAATACTGCACTTAATAAGTTTTTCTAGACCACAGATATAATTGTGCTATGATTGCGAAGGTAGTTAACTACTTTTAGACAAAAATGGAGTTAATGACTTTTGCCAGAACGGTGACGATATATACTATATATTTAAAATAACTTTACACTATTCTTAAAGAAGGTGGTTGATTGGAAAAAAAAATTCCCTCGTCTAGCGACTCGGAATAATTTTTACAAAAAAAAACATTCGTGACCCTGAAAAATATTTGTATTAATTATCCTACCACTACCGAAAATACAAGTGAAAGTGAAAATATATTCGTTATGACAGTAATTTAACAGTATTTTTGGCAGATTATTTTAATTATTTTTATGTACTAAAGTACTAAGTATAATAGGCACTGATATCACAATAGGTTTATTACCTAACAGTCTTAGAGGTATTAGAAAAAGTACTGTCAATTTATATAAATTCATTCTTTCACGGTTAATTAGCATAGATACTAAGTATATTTTACATTTTATTTTTTTAAGTACCTATAGGTATCACATTTTTGGTTCTATATGTAAAGGTAAGGTTTTTAATCACAATACTTAGTTATTATTTTTTTAAGTAGGTATTTTTATTGTCAGTAAAATTTATCTCCAGCTAAATAATTTGTAAAATGAGTCTCTAAGAAGGCTACCATTATCATCGTGGATGGTTTGGTGTTAATTCTTCAATTTTTTCTCTAACCTTGATCCTCAATCCTATTTTTGGAATTAATTCCTTTAAATTCTCCTCGCTTAGGTTTACCGTAATATCGAGATCTATCTCGTTTTCTAAAACAAAAATAATATAGCTGAATTGGAGGCGATAGCCTTTCTGCTGTTTATGTGCTATTGTCTATTACCTGTCGTATGCTATCCATTTTACACTACAGTATACCTATCCATTTTACACTACATTTTTACGATCATGCCTAGTTAATTACTACTTTAAATTAATGAAATATTATTTACTTACCCAAAAATGTGTCTAGTAAACATTCTGCCCCAATTTTTAAGTTTCTTCTCCATTATTTTTTATTAAAAATATCATCCAGACCGAAAAAGGAAAAAAACAACACACGCTACCACAATAGAATACAGGACAGAACTGAACACAGAAACTGCGTCTTTTCTTTTAGCGAAGCGGTCTTATAGAGGGTGGACGGAATTTACTTAAGCGAAGAATTAGGTATTTGTTTTAATAATAGCTATACTTAAATACAGTATATTGTATTCTTTGTTCTAGAGGTCTTATACTTAAATTGAAGTATAAGCGTTATTGTATTAAATATACATATATTTAAATAAAGTATACCGAAATTTCATACAAATATACAGAATACTTAAAATAAGTGGCAATATTCCGCTTTGAGTAAAAAACTAGAGCTCTTTCATCTAAGCATTATTGTATATTTGATTTAAGTATACCAATTTTCTTTAAAATAAAATACCTTTAAACTCAATCCAAGAATACTCATCTCAAATCAAGTAACAGTTTTTCTTAAAAATTAAGTATATCCCATTACTTAGTTTAAATGTACGCTAATCTCATAGAAATAATAAATATACTTAAATCAAGTTCCTAACATGAAGTATAGAACTATTCTTAAACCTAGTAAGGGATTTTTTTCCGTGTATAAAGTTAAAATTTGTTAATAATAACAACGTTGTGATGATTTAAAAGTTTTGATTTTTAACAAAAACTTTAAGACATCTGTCAACCTGGCATGGTTTAATTTAATTTAATTTTTAATATTTTTTCTACTCCCACTTTTAAAACGCCCTTTATAGTACATGTTTCCATAACACTAAGTGACCTTTTAAATAAACATTGACAAGTTGTGTCTTTATGGCGCTTTACTCACGGGCTGAAGTTAGCAACAGGTTTTTAGTCACGGGCTGAAGTTAGTTTTAAGTTAGTTGACAGTTGTCAAATGTCATACAATCGTTAAAATAAAGTGCCTTTCTTGTAAAATAATACTAAATGTGAAAATTATTTTATTATCTCAATACAAAAATACAAAAGTATTAAATAGTTTCTCAACGCCAATATTTGAAAAGTTTATATGAACATTGTACTGACCTTTTAATTTCGCCGGAGGAAACTATAACTTAAATTCGGGCACGGACTCCACTGTAAAGTCCTCATAAAATATTTTCTTTACTTTTACTGTGAAAAACTGTCAATTTTCAAGAAATACATTTCGATTTATGACCTTTATAATTTGACGGTGACACACAGATTCTCTATTCTTTCATAGATGGCGATCTATACAAATTTTTGATTTAAATCATTTTAAGATAATAATAAGTATTTGTCGTAGAAAAAGTATAGTATGCACCTCGTTTATAACTTATCTATACACTCATCAATTTAAGGACTCGCTCGCAAGCTCGCTCGTGCCTAAATTAAATTCGTGTATGAAATGGCGTTTATCAAACTTGATACATAATATACTATTAAATTGGTACTCCTGTTCAAACCCTTCATTTTAAATACTGCTTAATAATAATGATATGTCGAGGGGGTAACAACTGACCCAAAATTTGTACATGTATTGCGCATATTATAAACACACATGTGTATTTGTACGCTGGGAATGCAAATTTGCCTCTTGTAAAGTCACCTTTATTTCATCAAAGGTATTTAATTTTTTAACAACTCAATGTAGCCAATTATAAATTTAGGGTCCCTAGAATTTGCCAACTAAACCCCAAAATTTTTGACTTCGTCAAATTTCAAATAAAAAACACAAACTGCTTAATAATAATGATATGTCGAGGGGGTAACAACTGACCCAAAATTTGTACATGCATGTACAAATACATGTATTGCGCATTACGTGCCTTTTTTATAGTAATACCAGTAATACCAGTGTAATGTCAGTAATTCCAGTGTAATGCCAGTATTGTTATATTATGATATGATTTTTTTAATTTTATAAGAATGGTCAAGATTTCTTTTATTTTTATATTATTTTCTTCCAACAAAAATGTATGTATGAGTAAATATGGAATTACTAGCATTACACTGGAATTACTGGCATTACACTGGAATTACTGGCATTACACTGGAATTACTGGTATTACACTGGAATTACTGGCAGTACACTGGAATTACTGACATTATATTGTGGCAACATCCATGAAGGAAACGCATTATCTTCACAGAATATTTATATGAAACCAAATATAATATACAGTTTGGACATATTTATTATTTTCTCTTATCACATATATACAAACATACAACTAAAACATATTCTTAAACTATTTGTTCACGCGAATAAACATTTAAGTCGATCATATTTTCAGTTAAACATATTTTTCTTATCATCTTTGTAAAGTTTAATAATAATTATTGTTAATTTATCGTGTCTTGATAGTTGAAATGGTCCTGTTCCGATGATTTTTATTGGTCCAGTCGTTTTTTTTTAATAAATTCCGTATACAAGTACTTTCTCGTCTGCTTCTAAGAGTTCAAAGAGGTAATTTCTTGCAAATAAATTTATATTTTCAATATGAATATCGGTGATTTTTGATATTAAATATAGGTTGTCATAACCAGTGGAAATCATAAGGTTTTTTTACATGTAAAGTGGTAACTGAAAACCATGTAGTTGAATTTTACTAATACAGGCATTAACTCTACAAATTGATTCTTCTTCGGATAATATTAATTCTTTTTCTGATGAAGACATTCTAAAAGATCAAATAAACTATAAAACAAGGGACAGAAATAGCTGGGTCAGTCCATATCAAGTCACCCGAAGGCTTTTTCCTCACCATCTCCGATTTTAATTATTTTTGGTAAATTTGACCCATTTTTTTGTAATAACAAGTTTGTTAAAAATCAAAAAATTCCAATATGTCAAATACTATTTAAAGTAAAAGGTGGGTCCTGTTTTAAAGGTCTTTTAGGGGCCTTTTTATGATATATCACATAGACTAATTTTTTCATCATTTTGAAAAAAAAATTAAATAGGTATGTCAAAAATGCCTTTTTATTTTTTTTAAGAAAACTAGGTATATTTTATTGCAGCATACAGCATACAATTACTATAAAGAAATTGAATTACTATACTGCCCTACTATGGAGAAAGGCAGTAACTGCAAAAAAATGCAAAATGCGTTTTCTTGTGCTATGGTAAAGCTATGGACATTTTGTAACCGAATTCAACACAGAAATGCAGTCAAATATCTCATAAGTTAAAAAAATCAATTAAATACCTACTGCTTTTTATAAAAATGTAGTTTACGCTAATTTTCCACAAATTTCTTGTTTAGCAGTTACTGCCTTTCTCCATAGTAGGGCAGTATAAAGGAATTAAATTAATTAAAAAATAATTTAATTAAAGTAACTAAATCACTGTAAAGTAGCTGGAAAATATTAAAATTAGCAAGAACTCAAACAAGGACAACTAAATTCTATTTAATTTTGCAAAAATTACAAAAATTTCTTTTCTTGCTCAATTGTCAACGATTGCCAATATGTTGACGAAAAAGTGCGGAAAGAATTAGTACCTAAGCTCGCAGGAAATAAAAACTAATATGTACCTACACATAATTATGCATAAGCCATAATATTACCAGCGTAATACTGCGGAATGCCAACATAATGCCGGTAATGTCATGTAATGCCAGGAATGCCGCCGTAATGCGGGGTAATGCATCACAATTTGTACATGTATTGCCAATATGTTACCCCCTCGTGATATATTTATTGCTAATAAGATCATACTGTATGATTCATACATGATCTGTGACATGATATAAGCAACGTCAAAATACGAAAAATACGAAAAAAAACAAGGTGAAACATTTAGTCATAAAACATAGTCATACCGTATAGGTACAATAAATAAATTGGTAAATAAATAAAAATGTAATACATTTAGTAATAAACATTTAAATGGGTAAAAAAATCGTAAATATTATTAGTTAGTCGTTAAAATTTAAGAACTCATTAAAGGAGTAAAAACAGTTGTTTACAAGGTAAGTTTTTATGGCATTTTTAAAGATAGACAACGATTTACTTTCTTTAATATAATTAGGTAATTTATTTGCGACTAGTACCTATACATCGTAGAAGAAGGCTCCTATGACACAACTCGGATGAGTTTCTTGGAATGGTAAGAGTTGCATCGCCCCTGGTACTCAGCCCTAGAGACCTCTCTATTAGTTACAAAGTTGGGTTTTTCTTAGAAAAAATTAGCAAATGGTAACGGCATAATACCTAGTTCACTCAAACTTAAACATATTATATTATATCCAAAGAAATGTTTTTTAAAATTGTTGTAATACCTAGTATACTGCCGTGCTTAATGAAAACGCCGTAACCAACAATTTTGCGATTTTTGGTTTACGGCATTTTCTACTAGAACAATTTATCCTGCGTCTATCCCCGGTACTCAAAAAACCGTATCTATATCTATACGGTTTTTTGAGTACCGGGGATAGACGCAGGATGAATTGTTCTAGTAGAAAATGCCGTAAACCAAAAATCGCAAAATTGTTGGTTACGGCGTTTTTATTAAGCACGGCAGTATATTATGTATCAAGTTTGATAAACAAGTTGCATACTATACTTTTTCTACGACAAACACTTATTATTATTTAAAAATAGGTAATTTGAATTAAAAATTTGTACAGGGCGACATCTATGAAACAATAGAATTACCATCTTGAAAATGTGTATTATGTAAAATGTCAAATTTTTATTTGTAAATCAAAATCTGTCCCCCAGACAAAGATTAAATATACTCTTTCTAGTATATATATTTAATCTTTGGTGGGAGTAGAAAAATCCTATAGTAGGTATACAAATAATTTTAAAAATATAAGAAGGTAATTATTATTATATAAATTCTAGTAAATTGTCAATTTTTAAATGGAAAATGATTGTTTATAGAAAAAAAAATTTACTAGGTATTGTGCAACTATCCCTTATCTATGGTATTGTGGTTAAGTTTAATAAAAACCACAAAACACACACAAACACAGGAAATTAGGTAGTTAAAAACCAATATTTTAAAAACATCGCATTCAACCTTCAAGTTTTAAGTCAACTAGGTATTTTAATTTAACGTTCAGTACTCATATCGGATTTTCAAGTAATAAAAACATAAGAGTCATGTGACGAATTATTAAACTCCCCTACCCTCTAAAAATATTTTTTTGATTCCTTTGGGGTCATCTATTAATTACGTGAGGCAATTTTGTCGATTTTTCGACCCCCCTCCCCTTGGTGAGATGTCGTGAGATTTTGCTCGACCCTCCCCCCTCCCTTAATCTCACGTTAGATTTTTTTAAATGCATGGTTTTAATGTAAATCTGTGCTTGATTTCATTAGATTTATTAAAAAAAAACAATTTTCTTATAATTGTTTACTTAATTTAACCCAGTTTTCTCGCAATTTTACACTGTTTCATTCTAAAAGAAAAAATTACGTGATATTTGCCGAGACCCCCTCCCCCCCTAAACACCTCACGTAATTAATGGATGCCCCCTTTTTGTAATAATCTGACTAAAATGGCACAAATAATCAATTTCATTCGATTTACTTTACATGATGTTTTAAAAAACGCTGTGTCTAGTCTCACGCTAGCGTGAACGCAATTTTATTCTTATTCTCACGCTAACGTGAACGCAATTTAATTTTTATTCTCACGTTAACTTCGTATATATAAATACAGATTAAAGCCTTTTGGTTTTTGGTTAAACCTAAGGCTGCCAACTTTTCCCAGGGGCGGTTTTAGACATCTACTGAGGGGGGGGGGGCGAAAATAGAAAAAGCCCATGTGTAGTGGACATAATTCTGCCAGCATTATTTTATTTAATTTTACTTTTTAGGTGTCGTGTCATTTGATTTGATTATTATTTGATTATGTCATTTGATTTGATTATGTAAATGTAATAGTTATTTACGATATTTATATATATAAGTGGGATAAGCGCTTTATTAACGTACGCATGCGCAATGGCAAAAGTACGTTAATAAAGCGTTATCACACGTATATTGTACAAATTTTTATCTACGCCTCTAAATGAAAAAATAAACGGTAATTATTTTTGTCTAAGACTTAATTTAGGGTTATTTTGACATTTTGACTTTTTTATTTGATTGGTTAAAAGCAGAGAAAAACGCGTGCGTTAATGAACTTCTTATCTCACTCAAAATGAGTGGGATAAGAAGTTCTTATCTCACTGGCGTAGATAATAAAATTTACTAATAATAAAATCGAGACTCTTTTACTGCAGCCAAACCAACCCAAACTCAACAACAAAACCCAACCGACCCCGCCCCATTGCCCCCCCTCCGCCCATTTGAGCAAAAAACCCAACTAAAATGGGCAAAATGAACGATTTTCCAATAGGTAGTTAGTTTTAATTCATCATTATTGTTGTTTTTGTCCATGGCAATACATTTTACGTACACTTGTTTCAGGACAGATTTCACAAATCGACCAAACCGCCTGCCAATGTTTAAAAAACCTCAAAACCGCGAAAATTAGATTCACAGAACAAATTAGATTCTTGAAAGAATCTTAGGTGACGTCACCGCGTGAGAATAAGAATAAAATTGCGTTCACGCTAGCATGAGACTAGACACAGCGTTTAAAAAACCCTACCCCTCTCGCGTTTTAAATCGTCACGGTCCTTTAAACCCTTCCTCCCTCTTCTAGCGTCACAAGATTTATGGACAGCCCCTAGTATACTATACAATGGCGGACTAAAAGGGGGCGCATATCTACTATAGTCATAGCCAAAGTTTAATGATACCTACAACCAAACCCGTAACTAGTGCTAGTGGAGGAGGAGTCTTGGTTGTAAGGGACCTCCAGGACCATTTGAAGTAATATAACCTCTAATATAACCTTAAAAATTCACTTTTGGGTTAAAATTTCTTGTGATGGAGCAATTCTGAGGTCGAAATTGGATTCAGCATGCCAAAAACCTTCGGAGAAACATGGTTTTTGTTTAAAAATTTTGTAGGCCTATATAATTTTTAATAACTTCTTTAAGTGATTAAAAAAAATACTAACAAGTTGAAATCCAAGGTTGCTGGAAAAGACGTGTAATCAATTTTCATATTTCCCATTTTATTTAGGGTCTTGGGGAGGCAATTACAAAGGATCATCTAACAAATTTATAAAATGTGTAAAAATTTTAACTCGACATAACCTCAAAATTGACGTTTCTTATCAATAATAACAATATTCGTTACCCTGGCAACGACTTGTATTATAAATAAAATCGAGTTATACTTAAATAAACCTTTGATTGTCAATTGTTTGTGTTTTTTCGCGCCCAATGTCATAGTAGAGCTAATAAAATCGCAGTGGGCGTAACATATCCGCATCGGGACAAATCCTTATGTAATAAAAAAAACAAATAAATAAAATGAGAATAACGATGTCGTCGTGCATCAGCTTCAAATGTACGTAAAAATAGCTAACAAGATTGGATTGTAAGAGTGAAAACTACTTACTTGCACTGTGTTTTCCCTCACTACCTGCGAAACGGTTTCCCTTAGCTGGGCGGCCGTTCCGGGCTTCGTCAAACCCCTCGCGAACTTTCTTTCACTCATATTTTCACAATTATTGTTATTTTTCACGTTTTATCGCGCTCGATTTTCGAACCCATCGCGTCTAAATCGCGGAATGCATCGCACTCTAGTAGGCTGTAAAAACCTGTTGTCCTGTCAAACGAAAGTTACGCCGAAGGCTGCGCGTTTCAATTGTTTACATTCTTCTACGATTTACATAATGCTTATCGTAGAACTATCCTTAAAAATTTGTTCGATTAGCATAAGCATTAGCAACAAATGCCAATGTTTACATTACAAAAACCCTAAAGAAATCACATTGTGATTCACAATATCCATGACTTCCGTTAAGCGACGTACACAACCACCTCCATCTTTTTTCATAACAATTTTACTCCAATTATCGGAAGTTTTGAGAAAAATATTAAATGAACTAGGTACCATTATATACTCTTTTTATAAAATAATATTATTATATATTATTATTATTTTAAAATTCTACATTTAAAACTTTATTAATTTGCATACTAAAATTGAGCAGTTGTGAAGGGACCTTAAGCGGAAGTGTCTAATCTCCAGAAACCAGGATGTTACGATTGCTAAATTTAAACATTAAACTAATTGAATTCTAATTTTAACTGATCCAGTTATTAATATTTTTTCCGCTCTTAATTGCCAATACTTGTAAACACTGTCGGAAGTTCCGACTCGGAACGTGTTTACGCGTTTTTTAGACATGAAAGGTTGTGAAGGTTATAAACGTGACGTTTAAAACGTCATAATTTTGACAGTTAATATAATTAAATTTAACCGACGAACGACCAAAATAAAAGTAATCATTGTCAATCACTAAAAATACACAGCGATTTATTACGCTTAGGCAACAGGCAAAGTGCAATAGAAGTTTATTTCGAAACAAATAGCCTATTAATAGTTATTTTAAGATATATTTTATAGTCACTGACACACTATACTGTGGTATAATGCACAAAGATTAAAACTAAACGCAGGCTAAAATCATTATGGAAGACGAAATTGACGATAAAATAATCTATCAAACATATGTGTCCCATATGAAAATCATGTCGAAAATAGCATGGGGTGTCCCACTCAAATTGTCCAACATCACCATCACATCCCAGATATGGAGGTTTTTAAAGTTTTACCTGCTAAAGCCAGAGTTTATTATTTTCGGGGCTGTGGTGCTGTTTATTTTGATGTATATGCAAGCAGTTGATGTATGGAGTCGTAATTTAATAGGGAGGTTGCAGTATACCATGAACCGGGGATCCAGATCCAAGGTGGACAAGCTGAACAACTTCTTTACAACAGGAGATGCAGAAAGGTAAAATAATATGTGTAGAAATTTTTTAAAATCAGATTTTAGTGATTTATAAATTAGAAAAATTTAAATGTAATAAAATTTGTTGTAGTAAAAAAATTTACAAAAGTGTAATAATTTGGGTGATGTGAAATTTGAAATAAAATGCAATTAATTTTAAAATTGAAGGGCCAGCTGGGAGCTAAAGTTAGGACCCGTTGCCGCGTACGCCATACAAGGAAGAAGACCGAAAATGGAGGACCGATTCGTTATAAACGATAACATAAACAACACAGGTGTGGCATTGTTCGCCGTTTTTGATGGACATGGAGGCGAATTTGCAGCCAACTACGCGAAAGAAAAATTAGTGCCAAACTTACTGAACAAAGTCATGCAAATAAAGGATCTGGTGTCTGGCAGTAAGGATTCAGCAGGGTTTGTAAAGAAATGCACTAATGATGATTCAGAGGAAGAAAAGAAAGATATGGAGAAGCCTTCCACACCTTCATTGGCTGAAAGACGAAAGAGCTTCAAGAAAACCTGCTCAACCACTGATGAGTGTATCAAAGGGGCCAAAGAAATCACCGATACGGAATTACTGAGTAAGTTAGAAAACATCACACCAATAAGGAAAGACTCCAGACCGCTAAAAACAACACCAAGTCGTAAGGACATCCCTGTGTCAACATACTTCGATAAATTCGGGAACGTAAACTACGGTAAGCTTCTCACGGATGAGGTTTTGGCCGCAGACGAAAAATTATTGCAGGTGGCCAAAAAAACGATGGACGTGGCCGGTACAACAGCCTTAATAGCGATTCTAGAGGGGTCGAAGTTGATTGTGGCCAACGTGGGGGACTCCAGGGGCGTGATGTGTGACGGTAGAGGCAACGTTATACCTTTATCTTTCGACCACAAGCCCCAACAAATGCGCGAACGTAAGAGAATCAAGGATGCCGGCGGTTTCGTCACTTTCAACGGCGTATGGAGGGTTGCCGGTATTTTGGCCACTTCCAGGGCTTTGGGGGATTACCCGTTGAAAGACAAAAAGTTGGTTATAGCGGATCCCGATATTCTCTCCTTCAACTTGAACGATCATAAACCGTCGTTCCTCATTTTGGCTTCGGATGGTTTGTGGGATACTTTCTCGAACGAAGAGGCGATTAATTTTATTAAGGAGCGCCTTAACGAGCCCGACTATGGTGCTAAAAGCATCACTCTGCAATCCTATTACAGAGGCTCTCTGGATAATATAACCGTAATTATTATTAATTTTAAGGATCACAACTATAGTTTCTACAAGAGCGAAAATAACGTGTGATTTTACCAAATTTAATTATTTGCCAAAGATGATGTATTTATCGCTATTTTTATAAAACGATTGATTTGCTCAAGTTGTTGCGCGAGGTTTTGTTGTGTTAAACCCAAGTTGACCATAAGTTTAAAAAGTGTGCTAAAAAAATAAAATTTGTTGAATTTTAGTTTAGAAAATGTAAAAAAATGTCATGGTCATGATTTTGTGCCAGTATGTGATTGAAGGATATAAGGCTGTATACCTTATAAGGTTTGTTATTTGCAGTAAAAATAAATAAATTAAAATTGATAAGGCTTTGATTTGGTAAAACCTAAATAGGTCTCTTGGCATTTAATTGCAAGAATAAATCTTGAATATATTCTATATATAAGTACATATAAAGTTGACAAATAGAAGATGCTTAAGGGTATTTCCATTGTAATGGGTGCTACACTAAAACTGCGTTTTTTCATGATAATAAAGTGTTCATATACCGTACCTTCATTTGCAAGCTATACATAGGGAAAATACATTGTAGGTGGACCAGACAAGTTGAAGTCAGCGCAAAGCGAAAAAGTTCTCAGAAATTATTTGGACGTAATAAAGTTTTAATCGCCAGTAAACAAGGCCACCTGTTACGTCGCATGTTAGTCTACTCATCCACTCGTCAAAATAATTTCTGGGAACATTTTCGTTTCGCGCTGACTTCGACTTGTCTGTTCCACCTACAATGTATTTTCCCTATGTATAACTTGCAAATGAAGGTACGGTATATCAAGATACGTTAATATAAAAAAATAATATAGAAAATTAGGTAGGTATTTAACTCAAACAAAATCTCAATAAAAACTTGTATAGAAAACTTTTTATAACGTCATGAATAGTGTAACGGGCGCGACCTTAGAAAATCGGCAAATGCGACAAAGTTGGCTTCTAAAGTAAAATTTTGGATGAAAGTATATATTAATATTTTTTTGTGTAAAACTTGAAAAGTAACCTTAAACAAGCACGTATTTTAAATGCACAAAAATTACATTCTTACCTACTTTTTTCTAAAATTTTCTCAAAATGTAACGGGTGCGACATTTGAACATTTTATCGAGTAGGTATTGAAACTCTTCCGTATTTATTCTTAATGTTAGCTTCCTAGACACCTAGACTTCCTAGGGTTAGCTTCTTAGCATCACAATGTACGAATATTTTAAGGTTATAAATTACGTCGCAATTAAACTATTTGAGATATCGTTGTTATTTTGTTAAATAACACATCTGATTTTTTTCAAGGTGGGGTAAGGTTTCGTGGAAATACCCTTAAACTTAATACTACAAATTGAAGAGTATAGGCAGAGACTCTGAGTATAGGTACAACAATCCTTTTTCATGAACTTTACCTCACATTATGAGTTCTATGAAGTGCCCCAGCATAATATATAGGTAATTTAAAAATAAAAAATACTGCGCATATTTAATTTAAAAATAAAAAAATTGCCATGGGCATTTTTTTATTTTTAAATTATGATATATTATGTGCGTTATTTTCATGATTTACTTAGCAAAATTATAAATAAAAAAGAAATTAACAAAAATTAAAAATATATTCATTTACATTGTTAACTGATTAGTACAAAAGTAACCATTACTCGTTTAAGTCGGTATTCGGTATTTTTTAAAGTAGCGAGTATTCTTCTTTCTATTTCTCCATGCCCTGTGCGCCAATTAATTTCAAAGACCTCAGTTCGTACACTAGAGCACAATCCATGTTGTGTGGATTGTGCACTAGAGTAAAAGCATGAAAAATCACGCCGCGGCAATTATATATTTTAGGAAATTTATATAGGTTGAGTACATTTTAAAGATTTAAGAATAATTTTGAGACTAAATTAAACAATTTAAAGAATATATAGGTACTGTGTGATGGCAAAATAAAAAAAACCATTTTAAAATTATGTAAATTTATTACTCCATTGCACATAACTATATACATTCTGCGATTCATTCACACACTATTAAATAAATAAATTTTCTTACATTAATAATACATTATCAAAAAAGGCTCTTGTACAGAAAAACAATCTAAAATTTAGATTTAAAAATAATTACACTATGATAAGGAAATGTGATGTTATAATTCCTAGAAAGTAGTCCAACCCATATCTAATCTAATTGGCTAAGTAGAAATTATTATAAAATCGCAAAAACTTTGTGAATATCAAGAATCAATTGTGTCTCTCTCTTGCAGCACCATTGTGAAAAATAAGGAATTTTATGTACCTACTTAAAATTACTAATTTCCTAATATTTACATTTACATTATTTGTTATAATACACATCAATGATCATACTTGTCCAATTAATTATTTTTGTTTTAACTGAAATGGTTGGATCAATCTGCGACAAGTATTCCCTTAAAATAATTACGGTATTTACAGTCTTTAGGGCGTAGTTAATTTTAAAATATAACAAATAACAACAAAAATAACAAGAATTCTTTTGCTAAAAACAGAATTCGCATTAAGTTGAATAAATCTCAAAAAACTTACAAAACTACAACATTTTGTATAAATCTGCATAAACTAAGAAGAATTGTATGAAAAGCCATTTATAAATATACAATTAAAGCTTCTATACAAAATACACAGTATAAAAATTTTGGTAAAAATAGACTGGACAGACGAATTAAAAAATTACAGGACCCATGGGAGAAGGGAGGATAAAATCGGGGGAGAAATTGTTTGTATTGTATTGTGTTGCGCGTGGAATTAAAAAAACGAGGCCCTGTTTCAAGAGGCGTACATCCTGTTGATTTCGGTCTTGTAACGCTCCTGGATGTCTTTTCTCTTTAACTTGAACGCGGCAGTCACCAGTCCCATGTCGGGGGACCACACCTCCGTCACCATTTTCACGGCGGCCGGAAGCTCGAACTTTTCCAATTTGCCTGCAAAAAAAAATATTCCTATATTTCTTAGCTCTTCTTGCCTATAGACGAGTTTTCTATACAAAAAAATGTTTAAATGTTTTAAAGGTTTTATTTATTTGTCATTATGATATAATTACGAAAATTAGTATAATATTATATGGGATATAATGCGCATTATCACGAGTGTAATACTACGCTTTTTTTTACTTTAAATGAGTAATTTATATTGATAACAAAGTTTATTATAACCTCACTTTCTCCCGATTTTAAATATCATTATAGTTACCCCTCGTATATGTATAAAAAAAATCTGACATCTGCTAACCTTACTTTTTCCCAATATAAAATCCGATTGCTCCAAATCACAGTTAATATTGAAATCAGCCAATCACTGAAAAATTCAGAAAAATTGACTTTTGCATTTTTTCATTTTATTCAAAGGGTAATATGAAAAAAGTCAATTTTTTTTAAATTTTCAGATTTTTACGGTACACTGATATCAAGAAAAAAGTGAATTTCTGACGGTGATTATAATCATATTATGCATATCAAATATGATTATGCATATCATATATTATTATATTCGCTTCTGTTAATACGTAACTTTCGTTTTATTTGACAATTCGATTTATAAAATTATAATTTTGTAATTTAACTTTATAAATCATTAATTATTTTGTTGTTGTGACAGTCTTTTTTGCAAAAAGTAGTCCATTATGGACTACTTTTTGCAAAAAAAGACCCAACCAACAGTAAATTTAACGTTTACGTTTATTTTCTCAAATCAATTTAATTTAATTCAGTTTATATTATTAGTTGTTGATTGCAACTTTTTTTCAAAAGTGTATATTTTACAAAACAAAATTCAATTTTTTCCAAAAAAAACCCAATTTTCCCCCCCGTTTTTTTTCCGACCCTTTAAAACCCTATTCACGAGGATGAGGTTTGGATCTCGAGCCGTCAGGCAAAAGACGTAAATCATCCCAGTGAATAATGCGCATTATCCAGAGTGTAATACTAGGCTTTTCTACTCCAATAAAGTAAATTATTAACAAAATGTATTAAACCCCACTTTCTCCTGATTTTAATGATCATTATAGTCGCCCCTGGGCCATTCCACGCTTAACGGATAGGACATTTGCCGTGTTTTTATTTACAAAATAATATTGTTCTATTATATTACCAATGTCAAATTTTTATTTGTATTTGTAATAGTCCCGTCCGTTACGCTTTAAATTATTAATTTTTAAGGAATTAAACAGTCAATCACAATACCTAATTTTGCCAAATAAAAACCTTGTTAACAGCTTTAGTTTAGAACTATTTATAAAAATTTGACATTGGTAATATAATAGAACAATATTATTTTGTAAATAAAAACACGGCAACTGTCCTATTCGTTACGCGTGGAATGGCTCCCCTCTTATTTATCAAAAAAACTGACATCTGTTTAAATGTTCCAACCTCACTTTTTCCTAATTTAAACCCCTATTGGCTCATATCACAGTAACTCAGAAAGTTTTTTGGTTTTGAGACATTTTAGACTGTTTGAGTGCATTTTAAAAGGCTAAGGTGATATTTAAACAGTTCCAAGACTCTTACAAGGTCACCAAGAGTTCTAATGACATTTTTAGATAGGACAATTTAGTTACAATGATATTTTTAGACAGTTTTTGGGTTTTGAGAGTTTAGACAGTTTTTAAACAGTTTGATGGCATTTAAAAAGTCTAACTATATATTTAGACAGTTTCAAGATAGTCTTAGAAAAAATTAGACAGTTTAGATAGTTTGAGGGCATTTTAAAGTTCCAATGATATTTTTAGACAGTTTCAAGATAGTTCTACAACGAATTCTAAAACATTTGAGATATTTTTTCGTCTTGAGACATTTTGGACAGTTTTTAGATAGTTTGGGGGCATTTTAAGTCATATTTAAACAGTTTCAAGAGTTCTAATGACATTTTGAGACAGTTTTTTTAGATATGGTTGAAGGACATTTAGAGTTAAAATGATATTTTTAAATAGTTTTGAGGATAGTTTTAGAACAAATTCTAAAACGGTTATAGAACATTTCAGATAATTTTTGGGATTTGAGAGATTTTAGACAGTGTTTAGATAGTTTAAAGGGATTTAAGGAGTTAAAGGATATATTTAGAAAGTTCACAGTTTTTAGATAGTTTGGGGGCATTTTAAATCATATTTAAATAGTTTCAAGAGTTCTAATGACATTTTGAGACAGTTTTTTTAGATATGGTTGAAGGACATTTAGAGTTAAAATGATATTTTTAAATAGTTTTGAGGATAGTTTTAGAACAAATTCTAAAACGGTTATAGAACATTTCAGATAATTTTTGGGATTTGAGAGATTTTAGACAGTGTTTAGATAGTTTAAAGGGATTTAAGGAGTTAAAGGATATATTTAGAAAGTTCCAAGATAGTTTTAGGACAAATTAGACAATTCTAAAACAATTATATAACAATTCTGGTAATTTTAAGACCGATACGTTTTTTAGTTTGAGGACATTTTAGAGTTCTGGCATTTTTTAGATACTTCGGGAAAATTTTCCAATAATATTTTTTAATCGTTCTTTTCGCATTAAATAATTGACTTATTAATTGACGAAAAATTTACGCGATCCAATTAAAATTTAATATTTTGTTTCCTTACTTTTCGTTCCATGTTCGTTTAGCTCGATAAGAACGGCCTTTTCCAGTTCGGGAGATTGGCAATACTCCTCGAACGTCAAATTCGCGGACAGTCCCTTTTTCACAGCCAAATCCTTCAATTGCGATTGGTTGGGCACCACCAATGCGACGCAATAGTGCTTCGAAGATTCTCCGTAGACGCAAATGTTGTCTACCAGGGGGCAGGTTTTCAATTGGGCCTCCACTTTGCCCAAGGAAACGTATTCGCCAGCTTGCAGTTTCACCAAATCCTTCTTACGATCTACAAATAGAGATTTTACGTGAAAAAATAGCAGTTCTTTTCTAAAATTAAATTGTTCTTACCGATAATTTTGACAACTCCGTCGGAATGAACTTCGACAATGTCTCCAGTCTTGAACCAGCGTTTTCCGTTTTCTTCAAAGAAGTCTTCGTTAGTTTTCCCGGGCAATTTATAGTAACCAGCACTAATATTGTCGCCACCAATGAGAACCTCTCCTCTGGGGTAAGGTTTATCCGTCACCCGGTAGTTGCCTTCCTCCCAGTTCATCAGCTTAATATCACAAATTGTACACGGCGCTCCAACGCGGCCAAAAGTCTTATCGTAGTCTGAAAAAATAAAGAAAATACAGACCAATTCAACATTTTTTCGACTAAACTCTTACAGTACTGCACGCATGCGCAAGAAGTGGATTCGGTCAGTCCGTAACCTTGGATGATGGTCACGCAAAGGCAGCAGTTGATTTGCTCGTGAGTCTCCGGAGATAAAGGTGCGCCTCCGGAAATTACCAGCCTCATGCGGCCTCCCATCAGTTCCCTTACCGGTTTGAAGACCACTTTGTCCACCAGCGGAGTCTCGTAACCTCTATTCGTCCATTTCACTTTGTAATCGTACGCGAATTTGAAGATCACCTTTTTCAGGTCGCCGCCTTTGCTCACCTTTTCCTGGATGCTCTTTGATATCCTATCCAGAATCAGCTGAAAGATAAAAGGAAATCAGCGTTTTTCTTTATTCCATTTAAGATAGTTTGAGGACATTTTAAGCGGTTTTAGAACCTTTTAAACAGTTCTAGGACAGTTTCAGAACATTTTCGAACCTAAGAACATGTTTACTAAACATTGTTTAGACATTTTAGACAGTTAGAAAACATTTTAGAGTGTTTTAAGAGTTCCAAGAACATTTTTAGGTAGTTTGAGAATTTTTTCGTTCTAAGGATCTTTTTGAACAGTTTTAGACAGTTTTAAAACAGTTTTAGGACTTTTTAGAGAAACCGTTTGAAAATATTTTAGATCGTTTTGTCACTTTGGCAGTTTTAGTAATTTTTAGAAAATGTGGATATTTTAGACCTAAGGGTAATAGGGACGTTTTTAGGCAGTTTTTAAGATAGTTTAAAAGAAATTTTCGTTCTGAGGATTTTAGAACCTTATAGACAGTTTGAAATCATTTTAGACAAACAGTTTGAGAATATTTTTAAACAGCTTTGACATTTTAAACAGTCTGAGAACATTTTAGAGGGTTCTAAGAGTTTTGATAGCTTTGTTATTTTAGAGTTTCAGTACATTTTTAGAAAATTTTAGACAGTTTGAGGACATTTTAGAAAATTTTAATTAATTTAAACAGTTTTTAGGATAGTTTAAAACATTTTCGCGGAGGATCTTTTTGAACAGTTTTAGACAGTTTCAGGATATTTTCGTCAAACCGATTAAGAATATTTTAGTTTTTAAAATGTTAACCTATTTAGATATTTTTGTCACTTTGGACATTTTATAAAATTTTTAGGCAGTTTTTGGGACAGTTTAAGGGCATTTTCGTTTTAAGGATATTTTTAAGCAGTTTTAGAACCTTTTAGACAGTTTTAAGATAGGGTGAGAACATTTTAGACAAACTGTTTGAGTTTAGACAGTCTTGACATTTTAGACAGTTGGATGCCATATTAGTGTTCTTATAGTTCCAAGAACAATTTTAGATTGTTTTGTTATTTTAGAGTTTTAGGACATTTTAGTCGGTTTGAGGACATTTTAGACAATTCTTAAAAATTTAAACAGTTCTAAGGATGTTTTTAGAGTTTTTAGTATAGTTTTTTCTGCTGGCAAATATGATATTTATATAAATATCCAAATATCTGATATATATCAAAATATGGATATTTGTTAAAGTTCAAAATTACTTAATTTAATATAAGCCAATAGAAAACAATAAAAGGGGTAAAAAAGGCTGGCTAGAAACAATTAAGTTTAAAATGAAATCAGTCTGGCTAATGGTAGAGGGATTTTCTAAATGTTTCTGTTGCTACAGCCAAACCCAATCAAGATTACGTTTCTTTAAATGGTCTCTGTTGCGCAAATATTTAAAAAATATACTAGTTTTCCATACATTTATACTTACTGATGAATAGAATTTTAGAAAAAAAATATTGATAGGTATATATCAGGATAAATCTCGTCGAATAAATATCATGATAATTATCAAGATATATATCAGGATATTGTATAAAATATCCTGAAACTTTCAGGACAGACTTCTTAGTCAGGTGGTTTGAAAACTATCTTTCGGATAGAATGCAGTATGTTGTTGTGGACTCAGTAGAAAGCTCTAGACAATCTATTAAATGTGGTGTGCCCCAAGGTTCAATTTTGGGGCCGACACTTTTTTTGGTTTACGTAAATTCCATGTCAAACTTAAAACTTAATGGAAATTTAAGGTTGTATGCTGATGATGCGACCATAGTATACTATGGCCGCACCATCGAGCAAGTGAACGAGTCCATGGCTTCTGATTTGATAATTTTAAAAAAATGGGTTAATTCCCATAAATTGTCCCTGAACATGGAGAAGTCATCTTATATGTATATTCATAAAAACCAGAGAGAACGATATGTTAATGATGCTTTCGAGCTGAAGCGGGTTACGGATACAAAGTTCCTGGGCCTAAAAATCGATGACAGGCTTTCCTGGAAAGATCATGTCAGTCATGTGTGTGGAAAGGTGGCCGGTCCGATTGGTGTGCTTAGGAGAATGTATACTGTCCCCCGGAAATACTTGAGGTCGATTTACTTCTCCTTGATACACTCACACCTACAATACTTGAATCTTATTTGGTCAAATGCATCTAACTGTACTCTTAAGCCACTTAAATTACTCCAAAATAAAGCCATAAAAAATTTATATTCTTTAGATAAAAGATATCCAACAGCTGACCTCTATAACTTGTTTAGAATTAGATCTATAAAAAGTATTAATGAATATCAAACAAGTATGTTTATAAATCAAGTCCTTAATTCTAAAAGACACTCATGTCTTAAGTTCACTTATAGAAATAATGTTCACGATCACTCGACAAGAGCCAATGCAGAGGTGAATCTACCTCAAGTAAATTCCCAAATGGGAATGAACTCGATTTCCTACAGGGGAGTCCATTTATATAATAGGCTGCCTAACAGCATTAAAAATTTTAAAGGTCACAAATTTAAAAAAAACATAAATGATTATATTCAATATTACAGGGAGGACTAAAAAAGACTGAAGAAAAAAAAAAACTTAAGTTGAGGTTAAAGCTTGCTTTATTTATTTTAAGTATATCTGTGATATTTAATAATGACTGTATTAGTGATAAATGTATATGTAAATATATATGTATAAATGTGTATAGTGTATTTAAGTAACTATAAGAATTGTGTATGACGATTGTTAATGTAAATATGTACTGAATGATAATGTGTATACAGAGGTGTCCCTCTATAAAATATCCTTTATATGTTTTTTTGGGACGAATAAAGAATTATTTTATTATTATTATTATTATTATTAGAATGTTAAGATTTTTGGATAGTTTTGTCACTTTGGACAGTTTAAGGGCATTTTTGTTCTAAGTTGTAGGGTCAGAACGTTTTGGACTAAAGTTTGATTTTAGACAAACATTTTAGAACCTAAAAGCACTTTTATACAGTTTTGACATTTTAAGAGAGTTGGATGCTATATTAGTGCTCTTATAGTTCCAAGAAAATTTTTAGGTTGTTTTGTTATTTAAGAGTTTTAGTACATTTTAGAACATTTTAGACAGTTTGAGGACATTTTAGAAAATTCATTACAATTTAAACCGTTTTAAGGATATTTTTATAACATTTTTAAAAGTTTAGACAGTTTTAGGAAATTTTTTGAGTTTTTAGGATAGTTTTTTCCTTTTAAAAGTCTTTTTAAACGGTTTTAGACCTTTTTGACAGATTTGACATGTTAGACAAGGCTTTTGAAAACATTTTAGAGATCTAAAAATTTGTTTAGGCAGTTTTGGCATTTCATACAGTTTTAGGACATTTTGTGGAAATTTTTGGATAGTTTGATGGGATTTAAGAGGATAATTTATGTCAATTCCCTAATAGTTTTAACACATTTTAGATAGGTTTAGGATATGTTTAGACATTTTAGGGCTAAGATAAAACGGTTTTTGTATATTTTGAATACTTACAGGTACACTTGTCATGCAGGTGGGGTGTAATACTGAGGCGTCTCCTTTGGTTCCCTTCTTGATTTTGCTGCTGGAGTCGATCATGGTCAAAGCACTGGAATAGCCAATAGCAACGCCAGTCAAAAGGCAAACGCTCTCCACCAAAAGTTCGAAAACGTGCGCCAGAGGCAGGAATCCGATCATCACGTCGTTCTCGTAGATATCCGTGGAATCGCAGAAACCTTTCAGCGTGGTTATCAGGTTTTTGTGCAGCAGAACGACGCCTTTGGGCACGCCTGTACTTCCGCTGGTGTACATTATGATGGCGGTGTCCTCTTGACCTGGAGGCGTCGATTGCTTGGTGGATTTGCAACCTTTTTGCAACACTTCGTTGAATTTAAGAATTTCGACGTCGTCCTTGTAACCGGAGGGGTCCAAATCCTTCAATTGGTCCTCCATGTAGATCAAGGTGTTCACTTTTGGCGTCAGTTTAAGGATATTCTTGAATTTGGGCATGAGATCGTACGAAGTCACGACGGTGGTGACTTCAGTTTCGTTTATACCGTGAGCGATAGCTTCATCACCCAAAGTGGCGTAAATCGTCACCAGAGGGATGTTTTGTTTGAAAAGGGCGTGGGCCGCAATCATCCATTCAGCCCTTGTTTCGGCGAAGATAACTATATTTTGACCGGGCAGATTTCCCAATTCCCTCAAACCTTTTCCAAAGTTTATGGCTAGACTGTTGATTTCGGCAAAAGTTTTCCATTTATAGTCGCCCATGTTATACTAAAATATTAACATTAAGACAAAGGTAACAACGAATTAATATAAAGTCTAGTACTTTTTTGAATACTCTTCCGTTGGGTTGCTTCTCGTCCTCTTCGTTCAAAATTTGCCTGGTACCGAGACAACGTTTGTTCGGGTACTTCTTGCTGCAGTACTCGAACATTTTTGCCATGGTGTCGATGTTCTCCCTGACCAATGTGACATGGTGCACGCCGGGATCAACGGTCGATCTATACGTGATGGTTTTCGTATCTTCCGAAATGGGTTTTGCCTAAGAAAATTCACGTTTTTCAGTAAAATTTTAGTGATGTGTTTGTGTCTCTTTCATTGTTGATTAGTATGTACATTTTTATAGAAATATGTATGAAAACATGCTATAAGGAAGTTTGAATTGACGAACTTTGATAAGTTTTATGAGATCATCTTTGATTTTGTTCTTAAGTGCAATCTTAGTAATATACAGGGTGTCATAAGTTGGGGGGGATCATAGTTTACGCCAAAGTAATTTTTAGGCATTTGATAGGCAACAGCTGTCGACGATCGAATTTTAGTCGGCCCGTTAAAATCATCGACAGCAGTACCGATAGGAACCACAGTTAAACGACTGGCTGAAACGAATCCAGTGTCGTGCCAAACAAATGCCTAAGAATACGTTAATCTTCAAGTTTTAAAAGTATTAAAAAACAGTAGCAATAATGCAAAAGTGATAGAGAAACTAGTAAACTATCATCTCCTCAAGAGATGACAACTTATTACATGACCCTGTACAATAATAATAATCTTTATTTTCCAAGTATCAGGTACAGTTTGTACTATGCTTCACATCAAAAAGTACCACTTTGACATTTGAATACAAATAATTGAGGTTATCTATCTCAGATAGATAACCTTAAGTATTTTAATTACATAGGCTATCTGTCTTTTTTTTGAAAATAATACATGTACCTATTTTTTGTGTTATAAATTAACACCTTTATACACAAAACACATATTTTGTTTTATTTTCAAAAAATAGGATGAAATTAGCGTTAAACTGACATATACATAACCTCAATTATAATGTGAAAGTGGAACTTTTTGTGGAGCATAGTAGGTACATTAAGATATAGAACTAGTCTCAAAATACACAAGAAAAAAAGAACATTCTAGAGTTCAGTTTTAGAGACTTTTTGTTCTTCAAAATTATAATATCCCAAAGTTTAAATTTATCAAAGTTCTTATAAGTAATATAAATATGAATGTTTTATTTTAAAATAATGACATGAACAATAATTGTAGTTTGAATGGAGATAAAATTGAACCAAAAAGCATTATGCTTTCAACAGGGCGAGTGTTATGTTTTTAAAATGGTGTACTCGGTAATTGACCATTATACTGTCCTGCTTATTACTTAATATTTCAGCTTGAGCTTAGCATGCCAGTATAGTCCCTATAGGCAAGGAGGGGTCATCTGGAAGTTGGGTCCCTTGGCTCATAGCGTTTGATCATGGAGCCTACACAAGGAGTACAATCCATCTAATAGGGGAATTGACACGACCCGATCACACAAATTACGTTTTCTTTCACTTTTTTCACGGGGGCAGTACAAAATACCGGGGCCCGGGCTTATATAAGCCCTCATATAAGGCCATGGCAACTTATTATTTTGTACCAATAATAATTATTATAATCATAGAAAACTGATTTGAATAGCATCAAAGGTTAAGGCGAAGCGAGTGGATGTGTAGTTCGAGCGCTCAGTGCCGATCCACAATAAAATTCTTAAAGAAACATAACTATTATATACAGTGTAGTCGAGTAAAGTACGGTGCGAAACAGTGCTACTATTTTGGGTTGCTATAGTATGTATACATACCTGTACAGGTGAAATCAGGGTACCTGTTCTCCGAGGGGTTAATAGAAACATTAAATAATTCCTCAAAAGGCAATCTCTCAACAGTGAACATAGGAGTGAGGTTCGTGCGGACACGAAGTAATAAAGTGACAGGGGACAGGTCAAGGAATCACCGATTTAAAGAAAAAACAAGTCTAACAAAGAGCGAAAGGGATCAGCCGACTCTGATAAGTATTATTGCATGACCTAATACGCAAATCTGTAAAAAAAAACCTGTCAACAATTAACCATTGCCGAAAACAGCGTACGTGGGTGAAAAGGGGATCAAGCAGGAACGTCGCAATATTATATTATTGTATTATATATATTGTACCTATAATATACGCATCTTGCAGCTCAGCCACAAGGCAAAGCTTGAAGGATGGCGAATGTAAATAAACAAAGCGCCCACGCAATAACGTAAATAAACCATCTATTAAAGCATACGTTACACTGGGCCGTATTTCAGATTTTAATGCGATGCACCACAGGGCCGGCTTTATTATTGTATTAATTTAGTTTTAAATTAAATTTGGAAAAAAAAGTAAGAACGCAAAGACACAAATTAAATAATAATAATAAACGGGATAAACACTAATTTAACAACAAAATAAATAGTTCACCAACAAGGACAGGTTCTAGCAGCGGCTCAAAAATACAAGAACAGCACAGAAAAAAGAAGAACGACCAATAGCCAATGCAGACCATATAGTGGCATTCCACCACATACACTACAGGGCCGGCTTTATCGATTTTGTATATTAATATTTATATTTTTAAATTAAATTTGGAAAAAAAGTAAGAATGCAAAGATATAAATTAAATGAAAACGGTATAAACACTAATTTAGCAATAAAATAAATAAAGAGTATACAAGGTTGGTAGCCGGAGTAAGCAAAGAACTAACATACCCACCCCCATTCACGAATACCAATTGAATGGGGCTACTACCAAGGCCTAGGTTGAGGAGGATTCCGGATTGTACTTAGTTTTGGGTCAGTTCAATGTCCTCCAAAAACCCTTCCTAAACTGGACGTATGGCCCGACCCGGCTGACAAAAATCCCGGGAGCGGCCTTAACCTTTGACACTGTCATCCACGAACTCCTAGGGTGGATCTACCAGCCGGCGTAAAAACTTCGGATCCAACAAACACAGGTAATGCTGTGATTTTGCGGGATACGCAGGAGAACGGAAAGGGGGTAAAATAACCCCGGGAGATCAGTGGATGATAATATATCTGGGGCCTGCCATACGTTCCCATACTCATACTCATACTCATAGAAAACTGATTTGAATAGCATGAGCATAAATACTAGTCACTCTAGGGAATTTAAAATAGATACCTATTTAAAAAATGTAATGAATATATTTTTGAATCAAATATTTTTGGGGCAATGCCGCATATATTCATTGTCAGTGTCATTGAGGAGACACTTGATTTTTTTCTTTACCAGGGCCCGACCAGGGCCGACGAGAGGAAGAGTTTTCATAGAATGTTTTCAAAATTTAATATAATTTAAAATCATAAATGGTTTTGTGAGGCATCAGCATCAGACAGATTCTCAAAAAATTTTAGATTTTCTTATAGCACAGATTCCAAGAAAATAATTTTAATTTTTTTTACAGCTGTTTTCATACGCCACAGCGTATTCTGTACAAGTGTTATTTGGAAATTGATTATTACAGTACATTTTATATGGAAATCTCAAATTTTTTTAGCACTTTTTAAAATTGTCATTTTAAATTTCGTGCTGCCAACCTAAGAAACATAAAAATATGACAGTTTTAAACCTTAATTTTGGCATTATATCAACAAACAAAAGACAATTTTTTCGAGCCTATAAAAAACTACTAGCATTTTTTCCGAATTACGATTAATCGTACTTGTATTAATACGGGAATAAATAGTATTTATTAAATACAAGTAATTTTTTTCTAAAAATTCTTTTGAATATTTTCTCAATTTTTTTCGCCGACTTGTGTCAAAATTTGACAATTAATGTCAAATGTCAAGATTTGACATTAAGTGTCCAGTTGACGACTGAAAGTCCAACTTCCACTCCTTGCATAGTGTCCAAGTACTCACCATTTTAAAAACATAACACTCCTCTGCCTCACCCTGTATTAAAATACAAACTACTAAAATTAATTAAAAAACATGCACATGCTACAATTAGATGAAATATTGTATCACAATTAAAAAAAAGTCATCATGGTATAAGATATCATGCATTTATTTGTATTCTGCAGCAAAGCTCCAAAATCATTCATAAAATTTCTTCTCACAGCTGACTTTTACGTTAGATATATAAGTTAATAGCGCGTTTACTGCAGTGCATTGAACCTTGTTCTTGAAAAACTTGGTCAACGCAAATCTCTCTCACCATTTTACAAGCAGTTAACATTGGAATTTTTTTCTTAGAAAATGATTTCCCAAAGGAAAATGAATGACACCAGTAAAATCCTGAAATTTGGAATATTTTTTTCAAAATATATTTTCGTATAAAAACATTAGAATCAATCATTAAATATCGTGCTGAGTGTTATTGTTAATGTTAATGTTAATGAATGCTAATTACCGAATGAATATAGGAAAAATATCGATATAATTAAACTTTAATAATGTTTTCCAGATAATTCTTTATTACATAAAAATGTATTGGATTGCACTGAGAACCGGACTTATAAAATGTTAGGTATGTGTTAATAAATCAGGCGATATCTTTGTTGTTATTTTTAAATCGAGATATCCTTCAAAGTAAAATTAGGTAATACCCAATGTCAACTAAATTGCCAAGATTAATTGTCGATTCATGCGATTTTTTTGTTAGTTTTGTACAATTCGTATTATTTCCACCCAAAAACCATTAGACCTATTGTAATATAACCGATCAAATTTTCGTTGTAGTTCGTAGTACCTTTTTATATATCGGAGATTGGGTAGATTTGTTAGTATACTCGTTTCCTCTAATGTCAATGCTTACGTCATTTTTTGGATTGCCGCTCTCGGTCGAAACAATAATACCCTATAAAGAATTGAAGTGAGCACACAAAAGAAATACCCCTTTTCATTTTTTTTAAACAAAATTACTGCACAAAAATCCCTCACTAGATTACCTAATTTGATTTTTTTTTCATTAAAAATTTTAAAATAGACTAAAATATAGAAAGAAATGTGTAATTCTGAGAAAATAATTGTGTCCAGTTTAATTTATGTATAAATTTATATTTCTATTTTAAATGTGGTATACAGGGATCAGGTTACCAATAGAAAAACCTTTCTTTATGCATTTTACGAAAAAAGGGAATCTCATTTTTTAAACAAGCTAAAGTTTTTATGAGGAATGATTTTTTTTCGTGAAACGCATAAAATTAGTTTTTTTACTCAAAAAAATTAAAAAATAAACTTACAATTTAAGTTCTCCATTAATTAAGTAATTACACCTTTGCATTTTTTCGCACGTGCACCGAAAAAAATAATGTAGTTGAGTTAACATTTGCCTAAATGTCATTTTTAAAAATGTTGTTTCAACAAAAAACCTATTGGATTAATCTATATTTTGGTGTTAAAGCAAAAGTCAGAGTTTGTCAAAGTTTATTTGTTCATTTGACAGTTTAAATATTAATTTAACATAAACTAATATTTTGAATTAAAATGTTTATCGTACTTTGATTTAATAGCTGGAATTTGTTGAATCAACTACTGAAATTTTTAGGATTACCTAAAAAAACTATTAAATTAACGTTTAGTTGCTCTTTAATCCAAAACTTTAAATTTGTTCATTTAACAAATTTAAAATGTTACTTTAAAATTTAAAATGTAAAATTTGCATTCATAAAATTGCCGAGAATGGCGCTTCGAACACTCACGCCACGTCATTAGACAATGACGTTTTCTTACATCTCGCCTTAGTTACCTTACGATTAGGTGTATATAAGATGAGATATCTGTTTGTTTAAGGTGTGTTCCGCAGTAGAACTTTCACTACACCATATTGCCCGACACTGTTAAGACCCTCAATACAGGGCGAAACAGTCTGTCGGTATTTGAAGTAGGTGGAACACATGATACAAAGATGTATCATGGGTGGAACACGCTCAAAACAAAAACTCTGGGCGAGGTGAAGGTTCAATTCTTTCTATTTATATATAATAATATATTATTTCCATAATTTTGTTTTGGATACCAACCTTTAAAGAATTTTACATTTTCAGAATGTTAATTTAACATTTTATTGGTGTTAAGTGAATATGCTAAAAAGGTTACCTGGACATTTCAAGAAATTTACCTTAACACCCTAAGAATGTTAAATTAACCAAATTAGCAGATTAGAACAAATATTCTTATTTTGTTCATTTGACTGTTATTTGTTGTTCAATTAAACAATACAATTTGACATTTTTAGATGGTTAAGTAAACGTGCAAAAACCATTGCTTGTATTTAAAGTGCATAAAGAGTTGAATTAATATTTTTTTTGTTGTTTCAACAGCTTATTTTTTTCAGTGTGTAGTGCTCAATTTAAAATTAATGACAGAAAAATGTTTCGAAACAGTTGAAATATTAACCAGTGGAATATGACCTTAAATATTTAAAGTATATGTATAAAGTAAGACTTGTGTTTTCTATAAATTATTGTCAACTCATAGCGCGAGATTTTTATGCAGCTTAATTAAAATAATAATAATATCCCTTTCACCGTATTCTAGAATATATTTTTTTTAATCTCGTACAATTTCAATATAATAGTGCATGCAGAATTGCTACTAATAAAAATGCGATTCATTCGAAAAAGCGTCATGCATTTAAGGTAAAGACATAAAAAAAACAATAAGCAATATTTAACTATTTACGGTTCATAATAATTTATAATTTGCATTACAATAATTTTTGTTAATTGTGTTTTTTTTATTGCGCGTAAGGTACTTTTAGATAAAAAAGGTAACATTTTTTTGTTTTACAGTTTGGTTAATAATAAATCAAAAACCTGTCAAACAGTTTTAAAACAGTACATATTTTCTAAATTTTAACTTCAAATATTTAATTTAGTTAAGTTTCAAATAAAAAAAACGGGTGCAACAGAATACAGATTAAGTTTTGTTCAAAAATTGGTCTTAAATTTAATTTTCCAGGTCTTGATCTGTACAATCTTATTGTTTTTTTTACAAAAGTCAATGCTCTTTGCAACACAAAAACACACATTAATTATTACTTTGCTGAGGCATGCAGCATAGAAAAAGAAATAAAAGAGAAAAACATTCATAGTGTGCTTTGTAATAACAATAAAAATTTTAAAAAATTCGAAGAACTCGTCGACATCTAAACCAGGGCTTCTTCCACCCTGTTCTAAACACCCCGTGTAACTGACCTGTATTTTCCTCGACAATTGCCTATGGATCCACGGTCTTTGAAGGATCAAGTAGACGGGGAACGTGATGATATCGTAAACAAAGGCCAACGTTTTTAAGGCCCCCAGGGCCAAGTTGATCCCAAGACCATCCATTTCCCTAAAAAAAAAAATTTCGTTAGCTACTCGATTTTTCCGGAAAATACGCACGACTTGCGTATTGGGATGCGTTTTAGGGTATTGTAGTGCGCAGCAAGCTTGGATAGAGTGCTTTAAATGTAAAAAATGTAATAGCAGGCCTAGAGCATGATTTTTATGTTAAATACATAGGTAATTAGGTACATATATAGCAAAACTATGTATCTCGCGCTAATTGAATTTTCAACTCATAAACGCTTAATAGTTTGTTTGAGATAGGTAGTTACACACAAAACAAGTGGTTTGATATTTTTTGTATTAGTTAATTATTTTTATCTATAAAATACAATGCTATCTGTAAAGTTTTAATTTTTAGATAATTGGATACAGTGATCAATTTTTGAGACTTGTTTTACAGGGTGAATAGAAAAAAGTTTTGTTAAAAAAAATATTTATTATTTTAATAAAAAATTAAAAAAAAATAAAGTGAATTTGGTTTTTGTTAATTTAATTACTCTGGTCGACAACAATTTTGCAAAGGTTATTTAAGTATGCTGATTCCAAAAATGACCATAATTTTGCCTAATTAGCTGTTGTTTTTAAAAATGTTTTTTTATTATGCAAAACATTAAAATTCGTATAAATATATGTTTTTAATTAAATACTTTAACCAAGGCTAATCAAGCAAAATCAGCGCACACAAATTTCCTTAGAAAAGTTATTAAAAAATATTTTGTCGACCAGTGTTGTTGTTTAAATTTGTTTGGATTTAAATATTAATTTTGACCAACAATTTGTTATTTTAACACAAAATCCTGTATTTTAAATTGTTAATTAATCTGTAAACATTTTTGAACCAACCCATTTTTTATAATTATTTATTTAGACGATTCTAACCTAAAAGCCTTTTTCTAATAAATCATTAAAAAATTTGTTAGGCAAATATCAATTAAAAAAACGTGTTTTTGAAAAAAATACCATAAATATAAATTGTACATACCCGATATACATATTGAACAAATAAATGTATTCCTTCAAAGACCGCTTAAAATAAAACTAAACACAAATAAAAAAAAGCAACACAAAAAAACTAAATAAAAAAAGGATACACTCAGATGTTTTACCGATAATTATTATTTGGTAGTGTGTGCAAGGAATGCACTAAGCCGAATGCAAAGAATATTCAAACCGACTGTCGATTTAAATAAAAACATCGAAAACGATAAGAATCGATATTTGATAACAATAACCGCGATCTTTAAACGTAGCGCGCCTCGAGATGACTAACTGGCCTTTTTCAAAGCAAAGCAATTGAAACAAATTTTTGCAAAAACAATTGTATACAGGACCTGGTATTTACTTATCTAAATTTTACCACTTTTGACGTAATTAAAACGTCGGTTTGCAATGTTAATTAGGTTTAACCTAATATGTATTATATATACATATATTATACAGTATATGTAGGTTTGTTCCTAACTAAAGCGCATGCGCAATATATTTTTATTGCGCATGTCGTTGACGTCAATTTGACAGTCCAAATGCTAGATAGGATTTAGCCTGTAATTTTAATATTTGATTTTTAGAAACGGCTTTTATACAAAATAATTAGTAGGTCAGTTATGTGCACCACCACGTTTGATGTTTGATTGGCATTTTTAATTTTTTATAAAAACTGCAATTCTGTAAAAGCATTCTCTTTTTGCATTTCTTATTGTACCTTACTCTGCAATTTAGTTGTAAAATAAAATTTTGTCATTTATAACTAACTTAACTGGCGCAGGCGGTAGGATCGCGTTTCACTTGTGTTTCAGCACTCTATCGACTAATAGATACTTCTTAAACTTCCAGTGGTGGCGCACATAACTGGCCTACAAAAATTTTTCGTCGTTAAATCTGAACTACCCTATGTGCATACTGCATTACTGATTAAATAAAAGTTAGACTAAGGAACTAATTATTTAACAATAAATTTGAGTAGGTATCTAAATTATTTGTTAGCAGCAAGGCAGTGATAAATATCCTGATAAAAATCATGATATTTATGCGACGATATTTATCCTAATATATATCAATTTTTTTTCTTCTAAAATTTTATTCATCAGTAAGTATAAATGTATGGAAAACTAGTATTTTTGTTTAGATATTTGCGCAACAGAGATCTTGATTGGGTTTGCCTAAAGAAAATCCCTTTACAAATAAAAATGAAGATTCAGATTCGGATTTGGATCTACCATTAGCCCTGATTTCATGCCAAGCTTAATTGTTTATATCCAGCCTTTTTTACTCCTTTTATTGTTTGTTATTTATTAAACATATTATTTTCTAAGGTTTTTGTAGTCCATTTTTAGCAAGGTTAATTTCCATTCTAATCAAATCAAAAAAATATATATATTATTTTAGTTGTTGTTTTCTATAGTCTGTTGTAGTTTTTCAATTTTTTGTTTTTGGTTGCAAAATCAAAAGTATATGATGTGTTTATATTCATAAACTTGTATTTTTTACCTACATTTTACATTTCTACATACTATAGTACTAAAAAAACTTGTTATTGTGATCATTGAATAAATTGAATTGAAATACAAATTTACATGTTTATAAAATTTTAAAATTATATTAATTTTTTTTTCTTTAATTCTCTAAGCAGAAAATATTATATATTAAAAAAAGAAATAAATATCCAAATTTTGATCAGATATCAGATATTTGGATATTTATATAAATATCATGATATTTGCCAGCCCTGGCTCACAGTCTAAAGTTTAGTCTAAACACAATTTTGAAAAAAAATACGAGGTCGTTTAACCGTGCCTAAATGGCATTTTAAAGAAATAAGAAACTAATCATAACTCGGAAGACATAAGAAACTAATTATAACTCGCTAATAAATAAATAGACATGCAACAATATACTAGGCATACACATAATGTAACTGTTACGTTTTTTATAAAACCATTCATTTAAATGATATCAAAGATCAAAGTATGAAATATATTAAATAAATAAATTTCATAAGTTGTCTTTAATTTGGATTTTTTCATCATCTAAATTATTTTTGTATAGTTAAAAAACAATTTAAAAATATATAGGTACATATATATTTTTTTCTGATTATATTTAAATTTTTTAAATGTTTCGCAATTCACAAAACATATTTTTGTAGAAAATTTTACGCTCTACAAAAAAGTGTTTTACGTTTTTTGGTAAAATTATGAATTTAAATGATATCAGAGGTCAACATTTAACATACATAGGTACATATGTATATAAAATTAATGAAAATAAAAAGTATCCTCATTCATGAATTCAGGCATTAAATGACATCGGAAAAACAAGATTTTTTCAAAATTGTATAACCACGGTTTCAAAGTTGAATATTTGAACTTTCAGAATGTAATTAATTCTGAGTCATTTGTACAAATTTTATAGAATTAATAAAACACATGATTCATAAAATTAATGACATTTTTCCAAACTGTTTCTTTGTATTTATTGCGAAATTTCCTCATCAATTTTCTAAAAAAAATTGAAATTCATTTTGTAAACATCTTTCATACAAATTTGTTTTATTAATAAAATCAGTTGCTTTACAAAATTTAATTATTTTTTAAAGAAATTTATTTAAAGCCCAATAAACTCTCTTCATAAAAAACGTTTATTTTATAAACAAATAGGTATTTTTTTCTATCACTATCACTTGTATTCTTTATCATAAAAAGTGAACAATGCAAAGAAATATCGCAAAGAAAAACAAAAGCCAGCCGCCCGCTGACGTCCAACACGCGCCAAAAAATGATTCACCCATGAACTCAAAAGCATCAAATTTCTCATACATATATCAAGCGTGCGTGGCGCGTTTGTAGTGCAAAGTCCAATAGGTTTCCCAACAAACGTTCAGCCAGACTTTTTATGTGTTGAAGATAACACGGGAAGAATGGGATTTTGGGATTTGTTATCTCGATTGTAGACGGTACAATTCTTAGGTCATAGACATGTTGAGAGATAAAAATTAATTTATACGGAAATTTCCTTCGAGTGCATTTTTTGATCACGTGATGCAAGAAAAAATTATATTTGAGAAACGGTTTAGGGATGAAAAATAAAGTGTTGTGCATCGTACATGCATGCATTGAAAAAATGTTTTGTATTGATTTTGTTCGATCATGCAAGTTCGTGCTGGATGCTAGACTCACTTTTTGTCCTCGGCAAACATTCTATGTATGGTTGCGAAAATTAAATTCGCAAAATTCTGAAATCACAAAAAATAAAGTCTTTAGTCTTATAGTTCGTGTACAAAAGTCTTCTGTGCAAAGTTCAGTAGTAATAAATTGTTGTTGTCGACAGCATGTATTATTCTTTTTTTTAATAACACTGGTCAACAAAATAAAATTTGTGTGTGGCCAGTAACTTTTCTAGGGTTATTGGGGTGCGCTGATTCCAAAACTGACCATTATTTTTCTCAATTAACTAGCTCTTGTTTTAAAGATATTGTAGAAAAACTGTTTTTCGTATAAATTTATATATTTTGTTAAACAAATAAACATAGGATCATTAGTAATAAAGCTTTGGGCCCTAAACAAACAAAAAAAATATGTTTTGTATACAAAATTCGACAATTTGCTGTAAAACTAACAATTTTAATCCGATTTTGATGAAATTTTGTAGCTACATCTATTTAATTTGTGTTAAAATTTTAATGCAATCAAATAAAAATTGACAAAATGGCAAACAAAACAACCGCGCGTTTTAAAATTTATATTTACGGTCATTTTCGCTCCTGGCGCTTGTAAGACTTCCAAACATTAATTGATAAATGCTTAATTATTTAATATTTTTTCGAAAACAATCATGCTTGCCTTTTTTACATTTATTTTAGTAGTTCAAGAACGTTTTGTATATTCTTTGAACCACGATCTGTGATATATGCTTTGAACATATTTTTAAACAGTGTCATTGTATTTTTGATTTAATCTTAGGCCTGGGTAATTTAAAAAATAATCGGATGTTTTATGTAAATTGGTC